AGACGAATCCACACTTCAGAAACAGTGACAGATCCGATGATGCTTGATGAAGAAAGAACCAGGTTTAGTAACGGAGCCGGTCAGGGTTTTACAACTGTGGGGGGCAGACAGAGAGAGAATGGGACCCAACACCTGTGGGGGGGCAGACAGAGAGAGAATGGGACCCAACACCTGTGGGGGGCAGACAGAGAGAGAATGGGACCCAACACCCGGTAGATTCCTTCGTGTGATATAAGCGTTGTCAATTATTATTATTTTTTTTTTCATGTTTGATTTTTGTGTGTGTCCCCGATGCTTCTGTCTCTCACTAAGTTCTCGCAGTTATCATTTTAAACACTTTTTATTGAGGCATCAACGCGTATACCTAAAATGTGTACTTTTATTGATATCTGTAACGGTGTGCTATTCGTCCATTACATCCGGGTTGTGTACTGTAGTTGTTGTTGTTGTCAGTCGCTGAGATGAAGTAACGCTCGCTGGTGTTTGGCGTTCAACTGGCTGAGCTGTTCTGTTTAGAATACTCTTGTAAAGGGACACGTAATAATAATAATAGTGATAATGATAAACAAAATAAATATAACAACTGATAACTGACATACATCTAATACAAAAATGGATACAACTAAATAAAAAGTTACGTGTTATTATCAGACTCAAAGACAACATTCATACATACATACATACATACATACATACACGATACTCTCCACACACACACAGGAGATCGTCATAGCACTAAACATGAGTCACTTTTCTGTTCTAGTTTAGTTTAGGTAGCGTAATGTATATGTCGGGGTCTGTTTATTACGATAGTTAGGTTTAGGTAAGTTTAAATCAGCTTAGAGGTGGGTTTAGGTTAGGTTAGGGTTTAGGCTAGGTTAGCTTTGTTTAGGTAAGTTTTGGTTAGGTTAGGTTAGTTTTGGTTAGATTACGTTAGGTAAGTTTCGGTTAGGTTAGGTTAGTTAATGGATGTGGTGGTGAGAGAAGAGGTGGTGGTGATGGGTGTGTTGGTGATGGGTGTGTTGGTGATGGGTGTGTTGGTGGTGGTGATGGGTGTGGTGGTGATTGGTGTGGTGGTGATGATGGTAGTGGTGGTGATGGGTGTGTTGATGGTGATGATGGGTGTGGTGGTGATGGGTGTGGTGGTGATGGATGTGGTGGTGATGGGTGTAGTGGTGATGGTAGTGATGGTGATGGGTGTGGTGGTGATGGGTGTGGTGGTGATGGATGTGGTGGTGATGGTGTGGTGGTGATGGGTGTGGTGGTGATGGGTGTGGTGGTGATGGATGTGGTGGTGATGGGTGTGGTGTTTATGGATGTGGTGGTGTGGTGGTGATGGGTGTGTGGTGATGGGTGTGGTGGTGATGGTGATGGGTGTGGTGGTGATGGGTGTGATGGTGATGTGTCTAGTGGTGATGGTGGGTGTGGTGGTGGTGGTGGTGGTGATGGGTGTGGTGGTGATGGGTGTAGTGGTGATGGGTGTAGTGGTGGGGGCGTGTTATTTCATGTGATCCTTGACCCAGCTGTGTGTGAGTGAAAGTGAGAGACGTGTGAATGTTCCGCTACCGTTCTTAGGGTTGATTCAGTGAGGTCCGCCACCCAAGAATACGACGGGTGGTAAATGACTCAACCTAACCTACCCAGTAATGTGGGTGAATGTAGTGACAGATGTTGACATTTACTCATTATCTCTCTCTCGTGTGTAATTATTATCTCCCTCCTTTAGCTTCCTGGTTCCTCCCCATCCCTCTCTCACTCCCTTCCTCCATTACTTACCTCCAGGGATATTTTACGTACGAATCTTTAAGACTATAATTGTTGATTCACCTAATGGTTTGGGATGATGGACTGTGTGGGTGTTAGGTAATGATTGATGTGTTAATACTGTACGTGCGGGGAGTCACGCAGGCGGATGGATAACGTGTTGATGTTTGAGGTGTGTGCATACACAGCTGAGCTTCCCGAACTTCCCGTGGTGAGAGAGAGAGTGGAAAGCCCGCCGTCACACTTAACGTTACCCCTCAGCCGTTTCCTGCCCAGTTCCTCGACACTCATACCTCGTAAATCTGTCTCATGGGATTTTTTTTTTTTTTGTAAATATTGTGTTACCGAGTTTGATCATTGTTTCGAGTACTCTTCGTGTTGATTTGTAGTACAAGTGTCTCTAAACGTAAGCTCCTACAGTTACCATTATATCTGTGTACCTCCCTCTATATACAGGGTGTTTTCCTGAGACATACATAAGGATAAATGACTTCGTGAAAATTAGGGTTGGGATGTGATGAAGTCTATGGAGTATAAATAAAATATTCAGTGTTGCTCGTACATTTTTTTTTCAATCATATACAATCTGATATGGATTTTACAGTAAATATTCATAGTTCCTTATATCTGTCTCAGGAATACAACCCCGAATTATTAAACGTATTTAAACACCCTGTATATATGTTAGGCTCAAAGAACGAAAACGACCACAACGTGTTGTGGATGTTTTCAAAGGAACCAGAAGACGAAATTTTGCGTCTTGGGATTTACCCAGTAGATACAACCTAACCTAGCCTAACCCAGCCTAACCCAACCTAACCCAACCTACCCTACCCTAGCCTAGCTTAACCTACCCTCGCCTAGCTTAACCTAACCTACCCTAAGCTAATCTAACCTAATTTAACCAAACCTAATGAAACTCATCCCAAACAAACGTAACTTAAGCCAACCTTACCTAACCTGTAGCAAAATTTCGCTCTCTGGTTATTTCCCAAATAACCACAACGTTGTGGTCGCTTTTCGGTTTCTGAGCCCAACATATACATTGTACAGTAGAAACCAACTAGCGATGCAAATACTTTAGTTCATCATTAAAAAAAATACAAGGAAAGGGCTCATGCACCGCCTTCACCCACAGCCTCGTAGTATCACATCACAAGACAGAAAATATTAAATGCGAACGGCCTTCAGTACTCATTCACTTGTTTGTTATTGGTGATTAATTGCTCAAAATGACGATTCGAAGTCTGCAAAGGTGAAAATAATAAGGAACTATAATGTAATATGACCTCACGGCACTGCTGACCTAAATGATGCAATAAAAGTTACATTCAATAACAATAGTAAAGGAGTGTGCAAAATAAGCAGTGAAAATGGTTAAGAAATTAAATTAAAAATGACATATAATAAAGACGCAATGTGGCCAATCAGGTCGATTCGCCCTGTGTAGGTAAGTGTGAGGATGGGCAGGTCAGGGGTTAAAGGTTAGCATCATAGTGATTTTTGTGTAAATAGTGATAGGCTCACTCTGCCAACTTTGACCCCAGGAAGTGACCTCTAGCCCTCTACACTTTCAAGGTGCTGCACTACACCCTACAGGTACCTGAACCTCACCTACATATTGAGATAACTTATACATTCCCTTCTAGTCTACAGTTTTTTAGTGCCCCCAGTCTGCCCCTAATTTTCATTCATCGCCATCTGTATGTCCGACTTAAATTTTTTCCCATGTTCGACTTTTTTTTTCATTCGTGCGTCTTCTCAAGCCAATATTCCTTTCATATACAGTATTATGTTTCTTGTACTCCGTTAGTACAGTAAAGCTCAGAAAAACGTTTACCAATTCAGCTTCTTGCTCTACAAATACTTCAGGTACTTCCTGTAAGTCCCCAGGCGTATATTTTGCTTTCCTCCCAGTCTCCTCTTACACCCAAGGATTGCAGTGTGTGGGGGTGGATCCTCCGTGACGTCGACGGCCTCGGCTGTGTGCAGCCAATCAGCTGGCCGTACCGCACTTGCGTCATTACTAATGGCCAAGTTTCCACACACGATTGCATCTGCACTCTTATAAACATTTAATCGGAATAATTGAACCTCAAGTAGGTTCTTTTATACCTAGAAGGGACGTAAAATATGATGTAACTGGAGCAAAGTAAGCACTCGCAACGGAGGACGTGTGTATATGTTATGGGCGGGACGAAATGTAGGCGTGACAAAGGTAGTGAGAGTGAACAGTCTCCACCGGCGGCTGGCCACCAGTGCCTCAGCTGACTTGAAACGCGCCTGGTCTACGCGGTCACTATCATACAACACTGCCCACCTGTTATTAATTATCTCCGAGTCACTAACACTTTCAGACAAGTAAGTAAACACAGTGAAAGTTGCAGCCATAAAGTGTTGCGCCGTGATGTCTACGACCAGTATTGCCGTGTTTCGTTTAGAAAGTTCGAAGCCAAGAACACTTCAAGGATGAGTTGAAAGCAATTATTGAATTTTTTGTATAGCAACAGTTTACATAGTCAGAAGAATTTTACAGGCTTGAATTGTAAAAAGAAGATGCTGTTATTATTTTAATGAAGGCTATAGTTTTCTTCGAAAAGGCAGAAGACTTCCAGATACTGGACTAACTGGGAATAACATGGGACTGTTCTTTGGCTCACTCATGCCAGATGTATAGGCTACCGTACGTAATCACAGGAACGTCAGTACCTGACTAATTACCGTTAACTTGGTGGTCATGCTTAGTGTCATTCTACTGATTAGCTCGCTGGTGTAGCGGCACACACACACACACACACACGTACTCCTAATTAACATTGGTTCCTTCCACTCAGGGATGCTAAAGAATGCAACGTCGTGGAGTAGTTGTAATAATCATATTTATAACTGTTTTGATCTACTACTACTACTACTACTACTACTACTACTACTACTACTACTACTACTACTACTACTATTATTGTTGTTGCTGTTGTTACAACTACTACTACTACTAATGGTCATTTTTAAGTGTATTAGCTAATGGGTGAGTGTTTCGCCTTACTACAGACAAGGGGAAACATTACATTTACTTTCTTTGTGTATGATAGAAAGATCAGCATCTCAACAAAAAAAGAGTTTTTAAGTAATAGCCGCTAACAGGCCCATCATTGACAACGAGAATAAAGTAATAGTGTGAGTGAACGAGAGGAAGTAAACTCCAGGGGAAATGCACAGCAGATTAGAGCAAGTTGGAGCTGTAGGTGGTGCCCTCGATCAGGTGAAAGTCTCCTTCACCAGCTGATGCGACTCTGACATCACCAGTCATAATAAAAACTAACGCATACATAATATGCTGTAATTTGTATTGTATTTGGTCTATAATTTGTTATATCTTTTTTCTTTTCGTCACAAACAAGCAAATGTTTGTGTGCGCGCACGAGTTTGAATGTCAGTACTGTATACTATTGTCAAATTTTAAAGTACTGTGTACTGTACTTTAGTCTCCAGAATATTACTTTAAAAGGTTGCAACCACGGCCACTTAATAGACAGTTAAGAATAATGTGTTGCAGATAATACGCTGTTAAGGGGGATGGTTTAAGTAACAGCTGTAGAGAGAGAGTAATTATTGTATTATTATTATTATTTTTGCAGATCGTGAGGAAGATGCCGTGCCCATTCATGTCCCGCTTGTCGGCACAGTATGTGCGTCACTACAGTTCAGCGCTGGTCCGCCAATATGGAGAGATGTGTCCCGTGATCAACACTATTGCCCGATCCAGAGCCTTCAACTCTCTCTCCTCTACAACCAAGGACCCCGGTCAGTACCTCACACTTGTTATATTCAGCACACGCTAGAACCTTCAACCCACTCCCCTCAACCACTGGTGATTGACGCTAGTGGTAGCGAACTCCACAACCTTCAGCTCTCTCCAACACTGTCAAGGTTCCCGTCCATTACCACACATATTTGTCTCAACCTTACTCCAACACTAAACAGTAAAGATTATTGGTTCCTGCCTCCCCATATCCTGTGACTCAGTAAACTAAACCCCACATTGGGATGATATTTAGGTTACTGGAGCGCTCCCTGCTCCTTGTTCTTGAGTGTTGCCACATAACTTATAACACATGCACACAATATTTTATATCTGTTGAGGAAAACTTCGTGTTCAATGTTTTTTAACATTGGATATGGAGATTTTATCTTCAAAGTCTCTCTCTTTATACAGTACAGAGAAAGCATTTTATAATTGTAAAGATAGATTTTGGAAATACTGTACAGTAACCCTATGCAGTGATAGTATTACAAAGGTGGGACCTTTACACATGAAATATATAAAGTTTATTCAGAAATACAATGACAGTTTAGGTGTACTGAAAATTGCAGGTATAGTGCTGGACAGTTATTTCAGGTGGTGACACTCATGAAGGTGGTCTTATCCAACAGTATCTTCTCGTCTCACTCACCACAACTTCTCGTGGTCTTAAACACATATTTATACCCAAACATGTTATTTATGATGGCATGTAAACCACAGAACTAATACCAATTTAACCAGCACTGCACTGAATAATTTTTGCAGCTGGTATTTACAGATCACATAATAAAAGTGTTTCCATGTTAGTGAATTCTATACTGTATTCTGGCAATTGCTGTGATACTGCCCGTCTGAGGCATGTTATTCAGTTCTTGTGAAAATGAGTGGGTGAGGAATAAATGACACATTCACAAGGCTGTAGAGACCTTCCTGTGTGTCAGTTATTTCTTATCCACCCCATATATTACCATACACTGTATTCCTGCTGTGTGATGTGTAAGCTGGAGAGCATCACACAGCTGCCTCACATCTCTCAGTGTTATCAGTTGTTTATCTGTAATAAATGCTTGACCAATATTTGTTTATGATATCACGGCCCTTGTTAGACTGCAGAAGTAAAAGTTATAGGAATACTCTCTAGGTAACATTTTAGTACAGTACACAGTTATACGTTATCAACGACTGATTTGATAGTGTTGCGCCTTATAAGTCATGAAGAAAGTCAGGTAAATATTGTGACATCTGTACTGTAGATAATTTAACCCTCCCTCCCCCTAGCAATAACACAGCTCCACTGGAGGATTAACCCTCTGCTGGGGTCCAAGATCCAGTGATTTAATTATTAGCTCCGGCTGAGTGCTACAGGTACAATCTGTTTACATTTTATTCTTTAATCTTATGTATCAAAAATTCACTAAAATGTAAGACATGCACACATACACTATTGTACAGTGTATATTAAAGAAAATTGTTATAGTGAAGTTGTTTTATCTGATCGTACATGAAAATTTTGTCTGCAAGGAGTCTGCATGTGTGTTTAGTCATCAAAGTCACTCCTGCTTTATGTTAATATTTCACATTTGCATTTGTTACCTATGATTATTTGATGACATGGTATCCTTGTTGTCATCAGGCAGATTTGAAGCAAGTTTTATGCCTGGACGCCCTTACTATCATCAACCCACTTTTATGTTGTGGGAACTGGGCATATGTGAAGGCCTTCCAAGCACTTTCTTCATTAATGAAAGAGGGTCACTTCTCCTTTAGGTAATCAGAGTTTTTATATATTGTACTGTATGTAGTTTTAGCAACTTTTGATCATAACGAGAGTTTTCTTTTTATTTATTCTTCAGTGGAAGGCGAGAAGAAATGTCCTTTCCTGAATGGCAAGAACTTGGTAAAGCATGCAAGCCGAGAAGTACAAGAGGATGTAATTGATCTCTCTGCCAGGGAGCAAGGTAAGACTAACACCCCTACTGTATCTTGTTAGAAATTTTATGATACAGTACTGTACTGAATTGAAGTATTTTCAGAAGTTAAAAGTTAATGATGATTGGTTACTGTTGGTGATAAGACAGTGAAGTCTTTTGGCTAATAGAAACATTTGAATTTATAAATTGATATTCATCATACATACTATAATATTTACATGACTTGGCCTTTTACAGGCCCTGCTGGACTAGAAGTCAAACCAAAGGAAAAGGCAAAATGCCCCTTTTTAGCTTCTCAGGTAACCCCTGAAATCAAAGATAAAGGTATGCTTCATATTAGATGTAGAGAGTTCAGTAACTTAACAAAGTTGATAATACCTCTAATATTTAACAACTGTCTGCTTGTAAGTTAAAGATGAATTTATGACAACTGATTATCTAACCTGAAGCATGTATAATACTGACTCTTATTACTTCGTGGTTACTCACACTTTCACACAATTTATGCTTATATTTGATAATTTGTTCAATTTTTGTGTAGCATAGAAAGCATTAGCAATGCTTAAGTTATATATTTACTACCTGTAGTACAGTACAGGTCGACCCCGATTTACAAAATTGCATTTGAAAAAATCAGAAGTTACAAAATTTAATTTTTTTTTAATTTACTGTACTTCAGAAAATATGAAATAGTGATTTTTTTCTCTTGCACAATTGGAAGAAGCCAATGTACTGACACTGGCAACTCAGGGCTTCCCTTACTGAACCTGGTCATTTTATAAAGTCAGTTAACCCTTTAGATGAAAGCCTCACACTTAAATATTTTATTCTGACTAATGCCAGACAATTTTATTCAGCTGAGAGAAACCTGTGCCCTCTAAAGGGTTAAACTATAAAAATCGTACAGTATTAAACTGTATTAAAAGTGTTTACCTAGCTAAAAAATAAAATACAATGTATTTAGTTATCATGGCTCACAGGGCTGCTACATGAAGCTTGGCAAAATACTGACTCAAGATATTTTGACTGGGAATGCTGTTGTGTTTAATATCCCAGAGTTGGTCTGATGTCAGTGGAAAGAATATAATGTTGAATTGGATCTCATGTCAGTGGAAAACTACAATGTTAAATTGATAAACTTAATATTACTTCTTCAAAAAAGCAACATAAAATATCAAATCCAGTGAAAGCAAAGTACTGTATCTCAAAATGCACATACTTTACCTGTAATACAACAGACATACTGTTGGTACATCTCTACAAAATTGAAATTCTGTGTCTTGACTGAGCCCTCCAGTCTTGCACTGCATCACAATCAGTGGTGCAATTTCTCAATACAGTAACTTGTGTGTCCTTCGCTGCATGTATTTCACTTAGCGTTATGTGTATTGGCTTATAATCATGGTGTAGTCTACAGTACACCAAATTTTAGATATATTTTTATTTTTTATGTAATTATTTATTTTAATTTTTCATTTTAAGACTTTTTCCCCCATAGGAGTGCATTTCAGCTTTTATTGTGGGAGTCTATTGGAAAATGACGTCTGGTTTACAAAATTTTTTTATTTATAAAAGGTTTTTCAGGAATGAAACCCTTTTGTAAATTGGGGAATACATGTACTTGTACTGTACATATATACTATTGATCCTTACTTGTTTGGCATCTTATTTTGTGCTGTCTTTTGTTGTTAGTATTTAATGTTTGAACTTTTGTTACATGATCTCATAATACAAGTTAACCAAAATATTTGGTATGACTTAGTATTTTTTGTATTACCGGTACAGTATTTGATAATGATTGCCATGAGTTAGTGGGGGAAAAGATAACTGTTTGTGGTCAGGTGGGCATGTCATATTAACCTTTTTTTTGCATACTATAGATGACATGAAATGGGTGATGAATTCATAACATTTACCAAGGTGACTCTGGTGAAGAGAAAGCTGTGATTTTTTTGCTGCAGTTGGTGGAATTACACTTGAAAAATAAACTTTGTTCAAAAGAATGTGCCACCAACATTTTGGACTACAGTGGGAATTTTAATCCACAAACTATGTTGTCCCTGAGTCTTAGAAAGAATAGAAGTTGAGATAACAAAATATCTATGGACAGCACATAGTAATTGAATTCAAGAATGCAACACCAGGTCAACTAGGTATAGAAGAGGCACCCTGGCCTATAACAACACCTGAATTCAGTTATGTTCTAAACTCATGATTATCTGACACAAAGACAATTAATTAATCATCTAAAGTGAATTAGTTATTAACAGGAAGAAAATGCAAATAGGAATAGAGGTTCATAACACAGAAAACAAAGCAGTGAATTAAACTCAGAGAATTTAAAGTTAGCAACAACACACTCCACAAGGTCTCCCCAGCTGCAGTATATCCCCACCCTGCATGTCACTAAAGTCTTCTAATGACAGTCGCTTATAAAATGAATCTCATACACAGAATATGTATGGACTATGTTGCAATTAAAAAATGATGTGCTACAATGGTTCTGGGTGTAATAGTCAACAAAGCAAATTGTTGGAATGTACCAGTAGTTGCTAAGGTAGGAAGTTTTGCATGAATCGTGCAAACAATTATAATGGTGAATATTTTACAGCTCTATATATAATTCCACTCTAAGTTGTTGGTACTTCCATAGCTTTGAGGCCAATATTGATGATGCTTTTGAAAACCTTAAGTAAAATTTCAAGTCGGAAAAAGAGGCTATTGATGTTGACGTTTGTTCTTTTGGTTTTTTAAATTAAAGTACTGTTCTTTCTTTGTGTAACATGTCCTTTTTTTATTTATCTTTACAGAGTTGAATTTATTCCCATACAATGAATTTTTCCAAGAGCAAATCGCTCAGAAGAAAGCGGACCATTCCTACCGTGTGTTTAAGAAAGTCGCTCGTATAGCTGACCAGTTCCCCAAAGCCAAGGAGTATTCCTGGGGAGAGAAAGATATTACTGTATGGTGTTCCAATGATTATTTAGGTGAGAAGACTAACTATTTTTAACACTGTAAAAAAAAGATTTTTGGTATTACAGATATAAAATGCATGTCAGGATCGGGTTGAAAGTCTAAATTAAACAAGCCTTTGACAAGAACTTTCCATCATGATATACAATATTTTAATGATTGTAATTTACTCTGAGTGAGAAGTAATGTGGTTACTTATTTATTACCATATCATTAATAGGGATGTCTCGTCACGAGGATGTACGTGCTGCAGTGCGGGCATCCTTAGATAAACATGGTGCAGGAGCTGGAGGAACAAGGAATATTTCTGGTAACACTATTCTGCATGAAAGTCTAGAAGCCAAGTTAGCATCAATTCATCAGAAGGACGCAGCTTTACTCTTCACTTCCTGCTATGTTGCTAATGATTCCACGCTGTATACTTTAGCCAAAGCTTTACCAGGTATAGTACTGGATTATTGTATATATTTATTTGCTAGCTTTAAAAAGAGTAGAGATGTAAGATTCTTCTGGATAAGGAATATTGTAGGTGTACAGAGAGGGTACGGTTAGGTAGATTTATAAACAGTAATTTAAGTTGTAAGGGTAAAGAAGAAACTTTGTCGACAAAATAAGATGTTTAACAGTTCAATATAGTAAAGAATGATGAAGTTGGCAGTGATACAGTACAGTATATGGTTACAGAGGAGTGTGAGATTAAAAACACTTTCATGAATTCAGAAGAAAGTTTTTATCTACAAACATTTTATTGGTTCACTGTGCCATCAGCTTTCTTTCATTATATGATATAGTATCTGCAAAGTCTAATATAAATATTTAAGTGTTGAGGCTGTCTCTTTGCAAAATTTTTGGCTACTGATACTGTTTATATTTGTGCAGACCAAAAACTTCTCTTGTAATTCTATGATGAAACATGAAATAATTTTTGCATGCTATAGCCTTAGTAGTTTACAATACAGTAATCACCTACAGATCAGTTTGCTTTGGTTATTTCTAAAACAAATTATTTTCTCAATACAATCGAATCTAGTTTGGTAAATGAGTAATTACTAATTAAGCACAAAATTTCAGGAAAAAATATTCTACTATAACTGTGTAGTATAACTGCCAAAATTTAATTTAATTTTCCAACTTATCTTTAGAAATGTCAGATTAATGGTTTGTGAATATTTTCAGGTTGCCACATCTTCTCTGATGAAGGAAACCATGCTTCAATGATTCAAGGGATTCGCAACTCTGGGGTTCCCAAGCACATCTTCCGGCACAATGATCCAAAGTCCCTTGAAGAGCTGCTAAAATCAATTGATGTTGGTATTCCAAAGATTGTGGCCTTTGAAACTGTTCATTCCATGACAGGAGCTGTATGCCCCCTAAATGAATTGTGTGATGTAAGTGCTGCAATACTTTTTCTTTATCCACAATTAAATTGGTCATTTCTTTTACATCCTGGTTCATGTTGGTTTCTGTAATAATAGTACTCTAATAATTTAAAAAAAAATGCTTATCATATTAAACTAGTCTCTTTTACCCATTGATCATAATATGAACATTGAATACTGCATACTGTTATTACTTTTGACATCTTGTATTTCATTCTAAGCTTGATATTATCAGTCATCATATATTTTTTGAAGATTATGTGTGTACAGTATTTCATATAAAATTCTTTAACTATATGTAACTTACCACTGAAATTCCCTCTTACTGCACCAATTAAACCTTATAAAAACTTTAAATTCAACTTGTACAAATACAATGCCAATAGAAAGCATGGTATGATCCAGGTATCCCTCATTATCTTTATTTAAATACTGTACAATACTGTACTCAATTTTTACACGTCACCTTGCCATTGGATGGTAACATTTGCTTATCTGAATGTTGGTCCAAATACAGCCAGGCACTGCCTCAACTGTTAATTATTTTAGTGTAGAAAATATTGTCATACAGTACTGTACTGTACTTTGTTTATACAGTACTTGTTAGTGGGGTAGCTGAAGGCTACCAGTTTCTGTAGAAAGTTTTACAGAAAACTTAATATTTCATTGACTGATCATTCGCTGCAGGAACAGTATAGTATTATGTATCCAATAAATGTTCTCATAAATTTTGTGTAGTAAGACAAAATGGTGAAAATTGTTTCTTTATTATCCAGGTTGCACATAAGTATGGAGCAATTACCTACGTAGATGAGGTGCATGCAGTTGGTTTGTACGGTGAGAGTGGGGCTGGAATAGCAGACAGAGATGGTTTACACCACAAGATTGACATTGTTTCAGGAACTTTAGGTAAGAATAATTCATTTATCAAAGGTCTTTCATATATATCATACCTAAGAGAATACTTCTCTGGTGGGTCAATACTGTACGTATCTTTCCAAGAGTTAAATACATTTTTATGTTAAGAAGATGGTCTGTCTTCTATCGGTTACTAATGAAGAAGAAAGCTAAAGTAATATTACTCGTAAGAAAATAGTTCAAATATTCCTTCTTGATAAAATACAGTAATGTCAAAAAGTATATCTTAGATTACTTATAAATTTATGACTTACTTATTTATATTAACTTCAGGTAAAGCTTTTGGCAATATTGGAGGTTACATTGCTGGGAATGGATCTCTGGTGGACATGATAAGAAGCTATGCTGCTGGTTTTATCTTTACAACCTCACTGCCGCCAACTGTTGTATCAGGGGCATTAGCTGCTGTCAGTATTCTTAGTGGGGCCGAGGGACGAGCCATGCGTGCAAAACACCAGAAGGCTGTTCGTTACCTGCGGAGTTCACTCATGGAAAAAGGATTACCAGTGGAACATTGTCCATCCCATATCATACCAGTCCATGTAAGTACTTATTAATTACTGTTCTCACATTATAGTATTGCAGGTATAGGTCCTCAAATCTGGGACTCTTGAGACCAAGACTGAAGTAGTTTCCTGGGTCTTAGGTCAACCGTCTGTTACAGTAGGGCTACCAATAGATTGTGTCAAGTTTGGCTTCCACACACTCACCTGAATGTTTGTTTTAACTAACAAAATTAAGAAAACATCATTGCATGCATACTTTGAATGAAAGAAATACATTATATACAGTATAGCCTTTTTACCCAATATTTTGCATAAATGTGGTCTAATGTTACAGAAAGACGTGACATGATTCATACAATTGATTACCTTAAATTCATTTTATTCACATTCCTCAAGATTAGTTTACCTGACCTGAAAACTTGTTCCCACAGGTTGGAGATCCTTTACAGTGTACCAAAATATCGGATGAACTGATCCGTAACTACGGTCATTACGTACAGGCCATCAACTACCCAACAGTACCCAGAGGACATGAAAAGCTTCGTATAGCTCCCACCCCTCAGCATACCCCTGCCATGATGGATCGTTTTGTTGATGACCTAATAACCGTCTGGAAAGATCTTGAGTTACCATTGTGGGATAGGAGCTGCTCTGAGGTAAGCACTCTAGATGCATATTTACTTTTTATATTTGCTTTATTCTGTTCTCCAGACAAACAACAGTTTTTAGTTGCTTTACAAGCCAGCATATTGAAAGTTGTGATCCAATCTTACATTCTAATACCTATCAGCCATTTTTGTTTTTAAAGAATATCCATAAGTCTTATACTAGTATTAAGATGTAGACAGACATTATTACATTAGAGATTGTTTAAATAGTGTTGAGATAGACATTATTTTAGAAAATGTTTGAATAATTCTATCTTTGGGAGACTGAAAATGAACCAGATATTTTAAAATAAAGTTGAGTAAATAATAAATTTCTATTTAGTTATTGGTTGAGTCCCTCCTAACCACCGACAATGAAAGCCCCATCATTTTTCCCTTGTTCTCCAGCTTATTTGTTCACTCAGTATCTCAAAAGTGGGTGGGTAAGTTACAGTATCTCAACTGAAAAGCTGGAACCAAGAGGCTTCCATAAAATAGACAATTGCATAAAGTGGATTCTATAGTGAACATGTGTCCAAGGAAAGCATATAATAAACCAGAGTACTGTACTTGTTTTATTTGGGTTATATAATTAGTTTCTCCAAATGCTTTACTGTACCTGGACACTAACTTACTTCATTATTCTCTCACACTCACCATGTTATTAAGTCTACAAATAAGCTTTCATTGTGTCGTCATTCTCTTACAATCACCATATAACTTACTCCTCAAAAACTCATGTGAGGATAAGTAGACTCATCACGCACACCACCGCACACACAGTCACTCAGCCAGTTACCTGATTGTCCAATTTCACCTCATTTACCCTCATGTAGTTTGTAACTAGAGGAAGATTATTCCATATTCTTAAATTTCCTGTGCTAATTATGTACACTTAAGTTTTAGAGTTTTAGGAAAAAGTGTGGAATTTGGAAGTGAAGAAATGTGTGGAAATGTGGATATTACTGGCAGTGTTCAAGGGAGGGTTAGCTCAGGCACTGGTTGGCTGGCTGGTAGCTTTGTGTCTTTATGTTCTGACTTTTTCCTCCAGTGGCTTTAAGGGACCGATTTTTTAACATTTGAAGGCAGCTCTCAATAAATTTGCAGTTGTTTAGAATTTTCAGTTCCTCAAAGACTGTCCTTAGTCCAATTTAAAAAAAAATCCACCGTTAATATATACCCGGTATACACTTAGTACTGTATGTTTCCTTTTACTTTTTGATTCACAGGTATTGTACCACTTGTGTACCAAAATATAATTTACTTTTGTAAATCATAATGATGAGAAATAATACCATTTACATTAGCTACTTTATTTTTAAATATATATTTTTTTTTATATGTTTCAGGAATGTACTTTCTGCAAGAAGCCCCTACTCTTTAACGCACTGGAAGCAAGGGAGCGATGTAATACAGAGTGTGACAAGCCATATTGTCCCCAGTTTGTTGAATGCTTTTAACAGTAACAGAAACAAGTTAGTACTGAATTATGTCAAAGGTTTTGACTGAAATTATGATAAAGGATGATGCTGGAGTTCCTTTTGATGGTCACCATCAAATTTTAGTTCTTCATTGTTTATTTTTTCTTTCATCACTGAAGAAATTTAATCGTTTTTCCTATCAATTATATTTCTATGTTATTTAAATACAGTATAATTATATCTGCCATTTATAAAACATCATAAATTTTTTTTCCTGTTTTAGATTATTTAGGTGCGGGTATTATAATTATGCAAAGTGAGTTTTCAAAAAGTATTTGTACCCACACTTTTTCTAGTTTAATTTATTGAGTTTGACAATGTTTGGTATTATAAAATATATATTTTTTATTTATTTATTTATTTTTTTATTGTGTACTGAATTACAGTATTTGCAGTTTTGCTGATGTGTGCACTTGCACTATTGGTTGATGGTGATCATTTATAAGGTTTAGTGTGGAATAGTTCTGTAGAAGCTTAAACTTGTGATGCAATATATAAATGCCGACACTGCATAATGTACACATGTATTATTCAGTGCACTTGTAAAGAGGCAGCAAACTTGCTTCTTTTGGGAGAAAAAATTATGCTAATCATATGGTGATTGTCACAGTTTTGAAAACACATGATTGTAACCTGGATGGTTCTTAACTGATTTTCTCAATTTGTGTTACAACACCAAAATATAATGTCTTTCTTTTTTCTTTTTTTAATCGTGTACTTGTTGTGTGTAGAGGAGCTGTTTCTCAAGATCTTCAAAAGGCTCATTGTAGGTGTTGACTTACAGTAATTAACAACATCAGAAGTTTACAGATAGATAACTGTGTTGGAAAATAATGAACTAATTTCCTCCTGCTATATATGAGTTTCTTATCTGTTTGAAAGCTCATGAACAAATGTACTAGTCCTTAACATGTTTATTCAACCTGGTTTTATTCTTGTTTGTAATAGGTAGACACTGGTTCTGTGATATTTTAAATTATCAGATAATGTTCCTGTTGATATGTGGAGGTAACAAGTGATGCGTACCATCAGATGAAATTTTTAATTCATTGTTAGGTTTCTATAAAAGTGTTGTGTATAATCTTAAATTTGTATTATAAATGTGCTGGAAATTTTTTCAAAGTAAAAGATCATTTATATGTGTGGGTCTCCTGTTGATTAGCATAATTTTGAAATAGGTCTCACATGCAGCTGTAGTAGATACAAAATTATGTAGCAAATTAACCTTGCACAAGGATGCTGTATATAACCACTAGATGTAAAACTATTGTCCTCTCACTGTCAAACTTTGCACTTTTTGGAAGTTATGGCTGTAATTCACTAAAACCTGACCCTCACACAGGCTGTATATTTTAAACACAGACAGTTCAATAATATGCAAATGTAACTGTTTTTTTTTCTCTTTTCTGAACTTGATATAAACTCTGTGTCAATCAATATTTTACAATTCAATTATTATATTTCAGTTCATTATTAGTTCTTTTAAGTAGGTTCACCATTATGATTTATGTTTATGATTATTATTATTAATTTTTTTATTTCCTTGAATTTAATTGTCTAATTAGAGAGTACAGGTAATTGGTGATAGAGGAAACAAACCGCAAACACATCATGAGGTACTCTGGTTTGATCCAGGGCAACAGAGATGAGAAATATGCTATTCTCTCTGTTGTTCACATAGCTGTCTTGCCTTTCCTTTATCCAGTATTTCTCGAATCTTCCTCGTTGAAATCCTACTACCCATTAAACTACCGTACTCGTTTTTTTCTCTCTCTCTCTCTCCAATTATGCCGTGATTTTGATCAGGTCATGTGAGGCAATGGCATTAGATGACACTATAGGGCTTTCCCAACCTGACTACTCATTCATATACATTTTACACTGTATGTGTGCACAACCTTTCAAAATGAGTCAAGTCTTGAATTAGTTCTTCAACAAAGCTAAACAGTACAAGTGATGTATTTGACAGCCCATTATCTTAAAAATTCCTATTTTTACTCTGAGCATTTTGTAGAATTACATGTCATATATGGTACATGATCTTCCACTGGCAATTCTGGAGACCAACAACTGTGTTCTTGCATTTCTATGCATTTCATGTCCCATTGTTATGTTTTATTGTATTCAAAGATATATATATATAATGAATGAATAATATATTTTAAAAATAATGTAACTTTTAGCAGCATTTACAATAAAGTAAATTACTGGTGAACACTGACAGTATGACACCATGAACAATTGTAGCACTAATAGATGTCTTACAGAGCATGAAAGAAGACTTTTATTAACCTTGTGTGTGAACTGAGTAGAATTAGATGCTGTCTGATACTGGGTGGCTGGAACGAAGAGCAAACAGGTTTTCCCCTTGTGTTATTCATTCTATGTAACTGCTATAATATATACGATTTGCTGTTCTACTTCAAGATGATCATCCTGGTATCCTTGTTAGTGCATACAACTCTAACACACAGTATGTAAATTTGAAAAATGCATGATGTAAGTAAGATATATAGTGATTTAATAAACTCGGTTTTCATATTTTCTTTAGCGTATGTTAAGGATGTTGTGTTATAAGGTGTATATCAATTATTTCATATGGCTGGTTTGAATTTCAATTACAAACAACAGTTATTTTAGTCTGGAGCATAAGAGTGCAGCGAGAGAGGGTAAGTGATTAAATAAAATCACCGGCCTTGTGGTGTGGTGTGCCCAAGCTAGAAAACCAATGACAATAATGAGTGACATTATAGTACTAATTGTGATCTACAACTTGAGCCTTTTCTGATAAACCTTCAATAAAGACATCGGGGAGAAAGGGGAAGAGGAGTGTGACACATGAGTGTGGCGGTTCTGGTTCATCTCCAACACTCATGACTACTTATCCTGCATCACCTATGGCTAGTAATCCTGCTACCACTTTCATTAGGAGGCTTAACACCCTGCTTGCCTCTCTATGACCCTTGCTGGCTCTTTGACCCCTATACAACCTGTTATGACTCTTGCTCATCCTGGATTCAAGATTAGGTCGCCTCGTAAGAGAACGATGTGTCATTCGCCTGGTAAGAGTACAACCAGTGTAATTAGTGATAAATTTAGTAATATGTGGCTACAGGATCACCCGGAAAAGATTAAACAAATAATGAGTGATCTTCATCGCTTATGTCTCAAAATAATAGTGAAAGTGATATACTGTACAGTACTATAGATGACCTTCAGGAATCAAAAGGGCATTAAAAAGACATCGATAAGTCAATTAGATCAGATTTTATAAATACTGTACTGTAACCCTCAACATTTTGGATGTGGGATTACTGAAAAAAAAGGTTATCTTTATCACATTAATTACATAATTTTTATTATACACATTTTTTTTTACGACAATGAAAAAAAAATCATTTATGAGTTTATTAGATGCTGAGGTAATGTCAGTGGACCTGAGTATGTTAAGATATGGGATGGTATCTGGGATAAGCTTTCAACGAATACAAATGCAGAAACAGGGAGCTGTGGAAGGGCAAAAAATGTTGAAGAGAGAACAAGTCAGGGTGTGTTTAGATGGTATTTGTATTATGTATGAAGGGATCAAAGGAAAAATTTGGTAAATATTGTACAGTAATTTGGAGGTGCATGAATAATAACAGAACAGCATCAAATGATTAGGGCAGTAAGAATGAATAAACTTAAAAGTAAATCATGTGAATGCATGTATAGGTATTTGTTTCTTGGCTCAAGACACCTTGCCTTGTGGCTGACAAAGGCATGAAAGTGAAAAAGTGATGAAATCAGGCTTATACAAAGTTAATGTCATACCCTTGGTGAACTACTCTATTAGAGTAGTGATCTCACTGTTCCTGTATGGTTGGATTTTTTCACACCCTAATGTTGATGTGGAAATGCTTAAGGAATATACAGACACAAGCAGATAAACAGACAGAGAATGTGTTTTATTATTATGTATGTATACAATATAATACCTGTATATGTAATCTAAAGACAATGCTAAGCAGTTCGGCATGTTAACAGTTATACTTTTTTGTCAGGTATAACTTGATGAATTATACCAAAAGTTTAATCGCGACTATATCTAGTCAGAGATGGTTCGAAATAGTGGCCTTACTATTCTAGTTGTGGAATACCCAGTAATGAAAGATCATCAGAGAAAGTAAGTAATTATGCGAATTAATGGTGTAATTGCACTTCACAGGACTGCCACTGTGTATGAGGTACACAGTTACCTGCGTCGAATGGCTCAACTTTTTCGCGATGTATTCACCAAAAATTTTACAATTGTGGATAAAATTTCTTGGACACTTGGCACTATCTTGTAAGTACTTGAGAGGGTTGGAATTTTATGCACAGTATATTGTTCTTTGTATTAAGGAAGATTTTTTTGCATTCTCTGGTTCCAACTTGATATGTAATGAAAAGCAGCATTAATAGACAAAAACCAATCATATCCTCTGCAGCGTATGAGAAGGGTGTTGTATAAGGTGTGTTATTTTAGCTTGGAGTATAAGAGTGCAACGAAGGAGGGTAAGACATTAAATAAAATCACCGGCCTTGTGGTGTTGGGGATTACTTTCCCTAATTTAGAAAAATAAATTTCCTCTCCAGAAAAGTAAACTTTTTTGGAGTGAGAATTGTGAACTTTTGTAACAATGTGACAGTGAGTGTTGTTACGACACTGAGTGTGAACTCTTTCAAAGTTAGAGTTGACCAACATTGGAGCAGGTTCAAATACATCCAGGCGTCTCAGGACAGGAGGCAGTTCAAGCCCAGTACAGTACTTGCCAACAGTGAGGAACAGAGACGTGACCGAGCACCCAAGCGGCTAACGAGCCGATCAGTGGCGAAGAGTATAAACGTAAAAAAAAATAAGTGAATCACTATTTATCTATTTTGTCAGAAACAGTTGCCATATGATATTAGAATGAAGAACTGATTGCTCTTCTATAACCGGGAATTTGTAACAAGTAAACATGGCTATTTCACTGACCGACATCTTGCACTTGGACACGTACACATAACCTAATCCAAACTATTATGTGTAAGTGTTTGCTTATACAGGAAATATAAAGTACCATCACTTTTAAAAAAAATAACATTCCTCTTTAAGCAACTGAAAGTAATTGAAATTTGAAGTAGATGAGGAATAGTGACATAAATAGTAATGGAAATATGGGCAAGGTAAAGGTATCAATTTTGTTGGTACCATTTTAGAGGATCTTCTGGTACTACTAGTGGTCTTAGTACCACACTGAATACGACTTGTTTAAACAAAATATATTATATTGTCCATGATAAAACAATTATTGGTCTATTCATATTATATCCCAACACTAGCCACCTTGTCTCATCTCCAGCTCGGCCTAGATGTGGATTCTCACCGGATTGAGGAATTATATGACAGACAAGAACGAGTGTATCAGGCATGAACACAGCGGACATTTGTGGAGTTAATGAAGGAAAGATTACTCGGAGATTAAATTATTGTTCATCTTAGTGCGTAAAGTGTAAGTATGAAAACAAAGTGTTGTATAGTTTAGTGAAGTGATTTAACCGAGGTCTGTTTATAATATAGATCTGTATAAACAACAGCCTCCATGATAAGTGTTGTTATTTTATACAGTAACAATCAGATTAACCAGTTATAGGCTTTACCCACTTGTAACTTAGTGGATCAAACCAGGTTAGTGTACTCTGCTTATCACCATGACTCAGACAAACATCCATTCATGACTGTGTTGTAGGAATATATGTTACCCCACAGTCCATAAATAAATGCCAGAAGCACTATGGACCGCCACAACCAGCAACTTAAAACACATATCACACAAAATAAATGCTTTCTTACATCACGAAAAAGCCACAAATTGGATGAGGAAATCGTTTCACTTAATATTACAACTTTCCATCCTGAGTACTGAACTCGTCTTTGGCTGAGAGGTCTGAGGTGCTATGCCATGGGGAGTTTGTTTGTCTTGTGTTATTAACTCTAACTTGCAGGTAAACTTCAAATATAGATTGGACAGATATACGAGTGTGAACAGGAGTGCCTAACCTAACCTAAAATATTACCTATTCAACTATGTTATTTGGTATTATTGTGTAAGTTGCCCCCCACTGTAACTTGACAAATTTGTTTTTGCAGTCAAATGTCGAGACAATTTTATGACACTCTTATGACCGTTCTCTCGTAAATGGTCATACAGGGGGACTGCTTAGAAGATTAAGTTAGGTCATTTACGAAGGAATGCTCAATTACCGGTCACAGTAAATAGCTTGATAGGCTGTTCTGGGCTATTTTGCCGGACCATTGTTTATGTAATAGAAGTAATGATATATATTTAGTAATTATTGTATTATCATCTGCAACAGTATTACTCATTAAGTTATCCCAAACCAACCAAACCTACCTAACCTACCTAACCTTACCTAACTTCCTAACTGGCGGACCTCCTGGCATATTAAATATCTCGGTTCTAGGTTATTTGCGAGAGAAACATCGTAGAAGAAACGTGTCTTGGAAATTCCTGAGATTTGGTTAGTGGCAACAAATTCAATATATTTTTTAGTAATTTTATGATTTACAATTCACGATATCTCGGTTGTGGATAAAATATGAGAAAATTGTCATAGAAGAAATTGGTCTTGTTTTCGTCTGAAATTATCATTAAACATGTTTTACATTGTACTACAATAAATACTATTATATCATTACCTGTACAGTTATGGAATCATTTACATTATTTAGGTTAGGTTTGGTAAAAGCACTGCAAACACTGATGATATGGCAGTAATTTCATGTCTCTGCTTGCTTTGTAGGCAAAAAATAAATTATTTACTGTAATTATGGCACCATCGAATCTCCCTTGGCAAACAAGTTGTGGTTCAGTTCATCTGCTATATGAGAGCCTCTGCAGTCTTTGCTTACATGTCAGGAAATGAAGGACAATCTCATCGAGCGTGTTTATTATGATTAATATTGCATTAAATTGGTTAATTTTTTCAAGAGATGTTGTTTGGATGATAGTAAATAAGAAAATTGAAACGACAATGCACAGGTTAGAAAGTTAGGTGAGGTTAGGTAATGTTAGGTCAGGTTCTAATAGGTTCTGTGTATTATTTTGTTTTGATTTTCTTGCTTAATATCATCCAAACAACATCTCCTAAATATTTGGTGCAATTCCATAAAGTCCTTCTGGTGCTAACCATCTCCTCCACCATTACCATACTTTTTCACACAGAGGCTGGTAAACCAATGGAACGGTCTACCAGCCCAAGCTGTGGAATCGAGAAAAGTTTTGGGCTTCAAAATAGCCCTTGACACAATTATCAACAACAATGGAGGAATTGTACACAAGCCACTGGCCTCCTTCCCTCGACATGGTCACCTCTAGTGGGTGGCCATTAGGTAAATGAGGGTCAAATTTGTATTAGTTGCCATCTACTGAATCTCGAGAATTTTATCTTTGCAATCAATATTTCAGACAGTTCTAAGACACTTATCTTCTACAAATAGACTACATTACCGGTCATGACAAAATAGCTTTTCATGCTGTTTTTGGCTATTTTCCTGGTCCATTGTTTATATAATAGAAGTACTGTACAGAAATTTTTATATGATGCACTTTAGTCCTATTGACCTATGTTTTGTAACTGTGAATATGTTGAGCACTGTTCTTCACTCTTCTATAACTATTAAAATAAATCAGGGATATAGGATGTGTATAGTGTAATCATATATATTTTCATATTACAGATGGGCAGTGGCAGTCGTTCTCGTTCCCCAGGGAGTGAGAGAAGAGACCGGTATAGAAGGAGTCATGAGAGAGAGAGGAGTAATAGACGTGACAGGGAGAAAGAAAGAGATAGATATCAGAAGCATGCCAGGAGTAAAAGTAAGGAGAGGAGGAGTCAGAGTAGGGACAGACCCATAAGAGAAAGAAATAGAGGTTGGAACAGAGGGCGCCGGCAGTGGACCTCATATCCCATGAAAAATGAAAGATATAATCGTAAGAAGGAACACATGAGAGGTGACAGGCGAAGATATGGTAGAGACCACTCAAGTTCTGACGATGAACAAGAGAGCTGGGACAAGTACAGAGGCAGAAATGATCGCTACAGGAATAGAGATAGAAGCTGGGACAGGTATGGAGGGAGAAATAGGATGGATAATTTTAGTAGTGGTTATGGACCATCAGATAGATATCATAGAAATATATCCCCGGAAAGAACCAGTAGATCGTCACACGCCTCCGATCGTCGAGATTGGAAAACTGAAAAGAAATCAAGAAATGACTCGTCCTCAAGCGACTCAAGCAGTGAAAGTTCATCTGAAGAAGACTCAAAGACTAAAAAGGACTCTAGTAGTAGTAGTGATGATTCATCAGATGAAGATCCAAAGGTTAAAAAGAGACGAGATGACACTGATAAACATGAACGTCCTAGAAAGAGTAAAAAGAAATATGAGGATGTTGCCCCTTCCTCTGATGAAGACCCTAAGATTACAGAGAGGCATGATGACCGTGAACATGCTAAAAGGAAACGAGCTAAATCTAGTAGATCTAAAGAGGTAGATAGTGGAAGAGGCAAGGAAAAAAGAGTTCATGAGAAGAAATCAAAGAAAAACAAACAATCAGATTCTGATTCTGAAAGTTCTGAAGAGGAAAAAGTTTCTCATAAAGCAGTAAAGACAAAGGCAAGCAAGAACTCAAATTCTAATCGTGAAGTATCTGAGTACAAAAAAAGTGGTCAAAGTGTGTCTAAAAAGAAGAAATGTGATGAGAGTTCCAGTAGTGATTCTGAAGACTCTGAGCCTGAAAGTGTGTCTCCTGTGTTGCCAAAACAGAAAGGCGGTGTGGAGTTAAATGTTAAATCAAAAGTTTTGGAACTTGAAAAAGAACCATCTATGAAACGATCAGAGAAAAAAAAACCTGATAACTTAGTAATTGATTATAAAAGTACAGTTCATGGAAAAGTACACAGTAAAATATCAAGCAAAAAGAAAGAGAAGGGAAGTTTAGATGTTGATTTTAAAGAGGTAGGAACTGAGAAGGTAACCCATAATATACCAGAGAAGAATATGGATGAGACTTCAGATAGTGATTCAGATAATTCAGAGTTGGAGAAAGTGACTCATAAAGTGTCAGAGAAGAAAACAGTTGAAAGCTTAAATTTGAAATCAGAAGCTCCAAGGTCGGAGAATGTGTCCCGTGAAATGTCAGAAGAGAAACTAAAAAAGAGTTCAGTTAGTAGTAAAAGTTTAAAAGGACCACAAATACCCAAAACAGTGGAACTTAAAGTTTCAGAAGGGATCAGACAGAAACGTAGCTCGCAGAAAGCTTCAAGTACAGAGGAAAGTGATGCAAGTACAGAAACTATTGCGTATCAGTCTGAGTTTGAGACAAGTTCTTCTAATACTACAACTAAGAAAGGTGCAGCTGACAAAGCAGGATTAGATGAAGGTACAAAGGTTGCACAAACACCAGTTGGTACACCAAAAGGGAAGGAGCTTGATGCTGGATTAAGTGTCAGAGGAGAACCACAGGAAAAGAATTCTGATACCAGAGTAAAATATAAATTGATCAGTAATTCAGATTTAGATATTATTGATTCCAAGAAGTCAAAACATTGTGATAAAACAGAAAAGGAAGCTGATGCTGGACATGTTGGTTTAACATACAAAGAAAAAGCTGATTCAACGTCCAAGCATGAGGTTGACTCCACATCTAAAAGACAAGCTGAATCAACATCCAAAGGCAAGGTTGACTCAACGCCTAAACGACAGGTTGACTCGGCATCTAAAGGAAAGGTTGATTCAACGCCTAAACGACAGGTTGATTCAACGCCTAAACGACAGGTTGACTCAGCACCCAAAGGACAGGTTGACTTAGCACCTAAACAACAAGTTGACTCAGCACCTAAAGGCAAGGTTGACTCAGCACCCAAAGGCAAGGTTGATTCAGCACCCAAAGGACAGGTTGACTCAGCACCTAAACAACAAGTTGACTCAGCACCCAAAGTCAAGGTTGACTCAGCACCTAAAGGACAGGTTGACTCAGCACCTAAAGGACAGGTTGACTCAGCACCCAAGTCAGGTTGACTCAGCACCCAAAGTCCAAAGGTTGACTCAGCACCCAGAATCCGGGGTTGGGCTCAGCACCTGAGGCCAGGACAGTTCAGCACTAAAGGCATGGTTGATTCAGCACCTAAAGGACAAGTTGATGGCACCCAAAGGCAAGGTTGACTCAGCACCTAAAGAGCAAGGTTGATTCAGCACCCAAAGACAAGGTTGACTCAGCACCTAAAGGCAAGGTTGATTCAGCACCTAAAGGCAAGGTTGATTCAGCACCCAAAGACAAGGTTGACTCAGCACCTAAAGACAAGGTTGACTCAGCACCTAAAGGCAAGGTTGATTCAGCACCCAAAGACAAGGTTGACTCAGCACCCAAAGGCAAGGTTGATTCAGCACCCAAAGACAAGGTTGACTCAGCACCTAAAGGCAAGGTTGATTCAGCACCTAAAGGCGAGGTTGACTCAGCACCCAAACGACAGGTTGACTCAACATCCAAAGGACAGGCTGAATCAGTATCCAAAGGACAGGTTGACTCAACATCCAAACGACAGGTTGACTCAACATCCAAAGGACAGGTTGACTCAACATCCAAACGACAGGTTGACTCAACATCCAAACGACAGGTTGACTCAACATCCAAAGGACAGGTTGACTCAACATCCAAACGACAGGTTGACTCAACATCCAAAGGACAGGTTGACTCAACATCCAAAGGACAGGTTGACTCAACATCCAAACGACAGGTTGACTCAACATCCAAAGGACAGGTTGACTCAACATCCAAACGACAGGTTGATTCAACATCCAAACGACAGGTTGACTCAGCATCCAAAGGACAGGCTGAATCAGCATCCAAATTACTTACTCACAAAAACACTGAGAAGAAATTAGAAGCAGAGTCAAGCACTGAGATAAAAGTAGATGTAAATTCAGAGAAGAAAGAAGCACCAGGAAATGATAGAATTCCAACCAAAATCTTGGAAGAGAAGGAGATTGAATCTGGTTCTGATGGCGAACATTCAGAAAATACGAAAAAGTCTGGAAAAAAGGTTAGCAGCAAGTCTGAGATTGACAAGCATGGGAAAAGTAAATCAAAAATACCCAAAAAGGGAAATGAATCAGATGATTACAAAAAGAAGAAGAAACATAAGAAGCATAAAAACAAAAAGTCATCCAGCAGTGATAGTGATGTTGACTCTAAAGAAGGTGACATACCAAGGGTGTATGACAGTGATGAAACAACTGAACAAGAGTTGTTGAGAAAAAAGAAGCAGCTAGAGGAGCAGCTACTGATAGAAGAAGAGATCCGCCAAAGAAGTGAGAACCTGGAGAGGGAACGTGAAGCTGCCCCTAGCAAGAAGGTCAAAGGTTTGGATGGAAGTAATGAAAGTGCCAGTCAGTTGCCTCCCAAAAAGAGCAGCAGCAAGGATAAAACGTCTCGCTCTCGGTCCCGGTCCCGTTCTAGAAGTCAACCCGAAGTGAAGGCGGAGGACAAGAAGAGTAAGAAAGGTAATGATGATAAAAGCGTCAAAAGTGACAAAAGGTCCAAGTATCACAGCTCAGATGATGAGGACTCTACCAGAGGACGAGATTCTGAAGAACCACAGATTGGAGGACGGTACTGGGGAGGAGACCATGGTAAGGAGATCCCACGACTCCAAAAGGCCAAGCAACCCAAAACGAGTGACACTTATTGGAATAAATATGCTGACAAGCTTGGCATTCAAATTGAGGACCCTAGAAACAGAGGACAGGAATCAGAGAGAGGAAGAAATAAAGACAGAAGTGATGACAGAAGGAGAGAGAGTGATCAGAGGTTCAGAGACAGTAGTGATGAAGGTGATGGTAAACGTGATGTGAGACGAAAGGATGAAACAAATGATAAAGATGATAAAAAAAATGAAAATAAAGAGCCTGAACCACCTCCTAAAGAGCTAATAAAAAAGCCAGTGATGGATCCATTGACCACCAAGACTGGCGGTGCCTACATACCACCAGCAAAACTGAAGATGATGCAGGCACAGATTACAGATAAGTCTAGTGCTATATTCCAGAGATTGGCATGGGAGGCACTGAAGAAGTCGATCAATGGTCTTGTTAATAAAGTAAACGTTTCTAACATTGGCATAATCGTGCGTGAGCTTTTACAGGAGAATATAGTCCGTGGAAGAGGTGTGCTGTGTAGGGCCTTGATGCAAGCTCAGTCATTTTCACCAACATTTACTCATGTGTATTCTGCTATGGTTTCCATCATCAACTCCAAGTTCCCACAAATTGGAGAGCTATTATTGAAACGTCTGGTTATCCAGCTCAGACGAGGTGTTAAGAGGAATGATAAAAATATTTGCATGTCTTCTTGCCGCTTCATTGCTCATCTTATAAACCAGCAAGTAGCGCATGAAGTTGTGGCTCTGGAAATTTTAACCTTTCTTCTCGAGAGAGCTAAAGATGCAACTGATGACTCAGAAGTTGCAGAGAAATCAAGAAATAATTCCTGCGAACTTGCTATTACATTCCTTACAGAATGTGGTATGAAACTTAATGAAGTCAGCCCCAGGGGAATGAAAATTATATTTGAAACTTTGAGGCATATATTACATGAAGGAAAACTGGAACAACGGGTTGCATACATGTTAGAAGTGATATTTGCAATTGTTAAAGATGGGTTCAAAGACCATCCATCTGTTGTAGAGGAATTGGATCTTGTAGAAGAAGATGATCAGTTTACACACATTGTTGAACTAGATGGAAAATTAGATAGTCAGGATATTCTTAATGTGTTTAAACATGATCCAGACTACGAAGAAAGTGAAGAAAAGTACAAGGAAATCCGTGCCGGCATCCTAGGAGATGATAGTGATGGCAGTAGCTCAGAGGGAGGCTTAGAGAGTGGTTCTGACAGTGATGATGAGTCTCAAGATGAAGAAGAAAAACAAGAAGCTCAAACTATCATTGACCAGACGGAGACAAACATGGTGGCCTTCCGTCGTACTGTCTATCTTACAATACAATCTTCATTAGATGTAGATGAATGTGCTCACAAGTTGCTAAAGGGAGAGATCAAGCCAGGCTGGGAGACAGAATTGTGCAACATGATTTTGGATTGCTGTGCTCAGCAGCGTACTTACATAAAGTTCTATGGTCTTTTGGCTCAGCGCTTCTGTATGATCAATAAGGTGTATCAAGAACCTTTTCATCAAATCTTTAGGGATGCATATGACACTTGTCATCGTCTTGAGACAGAAAAACTTCGCAATGTGGCTCGTCTCTTTGCCCATTTACTGTTTTCAGATGCAATATCTTGGGAAGTCTTGAAACATATTCACTTGAATGAGGATGAAACAACCAGCTCTTCAAGAGTCTTCATTAAAATTCTTTTCCAGGTAAGTACAGTAGTGCATTTTTGTATTGAATCCATATAGGATCAGTAGCTATGTAAATTTTTTATTTTTTCAGGTGTACAGTTGGTTGGCTCTCTGATACTGTACCATGGCCATGACACACTGATTTACAATTATTTTTCATTATACTTTCTTATACATTTCTGTATAAACCTAATCCTTTATTCTGTGTTTATTGTATGAGTTATTTCCTCATGCCCATACTATTACTGACACAGTGGCTTATTGGACACAGCACTCCTCTCTCGTCCTAAGGATTGCTGGTTCATGCCAAGACACCATGACACCCAGTTGTGATTGGTTACCTTTTTTATATTTGGGAAAGTAAATGTAGCAGTATTCAGTGCCAGCCACACTGTCTCCCTGTGAAATGAAGGTTTATTATTCCTGTGCTGTAATAATGGCTAAGTCATTGAAGCATAGAAAATAGCCTTAAAATGGTGAGGAGGATGATAATGAGAATCTTGCTTTTGGTTGTTCAAGCTGTAGGTTCAAAGAATTTATACTTAGCATGATGTGGCACTGTTTATACTATCATAAAAATAAAATCTTACCCGAAATTCTTTTACAGTTTGTAATAGTTTCTCATTACATTTAGAACAAAAATTATTCAAATCTTTTTCATAATCATTTTAAACACCTGCAGGTCTTACAAATTTATGTGTTAAGCACAGTTGCCCACAAATGTAATATTCCATGTCTCACAGAGTCATCGGCTACTTAATAATAACTGTACATGTGGCAGAGCTGAGGTATTCCAACAATGAGTATGTCAATCGCTTTACAATTAATTAGCCTTTAGATATTATATCTCTGTGTTATAATTTTGTCAATGGATTCTGTAATCCCCCCCACCTCCCACCACCACCACCATATCACTCAGTTGGGATACCTTGACTATCATTGTGGCATTGCCACATGTACTGAGTTGCCGTGAGGTGAAGAACATCACAGAATTCTGCCTTTTTGCACTTGCATTAATTTTTTTTTAAATTTTAGTCAGGTTTTTAAGACATTGACCAGCTGCTAAGATGGTTGCCAAATTACTCTACATTCACTAGCTTTCAGGGAGGCTGCAGTAAAATTCAGATTGGCAGAATGGAATGGAAAGTGCTAGGGTACAAAACAAAACTCTCGAACATTTTGATAACTTTCTTGGTGTACTGTATTTCAAATGGGTTTTTGGTAGGATTAGCTTCTTTATATTAATTTTATGTAAACATATTCATAACTAATCAATAAAATCTTTTGAGTTCCCATTTTTTATGGCATAAAAAATGTCAAATTATCCAGGATAAGGGAATTTAATTTTAAAATTGCAAGACTTTTATCAACCCTGTTACGTGAAGATGCTCTTATAGTCAACATTTCCTGATTAATTGTACACTGGTAATTTAACACTGCTGTAATTTACAAAACAACAATCGCATTTTTTTTACATATTAATGTACAGTATTATACTTGTTAATTTACAGGAACTTGCGGAGTTCATGAGTTTGGCAAAACTTAATGAGAGACTGCGAGACCCAACTCTTGCTCCAGCTTTTGAGGGTCTGTTACCCAGGGACAACCCACGCAACACTCGCTTTGCTATAAACTTTTTTACCTCATGTGGTCTTGGTGGTCTCACTGATGGGCTTCGAGAATTTCTTCGGACTCAAGTAAGTTCTTTTCACGGCAGTTGTCATTAAGATATACTGTAGTTTTATTCTTGAAGTAAACATATGTGGTCCTTTACTAGAACAAGGGAAGAGTGACCTTTGTTACTCATAGCTCATTCCTAAGTTATTCTGTTCCCTCATTAATGGCATGATCAGTGCCATGGGGTGGGGTGCTGAAACTTGCTCAGTTGTAAAAGTTAGAAGTGACTGGAGGAAGTTTAGGTAGATATTGCCTTTTCTTTGTGGCAAGAGGACCTTCCCTCCATATGAAGCTGATGAGAGAAGTGTGATGTATAGCAGCAAAACATAGGCAGATAAAGAGGATGACAAAAGTAGACTTGGGTGAGCTGAAATGAGAATGGTGAGGTGGATGTGTAATGTGGCTGGAATTGGCAAAGTTCTGTGTAGAGACAGGCTGAGATGGTCTGGACATGCAGAGAGAATGGATGAAACCACTTGGGTCAAGGTGCATGAGCCTAAATATGGAGGGGAAGAGAGCCAGGAGTAGGCCAAGAATGACATGGGGAGAGGTTGTAAGATATGACATTAGAGTTAAGAAACTGACAAGAGAAACTGCACGAGTTTGTGCAGCATGAAGAGCTGTCATTAGGTAATTGCAGTTAACTTACACAAGTATGGAAAGTGACTGTAAAGTGTTGGTGTCGATAGTGTGATTATGAAAAAGTGGCTACACATATGATAATTTTTGGCACAAAAATACAGTGATATCTCCGTTAGCCAGAACAATTAGTGCAGAGCACTTCCGGGAATGAGAGATTTCCGGGTAACGAGACAACTTTCAAAGCCGGAAAAAATCCCTCATCCCCGGAATTTTTTGGGGAGCGAAAAAATGTTCTCGGAAGTTCCAGAAATTACCCATTACATCTTCTCTTGAACCCAGAAAAATATCCCTCATCCCTGGAATTTTCTGTGTATTGGGAAAATTTTCTCTGAATTTTCTGAAAATGTGCCCCTCGGAAAATCGTTCCCAAAGCCGGAACTTTCCGGAAAATTCCGGCTTTGGAAACGATTTTCCGAGAAAATTTCAATTCCGGCTATCGTAGAGTTCCGGGTTTGAGGGATTCCGGCTAACTGAGACACTACTGTATATAATAGTATTTACTTCAGATTTGAAACCTATGGATGCTGTTTAAAGTACAGTACAGTAGTAGTTTTTCCTCAAGTGTTGATCTGTGTTTTGTTGGGTATTGTGATGTTTATCCAGTGGTGTTTAAATAATAATGTTGTGTCAATATGTTTTTTGTCATTGATGGCTTGATTGATTTTTATTAAGGAATATGTTTATTGATCTAATTCTGTGACTTTGCTTGAATTGCAGCCCAAGCCAACAGCAGTGGTGGCACCAGTACAGCAGCATATTAATAAAAATGAAAGTAACAAGAGTGAAGATAATATCAGTAGTGAAAGTAGCAGTGAGAGCAGCAGTGACAGTGAAAGTAGCAGCAGCAGTAGTAGCAGCAGTAGCAGCAGTAGCAGCAGCAGCAGCAGCTCAGACAGTTCCTCAGAGAGCAGTAGTGATAGCTCTGACTCATCATCGAGTGAGTCTGAGGATTCCTCTGGTAAGTGGTAATATCATTTGAATTAAAAATATCTAATGATAATTTATATTCATATATGAATGGCAGGGGAGCATGGCAACAAGTTGAATATGGGGATGGGCATTTTGTTGATGGGTGATGCTAGATTGTGTGCAACAGCAGGATGAACCAGACAGTTATCAAGGGGCCTTGTTATGGATGAAGAACACCATCACTAAACAAATTTGTGAGAGCAGTAAGAGTAAATGAATTAAGAGAGACTGTGTTTGCTCTTGTATCTGGCCTTACTGTCTTATAGTGGGAAATGGCTCTCAACAGTGTGAAGAATTTTTTTTGCTCATGTTTCCATGTGGTATTGCTTGTAGATCAGATTATTGGTGCATAACCACTGCTTCTTTACGTGAAGTTTACAGATTTTGTAGAGAATATTCAAAATGTAGGTAATGCATTTCTATTTGTTATATGAGCCCCTTTCAACCTTTTTCACAGCACTCATCATTGTCTTTTATGCCACCTTCGCTTGGTGCAAGTTCCCATTTAATTGTATCGTTTCATTCTATTCCCCCATTCCTTGCACTTTTCAACAATGGAAATCTTTTCGCTTACACATCAGCCCATGAGCCTAAAACCTACAGCTCTTTAATTTTATCTTTCTTATCTAAGCTTTTTCCCATACTGGGCAATATATACATAGTGTTAATTCAGTACTCGTTTTTATCTCTTAGATCTAGAGATAGAGAGGAAGAAGAAGAAGAAACAAAAGAAGAAAGAGACCAAGAAAAAAGGTCTTTCAGGTAAAAATAAATCAAAAACGAACAGAAAGAGTGAAAGGTTTGGAGACAACAAAGGCAGCAGCAAGAAGAAGAGTGAGAGTGAAGACGAAGAAATGTTTGTTAGGCGAAGGGAGGAAGACTTAGATGATCAAAAAGAACGAGAGAGAGGTGAGAGGTGGAGGAAAATCAATAGTGATGACTGGAGTAGGAGGAGGAGGAGAGATGATAGCAGTGAGAGTGGAGATGAAGAGAGAGAAGACGTATATGAAAGGAAAAGAAGTCGTGCTCATTCAAGAGAAAGAAAGGAAGGTGAAAATACAGAGAAGAGAGAGAGACACAGCGATGATTATGATGAAGGAGGAAGAAGACGAACACAAGGCGATCACACGCGGTCAGATGAGAGGAGAAGAGGTGATGACCAGGATGCTGGATATCAAAGGAAAAGAGGAGAGAAGAAGGATTTAAAGAGGAGACATAACAGTGATGATGAAAGTGAGGAAGATGAGAGGAGAGGTGACAGTGGAGATAGAGGAGATAAAAGAAAAAAGAGACATGATAGTCAAGAAAGAGATTCAAAGAGGAAGAGAAATGATTTTGATGAGAGAGCACCAGAGGATGAGAAAGGAGCAGAGGGATGGAAGCAACGAGGGGAACATGAGAGTGGAGATCATAAAGAATGGAAAGGACATAGAGAAGAAGTGAGGGAGAGAGAGAGAAATCACCCACGGGATGGAGGAGACTGGAGAAAAGAAAAGAAAGTTCATGGTCGTAGATCTGAAAGTAGTGGTGATGGTCGAAGAGGATGGGAAAGAAACAGGTATCATTAAGCTTACGTTAAACTTGTAATATAGAACTAAGTGACTCGATTAAATAAAGTGTGTGTGGATGATGTTCTGATTATTAGTAAATTATGTAGTGTAAGTGATACATAAGTTACATAGTGTTTACTGTAACTCCACAACTGTACATTTTGTATTTTTTTCTTGTCTAGATTTGTGTGTTGTATTTTGGTAAGGTGGCATAAAATAATACTGTCAAAACAGATTGGTTATCGCTCAGATCAGTGACTGCTAAATTTGGACTTCTTTCATTCAATATGATGTTTTTAATATATATATATATATATAGGTATTTTTTTTTTATTTATCATTATTTTTTTGGTATTGTCCTTTGAATCCTTTGTGTCTCCTACAATACAGCAGCTGGCTCATATGGAACATCCTCCACACACAAACCATCTACGCACATTCCCAGAGAATCCTTCATCAACACAGATTTCTTATTTTTTTTGGTCATTACTGCACGTATATCCTTTTGCCCTACACTTGAATAGACCATTTAAATACGTTTTTCCACATCCTTTCCTGTCAGATGTCTGATGAACCTTGTACCTTGTCTCATGTTTTGTCATCCATTGTCTTCCCAACACTACATATGTGTCCTATTTTCTCACTCCTCTACTCTTTACTGTTACATCTGCTCCTTTAGGAATTGTTTCACCAGCTTCTTTAATATTAGTCATTGTACGTTACCAACCCATGTTCTGTTAACAGTGTTGTATATGTCACAGGTTCTTCTAACAAACCTCATGTCACTTGATAATATTTTTTAGTTATTTTCTAACATGTAGTAAGAACAAACCAAAATACAATTTTCTTGTTGTTATTAGATAAAATTTTATGGACTAGGACTAATACATATTTTGATATCTTTTAAGTTACTGTATTCCTAAAAATTTATTGTTCAAGTAATATAATACAGTATACAGCACCTTTATTGTCTGGATTAATTTTTTTCCAAAAAGATATGTCATCAAATTAGTATGTATTAAGATGTAACTGCTAAGCCAAGCATAGATTTGCTTTTACCTTTAAGCAGTAAATGTTGATTTTTTATGGGATTGAAATATTCAAAACAATAGAATTAGTGTGCAATACAGTACAGTACTAATATTTCATGCCTTTTCCGGCTGTGAAGCAGACTGGCCGGACAGGTGCCAATGCTAGCATTCAGCAGCTAATGGGTTTCCTTTGGCAAGATGCTAGTCCACCAAAGGGTTGTCAGACCATTTGGAAGTGCACCTGATAGTGTACCGTATTCATTTTTTGTGATTGTGTTGTAGGTGGCAGTGAATCGTAGTACTACAGTAATATTATGAAGGGTTAGAACTTTATGAAAGGAAGTTTTGTTGCTTCTACAGAACCCATGAGGCATGACATGAAATTTTGAAGTTTGAGCAGTGTAAAAAAGTTTTCATTTCTTCCATGTACAGAATTCTTACAAATGACTCAATTTAGTTAAAAAGAGATACAAATGCATAAATTATTTTACAAAGCTAGTGAATTGAACATCATTATGGCTGACCTGTATATTCTCAAGGAATTCCTTAATATACCATCAGACATGAATCAATAATGGTGTTTGATTGCAGATATACTGTACAGTACAGTATCAGTAATTTATAAATTACTTTAGAAAGCTAAAAGCTAACATTCTTCATGGTGTCTTGCTGGGCCCTTCCCAAGCAAGAATATTGAGCTTAGTCTGAGGCATCATCAAGGAAGAGTAATTTGCTGTAATGCACACCTCAACATGTAATGTCCCTCCAAACCTGCCTGGATAATTGTGTAATCCAAAGCCTTGTGTGTTTGTAGTGCATAGCATTACTCTTCTATTGTGGTGCCTTTTACATCTCTATACCATATTACTGAATTGATTATATACGTGTTTAAATATTCATAGATAAATGTACCATAAAAGGTATTTTAATTTACAGTATTTGTTTCGTAATTTGTATTTACATTAGTCTATGAACTTCACCCAGGTGGAAGGAGAGATATCAATACAGTATAATATTCATATTTTGTACTGGGTGTGTATGTCCATTAAAGAATAAAAGATCAGAGAAAGAATTAACAACAACTATCTTCACCATGCTCTCTACAGGATAATTCTTCACATGTTTTAAATATTAATGGGTTTTAGGGTAATAGTAATCCTCTGTTCATGATAAATGTTCATGGGTGAAGTATCATTACCAGTCTTGGTATAGATGTACAGTATACTGTACCTCCCTTATTAATAATGAGGCTGTAAGATCACAAGTTGAGGTTACCAAGTATGTAACATTAAAAAAAGCTTAATATGTTCACCGTATTGTCAGCTTATAATATACTGTATGTCTTTATTTACACATATACAACATACACACACACGCACACAATACTCTCTTTTGCAAGCCTTTACAACTATAGTACATGAAATCTTATTTGAAAATAGAAGTTTTGTAGTACTGTACTGTACTGTATTTTGAAAATGGGAATATTCAGCCCATCCTGCTTCTGGCTTACCCATTTAGCATATTTCAATAAGTACACACTAACACTTTATAAAATGTCCAAAATCATACACATTTAGAAGGTGGAAGTGTCTACAAAGAGAAGATTTAATGAGTCGCCAAAAGACTTGTGATGACACCTTAATATGAAAGATGTCCTTCAGGGATTATAACTGTTTTTTAATATACTGTACAGGTACTGTATCCCCTGTATAAGAAAGGGTTGAGTTCCTGGAAATTCATTTGTTTTTCTGTAGCTAAAAAATGTATAATGAATGGTAGAACCTATGTATTATTTGGGGTTATGATGCAAGGGAAGAACAGCAATCTTTTACTAATAGTAGAGTCCTTGTATTATTGTGTTGGGGTCATGATCCAGGAAGGAAAAATGTTGGTCAACTGTCTTTTTTTTTCTTTCTTTTTTCAAGTCACTGTTTGCCATTGTATGTTAATACTATGGCAAAGAATAAGTTCATTGAAAACTATAAACATTACACTATTCAGGTACAGTAGTGTGTTCAGGTAAATGAGTCTCTGCATTCTGGGTGACCATGACCACAAGATAGCTAAAAGTTTGCATTCTTTAAACAAAAGAGGGTGTCAAAATGTGATTGTTATTTGTTCAAACAAATTTTGCTTTTATATCGAGAAAAAGAAGTGTCAATGTGCAACTTTCGTTAAAACAAATTTTCATTTATCGGGCATCTGTATCTATGCAGTATTGGGATACTGTACCTGTATTTGCAGCCAGTACAGTACTGTAATTTGTAATAAAAATTGAGAATTGATTCTAGAACTTCTTGATTAGGGTCAAGTAGACATGTGATTTTATACATGAAGTGTGTTGGCTGCAACCCAGGCTAACCCTTGATGTTGACAGAGATTAATATAAGTAACAAGAACAAGTGTCCTACACAACCCTAACACTAGGAGGTTAAGGTATATGACTAAGGCTGACGGCTCAGCAAGTTATGGTACTCCAGCTGTACACCTTTCTTTGTCTGTCTCTAAACACACCATGAACACCTATAAAAATCACAAACATGATCATTACATCTCGCCTCAGTACCGACATACTCAGCCAGAAGCAACTCAGATTTTAGATTTACCCCATGCAACATGGGGGCTAGTTTATTGGGCACCCATTTACATTCTGTCTAAGGCAAAGCACTGAAGCATTACAGTGGCCAACAGGGAAGCATGTGGAGTTCATGTCTTAGACTTGGATGAGAGGTGGGCGAGAGTACTTGAGGGGCCATTGGTCTTGTTTACAAGTTACATGTAGTAAAGTAATAAGTGTACAGTACTTTATATAGGGAAGATTCCCTGTGCACTTCATCTGTGTGTAGCAAAGTTTGGTAGGTTCCCTAAAAAATGATGAGGAATACAATTTTTAGTGTATGTATTTGTGATGTGTTGGTGTCAGGAACGTCCATGGAGACTTACTCACCATACAACTACAGAACTTTGTTATAACACCTGTCTCATGATCCAACATGCTGTCCAATGCAGCTTTTCCCAACTCACTCTAAGTACCATTTCCTATTGCTCCCTCTCCTCCCAGGTAGATGCTGTGTAACAAATGATCTGTATAGAGGTCAGCAAAACCAGAATTGAATTATGTAGCTCTGACAGCCATTTAAACAGGCTAAGATCTATTTGCACAGCTTCAACCACTATGGTACCTTATCATGTTAAGAGTATGTTTTATTCATTGTCACTTATGTTGGGAGGTGGATTGACTTCAAGCTTACCAAGGTGCCATGCAGGACGAAAGTAAGGAAGCACAGTACAGGTACATTTCCATGCAGAGGGTAGCAGATGTGGAGCAGTTATCAGCACAAGCTATGAGAGTAAGAACAGTACTGGACTTCAAAATAACCTTGGGCAAGGCTATCAAGAACCATAGAAGGATTATATAAAGAACATTGGCCTCATTCCCTCATCATGGCCACCTATAATTGAGGTGGCATTAAGGTAAATATAAGTAGCCATAAACCGAACACACACACACGTGTCAGTAACCTTGGTGTCACTCGGCATTCTGGGGTTTAGGAGGGTAAAAAGAGTGAATGGAAATAGGTCACATGTAAATCAGACAAATCATTTTTGGCTCGGGGGGGGGGGGGGTTCCGTTTGATTTAAATAATGTAAACATGATAGGTTAGGTTTTGAATGTCTTCTTTGGTCATGTCATATTTTGACTAAAATGTTAATGAATTTTTTCTTCATATTTGAGCTACTTTGTTGATGTAGTGTATTTTATTAGTCTCACAAAGACCACAAAATGATCTACAACGAATTGATGTGATTATGAGTGAATTCATACATGTGCTGTGTACTGTACACACTAAACTTCATTGGGGGTGACTGTAGTAGTTAGCTTAATAACTGGACCACACCATTCTTTATTTATTCATTTACATTAATATGAACTTATCTGGTTGTCGAATAAATTAAAAAATATTTATAATTACTTTTCAGTGATATAAAGACGTTGAAAATAGTCTAAAGTATATTGGTAAACTTAAAAGCTGGAAGGTTTGACGCACCTTCACTCCAGTGTTTGTAAACAGAGGCAGATGCCGGGTAGTGACCGGGCTGTTAGTGAGTGCAGGTACAGGTGATTATAGCCTAGTGTTAGAAGGTGTAGTTGATGTACTTAGTCTGTGCCTTTGAAGGTTAATTGGAATAGGAAGCCAACATTGTAAACTTCATATACAGTGTAGGTACTGTAACTATCAGGCTGCCAGACCTATGAGGCCCACCAAGCTGTTTCATGAGGCTTCTCTGTTATTGAGGCTAATATTTCAATAAGGTTCCTCTGCCACTTAGGTTATTCTACTTTAGCTTGGATGATTGGGAGCAACCCTACCATTCAGTTGTGTACAGACGATCAAAGGTGATAGTTTGATAGACAGAGTTAATGAATTAATTAAATGCTGTGTAAATAATCAAGTGTAAATGGTAAAATTATCGTTTCGGTTATCACTGTATTTAGATATCCAAACTAAGCTAACCAACCTAACCTATATCTAACCTAACTGGGGTGACTTCACCCCCCTAGACCCCCTAAGATTCCCCGGATGACCGAAACGATAATAATACCATGTAAAATTATATTAAGCAAAATTTCAGTTCACCAAACTTGATATAATATCGGGTAGCTTGAGTAATAATTCTGGTTGTGACGGCACCGAGTGTGAGCTCTTTCAAGATCAGACTTGACCAACATTGATGCAGGTACAGATACACTTAGGAGCCAGTACTTGCCAAAAGTGCATAACAGAGACGTGACCGACTGCACATGCAGCTAATGAGCTGATCACTGGCAAAGAGGATAAAAGTAAATGAATCTTAAAATGTCTCAGAACATATTATATACATCAGTTTCTAGTGTACAGTGCCGTACTGTATGTTGAATAATGTATTTGTTATTAGTCTTGTGGCCTTTTTTTTTCAATGTATTATTAATTGATTCATAAAATTCTCATTTCAGAGTGTGTGAACAAATATAAGCAACATGTTTTCTTCATCTTCAAACAGTCTCAATAAAGTGCAGTAAGTTGTGATTAACTTAAACCTTTTTTTGTGTGATTAAACTACAGTATATATTGTTTCCTCATTTGCTTGAAATTTTCTTTGTTATAATGTTTCAGAAAACCTTCCTCAGTTCTTGTTATAAAATATTGTTATAAAATAGTTTTCTTTATTTACTGGTACATATTTTTCTGCATAAGGTGTTTCACTTTTTGTGGCTCATTGCCCTTCAGTAGATGGTTTGTGTAATGCACTCACCAAACGACTGTAGACCCAACATTAATATTAACCTGTCCTCCCTTACTGTAACCATCACACTGAACGGAGAATAGAAACAAAGGTTTTCCCTATAGTAAACTAGAAGGAGGCCAGATGAGTGCAGTATGTGACAACGCTTCAACTCGTGCACACCTTGACCCTTTTTAAGATGGCCTCAAATAGTGTTCAGGTATCAACCCCAATACATTTCTGGCCACACTGAACAAGTGCTCCTGTACCTTGTTTTGTATTTCTGAAGACAGAGTTCTTCATCTATCATTAGTTAAACACAATTTCATCTACTTTGGCCAAGCCACACAGTCGCTGGTGTTAGTGTTTAGTGGAAATTGATTAATTTGTATGTTATCAATCTATTTGGGATTCACCTGGTTGTGAGAGCCACTTTGTATCAAGGTATCAGTCAATTTTACAGAGACTGATTCTGCCCCTCTTCATAGTGTTTGGTCTTCTGACTGACATGGTCTGGAGTTAGGAGGAAATTCTCTCGTGTGAACTGAAATACAGCTTGCATGAATTTTCATTACAGAATTAGTTAGTGTCAACCAGGTGCACATGCATACTGTACTTGATAAATTAAGCATGGGTCTATAAGGTCTACTTCTAGTCGTAAGCCTTTCTCTCCACTCTCTAAAATGAAGAAGTGTTTTGAGGTTTGGAGGCTGCTGGCAATGCACAAGGGAAGGTGAATGGAGCACCAGCTCAGATAAGTCAGATGTCTAGCTGGCTGGTGGGAGATTGGGAGTGGCCGAGTGGAAATGCTAGCTGGCATACTGTACATAACATTTTACACTTCTTTGCTGACATTTCATTGCTTAAGCCATTCTTGTAGCACTTTATCCAGGTATTTTATTCATAGATTATCATTGGTGCAGTTTTTACATATTTTTCCTTTTTTTCTTTTACAATTAGCATGCACTTTGTTTCCTTTTAGCACAGATAAATCCACTTCTATCACCTTTGTTTAATATAGTACAGGTAGTATTAAACAAAGAATACAGAGGCAGGAACCAAGACACCCTGAAGCATGATTTTAACTCAAGCATATCTGACCACAGCACTCACACCATGTAAACAAAGAATGATATAGCTCATCAGGATTTTTTTTTTTTTAGAAAGAAGAAACATTATTAAACCCAATGGGAACCTGTGGGAAAATGTACATCGATTTATGAAAAAAATAAAAGGACCTATGTAAATTGCTACTTTATATTGTATTTATATTTTCTGTTTTTCCCTCACAGTACAAATCAAACTAAATTTATCCAGGAAAGAATATCAGGGGTGGAGAAGCACTTTGGTCGCATCTGTAGTGCCACGGGTGCTTACACCAGGAAAACAGCCAAGTAAGTAATGGACCTGTTGACTGAGCCCCACCCATGTCTGGCTTCAAGTGTTACCATTACAATTTATAGAAGTTGATTGGTTGCTGATTGCTAAGTGAGTTATAAAGTCACATTAGTTAATTCACTTCCCTTTTTCCTGCCAGTGTGATGTTATGATTCATTTAGTGACTTGCAACTAATAAATTTCTGTAAATTATAATGATTGCTAAGGAAGACAAGAATGGAGGAAATTCAGTTGAATCAATTTACCCTTAACTTATTTACTGAGCCAAATGTCTTTTTATAGTGTTCTTCTGGTTTATATAATTATGTGGGTTATATATACAGTACTAGTACATTGTTTTTGTTTTGTATTTTATTACTTATGTATAATGTATAGTTTTGTACCTATATTTCACTTTATATCAGGTTGGTTTATATAGAGACTTCAGCATGCAATAGAGTACAGTACAGTACTGTTCTGTACTTCACAGTTGTTAGACACACTGTAATCCTCACCCTCATTTCATTTGGTACATTTACCATTAGTTAATGAGCTTTTGGCTTAAGATTTGATTAGTTACCACGTCATACTGGACTGTATACAATATAATGAATGCTATAGTATATATATCTTGATACATTACTGCACTTTTCTCTTAATTACTGTACCTCTAAATTTAGCAAATTCTAGTGCACCTTATGAACATATTTAGTCAACAGTTAAATTTGTTTTCTAACAAATACAGATATATATAGATACAGTGGTACCTCGGTTAACGAACGGTTCGATTAAAAAATTTTTGGTTAACGAATTAGCTCCCATAAGGATCTTCAATTCGGTTAATGAACAAAATTTTGATTAACGAAATCCTTACGACAAACAAGTTTTATTGTGAGCATCAGCTGATGGGCTAGTCTGCCAATTCAGTAATCTGTTCTATGTTTACATTCGTTTCCAGGGGAGTAAATATCAAGACAGTTGTGCTCTTCAATATTTTTTGCAGTTTTTATATTAAAATTATAAGTAATTTTAAAATTTAGTTAACATATTGATAATATATGCACTACAGGGAATTAATTTTTTGTGCACCCATCAGCTGCTTGACTCACCCACCAGGTGTCAATTTGGCTTTGTTTATAGTGGAGTGAACATCAATTTTGTTGGTGTCTTGAATATTTTTGCATTTTTACATTAAAATTATTGGTCATTCTGAAATTTAGTTAACATATTGATAATATATAGTGCAGTGCAGTGTTGATTTAAATAAAATAATCTTGAATTACACCTAGTGAACTTAAAATTTTATTGGCGAAATTATTACATCAAGCATGGGTCCCCTGAAAGGTGATTTCTCCTCCATCCCCACTTCCTTCTCTTCTCCCTTCTCCTCCACCCCCACTTCTAATTTCCATCATCATCATCAACCAGGAACCTTCTACATACTCACCCCAAAGTAAGTGTACTTTCCTGCATTTTTTTTCACTTTGTATGTACTTTTCTGTGAGCTGGAACCAATTCCCCAATATCCCATTGAAACATTGGATTCGGTTAACGAACGACTCTGCGGAACAAATTGTGTTCGTTAACCGAGGGACCACTGTACTGAAAATATATACATTACAGTTTGGTAATTATCTGTGTAGAATGAATACAGTGTATTGTACTCCCTTTAGCACTCCATTATTGTGATTATTTCCTTGTATTACTTCATGGTTTAAAATATATGACAGTGCTTAAGTTAATGGGTATTCACAATGTATTCAAACCCATAACTTTATTCATACAGTAAAATATCTGTGACCTCAACTTTCATGGGCAGTATGATGTTGTCTTAGTTCATTTTCTTTGATTTGAAATTACAATTCCATTACCACATGACAAGAATGTAAAGTGACTCATATGTAAGGGCTGAAACATATAAAAGTGAGGTTTGAGTTCCAAGAGGACAAGTACTGTAATGTACCTGTACTAACTATTAGGAATGAAAATATCTTCTGCATCATAAGTTCTTACAGGATAATTGTTATTATTTGTTGTTCTTTCTATAGAATTTTTATAGATTTAGTATTACTGTACTGTATTGTATATTTTTTTAACATTTCAGAAAAGTTTCTATTGTAATACTAAATGAAAGGTTTCTTTATTCACACTACAATATTTTACTCTTTTATCAACCTATCAAGACTGCGAGATAAGGGAGACAACCTTTCTAAGACTCTCATGGATTATGGCGAAGTAGAAAACTTGAACAAAAGCTTGCGATCAGCACTGTGTGAAACAGCAGATACATTGGCAGCTGTTCAGGATTACAGGTGAGCTCTGGACATCAGCTGTGACTAAAAACCTTCATTTTCCTTTAAAGATTAACACTGACAGACCGGTGGTATACACTAAGTGGGCTGGGTTCTCGTGCTGTCGGTAAGGCATCTGTAAATGTTCACACATGTGAAGCAGTGCCATGACTGTAGGAATGTTGGTATGTTTAGTAATTCACAGTTTGATTTGATGTCAATGGAAAGATTAAAATATTAAGAGAAGTTTAGCTTATTTTCTTCAGATAAATATCATCAGAAATCAAATCCAGTGAAAACAAAACACCTCAAAATGTGTACGTGTACAATTGTATACAGTATATGTACAGTGCAGTAGACTTACTGTTGGTGTGTCACAACCATACATCTTGGCTGGGCCTCACAGACTCACACTGCATCACAACCTGTGGTGCAGCTTCTCAGTAACTTGTGTGTGCTATATTGCTTGTACAGTACTGTACTGTACAGTATTTCACTTATTATGTTTATTATTAACTTCTTATCATTGTATGCAACTATACAGCACAACAAATATTGTAATTAAAGATTAAAAATGTTTTCAGAAATGGAACCTTTTCATAAAACAGGGAATACCTGAATAATTTATCTGTGACGTTAACCCTATAAGGTTAATAAACATCTGTAAATATTGTTAGTAACAACATGAATGAGGATACAATTTATCCTTTGGAATATTGATGAGAGCTACAGTTATAGTAGTACAATAGCTACTTCTTCTGTTAATAGTAAATTCATAAATATAACTATTTTCCTGAATGTTATGTCTGTTAAAACCTTACATCTTTCTTGGTAGACATGTGGAAGTTGAGAGGCTAGAGACAAGAGTTGTTGGAGAAATTGCCTTATATGGAGGCATATGCAAGACTGCGAGGGAGGAATTGAAACGAAGCTTTGATACACGCCAGCAGGAAATTAATCATAAACAGAACCTGGAAAAAACTAAAAATCGCCATCCTCGAAATAGGCAGCAGATTGTGTGTTCCTTTGTTTTTTGTTATCTTTAAATTTAAATGTAATACTGTATTGGATTGTTATCACGATATATGTATATCTTTGACAAACGCCAGAATATTTAAACTGGAACGTGACTTACAAAAATATGCTCAAACATATACTGTACAGTACTGTACTGTCCTGGGACTGGTTCTTAATCTTTCATATCTAATTTTAGGTAATTGCTGAAACAAAGCTCCAGAAATCTACTTTAGAAGCAAGGCGTGCGTGTCAGAACCTTGAAGAACAAATGGACCAGTTTGAACAAAGAAAAGTGGCAGATTTAAAGAAAATACTAAGAGAATTTGTCCAGGTAGGATCTTGATATTCATATCCTTATTTTAGTATAACTCTAATAACTGATTACCTCAGGGAGTTACAACCCTGTCATGCCAGCTGTTCCTGCCATGTAGGTTGGCATTAGGAAGGATATCCAGCTTTAAAACTTTGCATCAATATGCCTGATGGCAAATAGATTGTCAGAGCTGTGCCCATTCTCTGGTCTCTGCTTCTTCATTTTCTTTGTTGGCACTCTGTACTGAACCTGGTTTTGCAGCGGTGACTGGTGACATCCCATTCTAGTATTACCCAACTGCTGCCATAGGTAATTGTGGATAACCCAAGCAAGCGTGGAAAATGTCTGAAACGTTGATGATGATGAACCCTCTTTTCATAAACTAGTAATAATTTTATTTATAGATGTTAAATACTTGTACTGTATAAGTTTTATTCTCTTCAGTCAGACTAGCACAGTTCTCAAGAAAATTCCCTAACTATGGTCATCTACCTGACCAACATAAGGCTGGGGGAGTCTTGTCATTGTTCAGCTGCTTGTTTTCATTTAACTTTTTCTCCTGACTTGATTCCTCCCCTAAAATGATATGCCCTAAAGCCAGATGGCCCTCATATTACTATATAGGCTGCTGACAGGTGAACTAAGGTACCTTCTGTTCCCCATTTATACTGGCCAGTATGATTTATCAACATGCAGTATTTGAATACAGTACTGTATATCAGTTACCCCTCCCTTCCTATCATGCCATTTCTCTTTTCTTCAAGTGAAATAGTGTAACAGTTTACCTCTCCCATTATAAGTCTAAAACTAATACAGGGTAAGTCACGAATTATTTACTTCCGAGCTGACAGCTATTGAGAATAAGTACAAGTTTGATGTTCCCACGCACTTTCTACGAAAAATTGAATTTCAAATCTGTCTGAAAAAGATATATTGGGGATAGTCAGCTAGAAATACTGCACTTCTAGATATATCTTGTAATTATATTGTTATTTGGTTGTAGGCAAATCTCTTGTTGTGGTTAGACCACAATTGTTTTGTTATGAAGTGGGAAGTTTTAAAATATATTTTTATATTTTTTTAGAGAAAGAGAGAGAGATTAATCACATCCTCTCCCCAACAGACTGAACTGGCCTTCCATGCAAAGGCACTGGAACTATATACTAAGGCATATAATCAGATTTCTAATATTGAGGAGGAAGAAGATCTTGAGGTAAGTTGACACTGCTGGTAATACAGTAATTACAATATCTATAAGGTGTTTGCTTTGACAAAGAAGTCAGATTTTAAAACTTGGTTAGGATACATGTAGAGATTGTTTTAAACTTATAATATCAGTACAATACAGTACATTGCTTTACCAGACTAAATTTTACATTGTAGGATCTGGAAGAGTAGAAATGCTACTACTCCTTTCCACATCTAAGTGCTGTGCAATATAACTATCCTTGGTTAAATTAACTCGCTGCTTGTGTACATACTGAATCAATGTGAACTTGTATGGCGATTTGTACTGAATAAATGTCTATTTATCTCAAATATTTGTCATTCTTGAACTAATTGGGGGAGACACTTATTGTAGAATGTAAAAAGTAGTATTATAGTGAGAGAAGGAAGGAAGGAGGGAGGCCATTACTGTCTCTTATCTTCCCTCATCATCCCGACATTAAATATATGACACTCAATATCATGAAAAACATGCAATTCATCTGGTAATTGAGTTTCACAAGAATAAAATAAAGTACTTGGTGGAGATTTATTGTGCATTATAAATCCTCCTTTGTTTGTGTATAACAAGAAAAGCACATATCAATAGCCCATCTACTTTCAGTCAATACTCAGTGTTGACTGCACTAAATCCTGTACAATATATAGAAAATAATGTCTTGTTATGTTCAGGAAACACCCCACAGGTATTCACTGCATTGAAGGGCTTATGTATGTTGGATTAAAAGTGATGATTGAAGGAGGGAGGGAAGCCATTATCTTTTTGCACCCTTGTTCACCACCCCCAAACTTACAAATTTATGTCACTTCAATATGGTGAAAATAATGCCATTTTCCTATTAATGCGGTTTCAGCAAATCTAATAAAGTACGGTATAGCACTTGAATTTACTGAACATATTAAAGCATTATTTATCTACAACCTTAAAACCAGAGTACTGCTTTCAATCATACATGGTGTATATTTATAAGTTCCATCTGACTGCAATATGAATATATTACAGCATAGCATGTACAGTATGTTAATATTTTCTCCAGTATATTTCCACTGGATAACAATAATAATTTATAAAATGTACAATACAGTAGACCCTTGCCATTCGCGGGTTTGTTATTCGCGATTTCGACGATTCACAGTAAGCAGATGGTGGCTAGCTTGCGAGCCTTTACCCGCAGCACAACAAGTCACCCCACTCAGCATCTCGTGTTTTACTCTAAAAAATTAATGTTTCTGTGTGAAATGGCCCCTAAAAGACTGCCTAGTGTCAGTGTTAATAATGCTAGTGGAGTGAAATGTAAAAGGCAAAAGTCAGTGATGACCCTGACAAAGAAAGTTGAATTATTAGATAAGTTAAAAGGGGATGAGAGCTGCCACGGCTGGTCTGTTGTTTGGTATAGGTATACAGTAGAGCACTAAGGTAGTATAAATTGCTATTCGCAGTTTTGCCTATTCACGCCAATCCTTGGAACCTAACCCCCATGAATAACAAGGGTTTACTGTACAGTATTGTGTATTAGAGTACTGATATAATTTTAAAAGGGTACAGGATATCTTATACAAATATCAGGTCAATTTACAATATCTTAAATCACTATAATTTTATCCTTTATGTCCTGACTAAGCAAGAATTAACTTCATATAGCGGTAGTCACTATAATACTGTAGATGTTATTTTTATTATTTTTTTAAAGTGCTGCATGACTAAGAACACATAAATATATTATTGTCATATCTCTTTCTTCTTAATATTTTAGATTACAGTATTGTAGTTCCTTTGGATGAATAAAAGTACAGGTACTAACTTTATCTTTCTAACTGCAGGCATTCCGTAACGCAAGGGATGTCTTTGATGCGGTAACTCAGCATGGTCTTTGTACTTCTTTGTGTGGCTCTCTCTTTTATTTTCAGTTCACAGTACAGTATTTTATTGTTTTGTGTGTGGCACATTCTTTTATTACTGTTGTTGGCTAAACACTTTGGTTCTTGTTGTTGGTGTAATTCACCATTATGTTTGTAATTGGTAGCTTGTAGAATTGTCAGATATGGCACATAATTTTTATTACAGTAGTACTGTAGCACAAAGCTTTGTTTGTTGGTACAGCACAGTACTGTAGTACAGTCTTCTTTCACGGCAAGTGAGTCCTGCGAAATCAGTCACCGCTAAACAACCCTAAACAAAGCCCACCATTGCCAAGAAGCCTGTGCTGTACTGTATTGTTTAGCATAAAGACAATTTCCATGGACAATGTTTTTGCTGTAAGCTGCTTCTCACCAAGTTGATTAGTTTGTACCCAGACCAGCAGTTGTCTCAACTGATCAGAGATGCTTTAGGTTTATAATGAAACTTCTAAGTCATATTACTTTATCTTGAGAAGGGTAAGTGTTGTTATTACCCACTGTTATATACTGTATATACTGTTTTATTTCTATAATAATTGTTACTCAGTTGTGGCTTATGGTTGTTACTGTTTAGATAATTAAGGTAAATGGCATTCATGCCATACAAGGGTTTATGCTGCTGTTCTGTTGCCAGTTGTTGTGCAGATACATTTTTTTTTTGTCATTTTGTACATACAGTGACCCCTCGTTTAACGAACGCCTCGGTTAACGAAATTTCGGTTTACGAACTGCCTTCCATAAGGATCTTCAATTCGGTTAACGAACAAAAATTCGGTTAACGAATTTCTTACGAACCGACCTCAACATGTTTTCGTTTGCACTGACCGGGCAACCAGCTTTAGTATCAGTCCGCCAATACAGTAATCGGTTCTAGGGCTTAAATTCCTTACTATTTTAGTAAATATCAAGAAGTTTATACTATTCAATAATTTTAAAAGTTTAATATTCAATTTTTTAGTCATTTTAACAATTATTGAACATAATTGAAGGTAAAGTGACTAGTTTAATGCTCGGCATCCAGCCTCTTAACACAGCAAACAGGCGTTAGTCTCTCTCTGTTTTCACTGGAGGTAACATCTTGCTTGAGACTCTCTTCAACTAAACACTTTTTTCTGTTTCCAAGCAAATTATTGGTCATTTTGAAATTTATTTTACATATTGACAATATATAATGCAGTGCAGTGTTGATTTAAAGACAATAATCTTGAAATACACCAAGAGAACTAAAATTTTATGGGTGAAATGGTGCCATGGGGTGACTTCTCTTCCACCCCAATGCCTTCTCTTCTTCCTTCTCCTCCACCCCCATTCTAATTCCCATCATCATCATCCAGGAGCCTTCTACATACACACCTCAAAGTAAGTGAACTTTTCTACCATTTTTGTTGAATTTAGGAAATTTTCGGTGAGCTGGAACCAATTACCCAAAAACCCATTGAAACAATGGTTTCGGTTAACGAACGACCTTCTGGAACGGATTGAGTTCGTTAACCGAGGGATCACTGTACTGTAACCTAAGTGACTTTCTGATACAGTACATAAATGGCAAAAAGCTTTGTTTGCCAGTTCTATCTGTCTCTAGATTTATCAATGTAGTTAAAAGTTTATCATTAGGGGAAGCATGTGCCGTACAATATTTTCTTGTTTTATTCAATGTATAGTGTCATCAAAAAATATTTGATACAGAAACAATTAGTAAAGTACCTGTACTGCATCCATGATAGAATTCTGTACACAGAAGTACAGTTTAGAGGTCACTTCTCCACTGTTTAAGATTAAAAAAAAATTGTACTGTACAGTACAGTACAGTACTATATTTTCATTCTTCTACACAAGTACTCACCTCTTTACACTCAGATTTCAGTATTGTCTGTTCATTTAAGTTCTGACATCCCTCTTGGTTACTTTTATATTCTTCATATCTCCACTAACATTGTGTGGTATACTATTTCACTGTGTTCTTACTTTCTCTGTCAATTATTCCTTTCATAATATGTTATAATACTGTACTTATTAATGTATTTATATTTTCATTTAAATAACTCATTTACTGGGGGGCATTAATATTAATATATATAAATTAATGATCTCTGGAAATTGTCTATGTTAATTCATACTTATACATTTAAGACTTCTGGAAGTCATTTTAATAGTTTTGTGCCCTAACACAGATTTGTTTCAGGAGTTCCGTAATGCTTTGAAAGGAGATGCTGCAGCCAGAGCTGAGGTAGTAGGAGCAGGACATGGCTCATCACTTTCTCCAGTCATCGCTAGCTCTCGAGAAAAGAAGGAATCACATAGAAAGGTAATAGAATACAGTACTGTATTGGGATGTAGTGGTATGTTCAGTATTTTCACTTATGTTTTGAGGTTTATTTAAGTTGGAAGATTGATCCTGATAACCTATTTTAAGACTTGAGTCTGGAACTAGGTAGCTCCTATAATACACTCAAGCAACCATCTCCCTGAAAAGTAGTTGAAGCAAAAGTTTTCTCTTTTGTAAATTTGAGAGAGGAGGCCCATTAAGCCAATGATGTTACACCAATCAGTGCACACCTCACCCTTCATCTTGAGATCAGCCATTCTGATTTTCAGATCAGTTGATATCAGTTTCCCACAAATAACCCTCTGGATCACAAACAAACCTGTAAATAATGCTTGTAACATGAAAACAAATAATTTTTTTCTAAGTAGTATAGTATAGTATAATATAATATAGTATAGTATAGTATAGTATAGTATACTGTGTAGCTGGTTAGGGACAAAATCATGACCCTGAAGCTGTGTATGGTAATGGGTCTCACATTTCACATCTGATGTCCCATTCAAGTCATATTAAGAGTACTATATAGGTATTTATAAACATTAACCTCTAAGAGTAACTTTACTTTTTTTTAATACAGTACAGTGCTGTACCCTAATTCCAAGCAGCACTGATTACCATTTGTAATCTCCCTTTACAGCGAGACATGAAGAAGTCCTTGGAGAAGCTTCAGGTCGAGGATTACGAGGAAATCAATGAGAGCACTTCTAGTGAAGATGATTGATTCTGGTCATAAGTGGAATAATTGAGGCTAAATTTTATCTGAGTAAGTACTGCACTGTTTCATCATTTTTAAATTCAATAATTTGAATGGCATAAGCAAAGTTTATTGTTGGTAAGATGATTGGCAACAGAAATGTGGGAGAGTATTACATACAGTACCCTATTCACCTTCACATAAGCACTCATATTTACAGTACAGTATCTAGTAGTCTTAGTATTGAACATTGAAATATTTATACTGTAATGAGTAAAATTTTCTATTCATGAAAACCCTAGTTATGATGGCTTATTGAACTTATGCCAGAATATGTATACTTTTTTTTTCATTTAGTTACTTTATTGACACTTTAGAAGATGTAAGGCAGCTTCTGTGAAGATATTACTGAAATGGTATGACTGTTTCCTATTGTTTCATAGCTTTTAAAATTGTATACACCATAGTTAATTTGGCAAGAGTATTCTTAATAAAAACATGAAGAAAAACTGAATCAGTTTTATTACTAAAGGCAAAAGGGTAATGAATATTTTAGTGTTCACTTTACAGGTCAACAGGAAGATTGCAAATACAAAGAAGGTTTAAAATAGAACATTATCTATTAATTAATGAGACTTTGAGAAGAGAGAATATGAAGTACAGTACTAAAATGTGAGCACTACAGTACATAGAATTGAATACTATTTATTAAAGAGTGAGTACAGTACTGGTATTTGTTGTAGATTATACACTGTAGAAGTTGTGAATGAGGAGCTGTTATTATAATATTTAGTCATGAGGAAGGAAATTTTAAAATGCATATGTATTTAAAAAAGAACACACTAGTTTATAAGTTAAAGCACACTGTTTGACAGGGTTTTGTTATATAGAAAACAAAATTAACAATGAGCTTTTCATGGAGAGACAAACATGGATATCACTTAGCCACTCAGACAAGTGACAGCCTAACATTTGCCTTCAGTCTTATCTAGAGTTTTACTCGGAAGCACTGAGGTAACTTCCGGCTGGCTGACTTGCTAGGCTGCCTGGAAGTGAACTGAACACAGGTGTCAAAGGACAAAGTCAACTATCCAAACCAGAGAATCCAAATGTGACAGTGTCAGCAAGGCACAATAATTCAAGTCCATACTATAGTGGAACTCATTCTATGTAATGAAAACTAAATTATTTCTGTCATCAAGATGGTCATGTGAGGCCAAGGCAGTCATTGACATTGTTGACTTGAGGTCATAGGGCATCGCCACTTGATTATAACCTTAGCTAATCCCATATGACAGGACTAACAATGATGCACTTGGCACAAGGACATTTCCATTAATATTGTTGATGTTCTGACTTCTGAGCTAGCCTTTAATGTGAAGGATTAAAGTAAGCTGGTATGTAAAAAAATATACTGTACATTCATAATTCTCAGAGACTAAATCATAAAAATTTAAGCATAAGTTTTATGAAACATATATTTTACTAAGTGGCCAGATTTGAACCCCTATCCAGTAGATATCTGAAATACCTATTGGAACAAAAACGAATATTAACTCTATTAATTTTTGTTTATTCACCAAATCGTCGACGGCAACGAATTATTTCTTACTACAAACATCAATATAAACTACACTCATACAAGGGCAGCATAATATATAATATTACGGAGTTTATCTTAGTATTTACCTTTTCATAAAACATCTTCACCTAAATTTCCATTTGATAACGGAATAAAACTCTCAGTAACTACTTGTTGGATTGACAAACTACCATGGCAGTGGTTAACCAACTCTCTAACAGCAAATGTAACTTAATTATGAAAATAAAAATACTAACAATTTACTCACCACAGAGGACAGTAGCGACATAAGCTTATGTTTAAATAACTTAATATAAAAAAAAAAAAAATTAATCACCACTCAACAGCCAGGCACGACACGACCTTCCCTCACGGCTCACTCAGGCAAATGGTTTGCTGGTGACGTCACAATGGTGTGTTGTACCAAGGAAGGAATATATAGAGAAACTTGTACTACATTCAATTAACGTTCAGCAACTGACTGCTGCGCCATCTCTCGAGAAGCTTCTTTTTCATAGAAAACGGACATGGTGCTTTAAGAGAACGGAGTTAATTTTACCATAACTGTTTTAACCAAGAAGGTTTATATTAAACTTATATTAAACCTCCTTGATCATAGAAAACGAGTTGTCTAGAGAACGAGCTTGTCTTTAGCGTAGACTCCTGTCATAAGCCACACACATTTCTATTATTAGCAGCCTTTGCATAAATATACATGATTATGATGACTGTATTTTTCCCAACTCGTACCGATTTACTTACGGATTATGGTTTATATATAGACAAAAATAAGACCATTGTCTGCTTATATATTTATATATTTAATTATTCACGAACAATGACGTTCCTTAAATAAAAAGAAGAGGCAATACCATGTTGTACAGGACATACATAAGGGACTTGGGTAGTAGATAAATATAAGTTAAGAAAACATCAAAAGCAGCGGGCAGGTAGACCTAATCTTCATGATATCCACAAAAAGTAGAAAACAGTATTAAAAAGACTTAGTTTCAGCTTTCAGTCTTGAAAATATACTGTATGTAATTCAGAGTGGATGAGGCCGAAATACATTACAGGTTTGAATGTTCTGATAAGAATCACACACGCACCATAATTTTTTTTTTTAATTTAAGACAGAATACAGCTTGCTAACACTTCCTTCTACGATTGGGAGGTAAACTTTAAACTTTGTGATAGTTGACAACTGCAATCAAGCTGGGTGGAAAAGTTAAGTGAAACCAAAGACAAAAGGGGAAAAACACCTATTCTATTGGTTTGTGTTGTAAATAAAGGGAGTTACTGTATATCCATGCCATCTGGTTTGTTTTGAAAGAGACATATGCAGTACAGCCCCAAGCAATAATATATTAACATCTCAACTTGAAAAACAATGTAATCTAAACCTACAACCCAGAATGCAGCCACTGTACCACGTAGGTATAAGTGCAGGCAACTGTACATCAGTGATAAAATCAATTAAATTCCTACCTGGGTGTGGTACACTTTTCGTATTTTGGTTCAGCTTACCTGGGCTTTCATGTAATGTACTGTACCAATCAAGCCGACTGTACTTACTTCAATAGTATCCTGAAATGTATTCTTTTCCTTCATCATTTCTAAGTACTGTTTGTGGATAATTACCACTGTATTTTAGGATGCGCAGTAAACAGGAACCTAAAACACTGCAGGAGTAAAATCTGAGCATTATGAAAATTTTTTGTCTTGTACTGTACTGTATCCTATTAAATGGATTCTCCCTTTTTCGTAATTATTTCTTTGACAAGATCCTTCCAATAATGTCGGCAGCCATATTCGCCTATGTACTTTCCCTAATCAGCCCACCAAAACTCTAATCAGTTCTGTCTCTGTTTTCTTTCCTTTTATGCAGTCTACTGTGTATCCATCATTATCTTCAATGTCTTATGGCTATTTTCTATGGTCTTGCAGCCCCTCTTGTCAGGTTCTTAATTGTAAAATAAGTCTTGTAACCTCTCCCCATGTCATGTCCCTGGCTCTCTTCCTCTCCACGTTTAGACTTGTGCACCTCATAACCCAATTGGTCTTATCCATTCTCTCCACATGCCTGAACCACCTCAAATCTACTCAGAACTTTGCCGATACTTTCAATACCCTGTCACCCTCTTAACTCTGAACTGAGCCTCCTGTCTTTCAGTGTCACATTGCACATCCAGCTTGCTCTAGCCTGCTTGTGTCATTCTCTTTAACTGCCCATATTTCACTGATATACATTACACACTTTTCAAGCCAGCTGCATAGATACTTCCTTTCACATGGAGGGAAGGTCATTGCACCATCAATAAAGTTAGCAACTCCTTAAAAATTCTCCTCCCACTTCTGACTTCTGCATCTCTTCTCACAACTTTCATACCTTGACCTCGCAGCTTCAAGGCCTTGTAGATCTTATGTTTACCTTCATAAGTATTCATTATCACACTCTTGCATTTGTCAATTCTGTTACCATTGAAACACCTACAGTACATTGTTAGATGCTTTCAATTTTTGTTTGCAACTATTCCAGAGCTTTGAGGCGCCTTTACCTTCACCGTTTTGACAATCACTTTCTTCACCCGATCTCTTTCAATCCCTGGGCATGGTCCCTGTTGCCTGTAGTGTTTTCTTCAGGCATCCTTGATTTCACCATTACCAATAAACCACATTACTGTGATTATGTCTCCCACACACTGCTCACCAATATCTTCCTTGTTTGTTCCCACTATTTGCCTGGCTACTTTGAATAACTCTCCTCTTATGTCTGCACCATTCGACATATCTGCAACGTGTCCTGTTCCTGTTTCTTAAGCGAAAGTTTTAGGCCAATTGTGTATAACATCGACATAGCAGCCATTTGTGAGTCCCAGCTCCCAGATGAGGGTCAACTCACAGAACGGGGGTCTGGCTATACCTTCTTCTGGAAGGGCAAGCCTGCTGCGGAGAAAACTGCATTTATGGAGTTGGCTTTGCCATCCACCAATGCATCCGACTTAGGCTAACTGAAATGCCTGTTGGGATCAACGAGCGCCTCATGACGTTCCGAGTCCCATTGAATGCCTTCTTCATCAGTGCATACACCCCAACACCGGATGCAGAGGTTGACATCAAGGAGGCCTTTTATGCCGACCTTGGCAGAGTGCTAACCTCTATCCCCTGAGAAGATAAGGTTGTGCTCCTTGGCGACTTCAATGCCAGAGTTGGCAGAGATGCTGAAATTGGGCAGGGAACCATAGGGAGAAATGGACTAGGCAAGTGTAATCCCAACGGCCTACTCCTCCTCTGCAAGTATGCTGCACACAACCTCACTAACACCTTGTTTAGGCAGGCCGACAAGTTCGAGGGTTCGTGACAATACCCACAATCCAAACACTGGCATCTCATTGACTACCTCAATGTCAGAGGAAGAGATCGCTGAGACGTCCTCATTACCAGAGCCATGCGTGGCTCAGACCACTGCGACACTGATCATCGGATCATTAAAGTCAAGCTCTCTCTTCACGTCGCCCCAAAACGGTGAAGGCAACAAGCCCCCAGAAGAGGTTTTAACACTAAGCGTCTGGAAGATCCAGCAGTAGCACATGCTTTCAGAGAGCAGCTCGAACAAGAGCTGATAAAGAACCCGACAACAAACAGCCCAAACCCCAGTGACGAATGGGATATTCTTGACACTGTCATGACAAAAACCTACATAGAGATCCTCAGCCAGATCGAAAGAATACACCAGGACTAGTTTGATGAAAATGACCTGGCAATCAATGTACTCGTCGATGATAAACGTGTTGCTTTAACTGACTGGCAGAGCAGCCCTCAGTCTCGGACCAAAGCTGATACCATCCGCAAGAAGAAAGCGGCGGCCCAACGGGAACTTCGCAATCTAAAGAATGACTGGTTTAAAAATAAAGCATGTGAAACACAAAAATTTGCAGATCAGCACAAGATATGCGAATTTTTCAACTCCACTAAAACATTTTATGGGCCAATCACTCATGGTGCAGCCCCCCTCCGCTCATCCGACAGTAACTCCATAATTAAAGATGATGAAGACCTCATTCAGCGCTGGAAAGAGCACTGCCATTCACTGCTCAACCGAAACACCAATGTGGATGTCCTGACTACCGAGCAGGTCCCTCAGCATCCAGAGCTGACCTACCTCAGCTATCCCCCATCCCTAGATGAAGTAGCTACCGCCATCAAACAGATGAAAAATAACAAAGCCTCAGGGCTTGCCGGAATCCCAGCTGAGGTGTATAAAGCAGGAGGACCTCTGCTTACCAGCCGTCTCCACTCTCTCCTGGAGAATATATGGGAAAAGGAGGAAACCCCCCAAGCTCTTAAAGACGCCTCCATCATCAATATTTATAAGAACAAGGGAGACCGGTCAGACTGTGGTAACTACAGCGGGATTTCGCTGCTGTCCGAGCTGGCTAGATTATCGCCTGAGTCCTCCTAAACAGACTTCTTCCTGAGGCGGAGAACTTCCTCCCAGAATCTCAATGTGTCTTTAGACCATCACGTGGCACCACTGACATGATCTTTGCTGCCCGTCAGATACAGGAAAAGTGCAGAGAACAGCGTCGTGACCTGTACATGGCTTTCATCGACCTAACCAAGGCCTTCGGCTCGGTCAACAGGGCAGCCCTCTGGTGGACCTTCAGCCGGTTTGGCTGACCACCAAAATTAATCGCCATTGTGAGGCAATTCCACGATGGCATGAACGGCAGTGTCCTACACAATAACACCCAGTCTGAGTACATACCCCACGCTACAGTTCTGTATTTGGTTTATTTACCAATGTTGAATCGCTTTCTTCATAAAACAATATTCATGTATAATAATAAAACAATACTTCTTGAGTCGTCTGTATACATGTGCAATTTCTATTCGTGTAAAATGATAACTTACAATTTGTCACTAATACCAGCAACTGTTAGTGGTGACGAAAATAAGATTTGAATCTTTGGTTTGAAGCTTCGCCACCGTGGCTGTGAACCCTCGAGCCTAAAGGTTCGTTATCGTTGTTTACATTCCAACAGCCTCGGTAAGGTGGCTAATGTTAAACAACATCATAAAACACCAATTATGACGATGAACACTTATTATTGACTTGAAATACCAGAACCAAATACAATGTATAACGATCATAGGTTACGGTTTATATGGGCTAGGATTGGTCATTTAATCGACTTGTACCAATGAAAATAAAAAAAACAGTTTCCCGGAACGATCCGTAGTACTTTTATAACATTAGCCACCATCCCCCTCCTCTGTTGACGTCGCGTGAGACTTAAAACATCAGAGTTAAACTTTCTCCAGTTCATTACCACAAACAATTAGAAAAACTAAACCGGTTAACATCTGATCTGCATAAAAAGAGAAAGCAGGGAAATATGTAGTAATAAAAGGCAGACGATCTTGTTAACTTGAAAGGTAACAACGCCAAAGAAGAGAGGGATAGATGATAACAAGTGTTAGATATTTATGAACTATCAGTTTTTCTCCTGTCAAAATGTCGTTTCCAACTAGCCACAAAACAGTATTTGTGATGGATCACACACTAACAGCGTCGTCTGGGGTGAAGTTAGAGATGGACAGCTTCAGCAAATCTCGCAGCAACAGTACTAGTGGCAGCAGTAGCACTCAGCCACTATCACAACCTATGAACCTCATCCCACTGCTTCCTGTCACCAAGTCTCTTTGGACTTGTGCAGTCGAGGCCATCACCGAATACTGCAGGTGAGTATTGTTCACTGGCATAACCAAAAGGTTAGCTCAGGTCATGGGCACCACCAAAGGACAGTGGGCCTGGTTAACCAGTTACCCATTGAAAAATATTCATTGAGGAAAAGTTCTTTTGTACCTTAAGACTAAACTAAATTGGGTGGAGGAATTTTACTTTTGTTATTCAATGCTATATTTTTTCAGGTTTTTTCCGCTATAAATAAAGACTCTCCTTGCCCCTTAATGACACCGTCGTTCTTTATGCTTCAATGACTTACATCAACAGGCATTTTTCATAGGCATTAACGCGGTAAATTTAAGGTACTTCACACAACTGTTAGAAAGTCAAAACTATGTTTTTCTAGTGTATTTTTGCGTGTTTGATTGGATCTGACCTTGATTTCCTTCAGAGATTACCTATTTTTTAGTTACTGCCCCCTTCTACCCCCAACAAGATAGGGGATCCTGTTGGGAACCTGGGTTTTGGGTGGGGCGTTTTCCGACAAAAATCACGGCCAAGTGAATACAAAATACACCAAAAAACATATAAACCTAACCTTTTTTTGGATGACCTATCCTAACCTAACCCTCATGGTGATATTATGTAACCAAACTCACCATATGAGGGAATCACTGTTATTTCTTACCTTATTGGCCTGGTTCGTCTCTTCTTTGTCTTGGGAATAAGGAACGAGTTACTACAATGCCAACTAATGTATGTCATTCTTGATGATATTTACACTCCTTATTACACTTAGGACACTTTACTGAGGTCAGGAGAACACCATGAGATCTAATAAATGCTATAGCTTGTTCGTTTTTTTATCCCAAAACGCACAATTAACTTCATATAATTGAAGTGACACCCATTGCAGACTTACATGGTCGGAAATGAATTTGAATTTCAAAATATGAGACCCAAAGGTACAATTGAATCTGATTGGGCAAAAAATACAGCAAATTCTAAAAGCAGAAACCACAATTCACTTTAATTGGTGGAAAATAAAAAGAAGCTTTCGATTGGCCGCGTGACATGCACTGAAACGCATGACAGTTTATGAAGGGAACACGCTGAGTGAGAGGTTGGGTAGGTGATAATGGCTGAAGATTAATGGAAGAAAATAGAGAAAGTTTTGGCATGCGCTATTTCCGTTATTATATGTTTCCGACGGTAATGTAATAGAAGAAAATTATCTTTAAAAAATTAGACATATTTTTCGATTATGATAATAGATTTGGGGTAGAAGAGTTGTGTGAACTACTATAAAAATATCATTAACACTTCTATTTTAAACTTAAAAAAAAATCAAGAAATTTAGTAAACATTTACTTACTTTTAACCTCTTCACCAGTTGATCGGCTCGTTAGCCGCTTGGGCGATCGGTCACGTCTCTGTTACTCACTGCTGGCAGGTACTGGGCATGTACTGGCTCCTGAATGTACCTGAACCTGCTCCAGTGCTGGTCAAGTCTTGTCTTGAAAGAGCTCACACTCGGTGCCGTCACAACACTTTCTGGTAGATTGTTCTAAGAGTTCACAACTCTCACTCCGAAAAAGTTTGCCCTCACAGTTTTCTGGAAAAAATAAATAAAATATTTTTTTACTGTAAGAATCTGGTCGAGGCTAATTGTACAGACAAATTTTATCAGGATGGCCGAAAATTGAATGATTCTTGTGAGCCTAACCTATCCTTGAGTGAGAGACAACATGGTGAGAGTTGTCTACGATTAGCCACTGTGTAAGAATAGCTGTAATATAAAAAAAATAAATGCTGCTGATATTTGTCCAGTTGTCATTTTTTTTTTTTTTTAGAATAACACCAGAAGGAGTTGATAGAATTGGATGAAACTCTGTGGAAACGTTAATTACAATCTATTTAATAGATAAATGGAAACAATAATACATTCAGTGTTGTTAGGTATGATTTTAAAGGTTTTTCTTGTAAGTTAGGTAGGTTACTTTAGGTTAAGTTATTTAGGTCAAGTTCTGTCCATTCTCGATTCCATACTTCACAGAGGTTGGCACAATACCATGAGCCTTAAAAATGTCAATGGCAGTGGCTTTGTTTTGAAATACATGACGAATGGTTTGCCAAGCTGACGAAGAACACCTGGTGTAGAGAGAAGCCATCTTGCGACTAGCTAAGTAAAATTCAAAACTCTGAGCATGTGCAGGAATACCATGTGATACCGAGATATAGTCATGCGAGTCAGGTATAAACAGTGTCTCCTGCCCAATTGTACTTTCTAAAGTGAAATCGAAAAGCCCATAAAATACAAGAAATATAAATTTGTGACTGACATTTTATTTTTTGCTGTGACCTCAAGATATACAGGACTCATTTATCTGAAATGGGAAGGCAAACAAGGGCTTAAATATTTCTCTCATATTCAGTGGATTATTGGACACATACAAAATGAAATGAGTTATAGATTGTTCAATATTTTTTAAATAACTTATCCTTTACTTAAACGATTTAGTAAGTAATTCCTGTATAAAAATAAGAAAATGCTGTATTTGAATACCCTCTACAAAATTACCATTTATATAGAAATCATATAGATACTTGTATGATATAACTCTATTTTCTTTCAGGATCGTTTGGGACATCTTTCCAGGAACGAGGCTGATCCGTTTTATAGCGGTTGACAAGACAAACCACAAAGTCTCTTCATGGTCTCTTGAGGACCAGAGCCTTATTAACTTAATGAACTCGTTCATGATGCTTGGACCAGCAAAGAGTATAGGTGCTGGCAAACTTGATCTTTTAAAAGGTCTTAAAGCTGCAATAGAGGCCATGACTGAACCATCAGCAGTTCAGCATGAGAAAAGAACTTCTCTTACAGAGAATGCTACAAAAGTTCTTAATAAAGGGAGAATAATATTAGTAACTAAAATTGACAGTGAGGATGAAGTTAAAACAATAAAAGAAAAATTTCATGATGCTCTTTTACACATGAACAAGACTGCTGCTGCAACAGATAACTTAATGGCCATTAATCATTGTGACCTTGTCCTTTTAAACTTGTGGCCAGAAGGTCCAGGATGTCCAATACCACGTAAGTCTTGGCCAGATGTTTCTACCATAATGTCATGCGAACTCACTAATATCCAAGGAGGCACAGGTTTGGCACCAAAGCTTTGTAACCTTGTACTTAAACATTATGACCTTGCTTCTACTACTGTAACAGGTATACCAATGAAAGAAGAACAAAATGCGAGTTCATCAGCAAATTATGATGTAGAACTATTCCACCCTGCTTCCGCTCATGCTGCTATTCTCAAGGGAATACCAGCAGAAACGGCCCACTTAAAGACATATCGTGAGGGTACAGATTATGAAACTGTGACATTAAAATGGTGTACCCCTCGCAGCAATGCCAGTATAGAACTCCAACATTGTTCATCTGCATATAGAATCACATCTGTTGATGTGAATAGCAGACCATCATCATGCCTTACAAATTTCTTGCTAAATGGGCGTTGGGTTATGCTTGAAATGCCACGTAAGTCAGGAAGCAAGGTGATATCTCATATGTTGGCCTGTCACGGTGGAGATATTTATATCCACACAATGTATACTTCAAGAAGCATACTGGAAGATCCGCCATCCATCAGTGAAGGGTGTGGTGGCCGAGTTACTGACTATAGAATTCCCGATTTTGGGGAACTTATCAAAGCAAACAGATTAGCTCCATATTCAGAGTCTGCATTAGAGAGTGAGGATAATACCACACCACTGGAACGAAACCGAGAACAGTTAAGTAGGCATACAAAGTATTGGCCTATTACACTGTCCTCTACTTCTCTCTTCACTTTAGGGCAACAGATAGAGCCACTTACCACATTAATGTTGAAGGAGACTCTTACTGAAGATGAAGTTGTTGAGTGCAAACAGGTAATCCTTTGCCTGATGAGCATGGAGGCTCGAGGTGACCCATTACCATCTCCTATGGCTGGCCAGCGTGGAAAAGGGATGAAGAGAGAAGACCAATACAGAGCTGTTTGGACTGAATTGGAACAGTACCTACAGCTACACCTTCACTCTGATGCTCATGAAAAAGTACTTGAATGTTTTATGGAATGTCATAACAAGGTAGCAACCCCAGAATATAAAAGTGATGATAAAGTGGATATTGATCAAGCACTGAAAGAACTTGATGAATACAACTACATGACTGAAAGAGAGAAAGCTGACTTTAACCTAAGTACAAGTACTGGAACAAAACATGTACCCACAGATATAACAGTTCCAGATAGCAAACGCAGACGATCAGCACCTCCACCTCTAGCCCCCATGGGTCGCAGCAGTGGAGTCAGCCTCTTAACTTTATGGGAAAACAAAGTCTCTTCAGAACAATCTCGACGGTGTTTAGAATTTCAAGGTAGACTTAAAGCTGATGATAATGTTACTAAGTTGTATGTGAATCTTCAGAAAGACAAAGATAAAGATGAAGTACCAAGAAAAAAATAATTAAGTGCAAAAATATTTAATATGTCATTTTATATGGTGTTTTGATAATTACATTGAATTATTAAAAAAAAAAAAATTGTAATTAATGTCCAGGTCTCCTCTTGCAAAAGCTAGTTGTTTTCTGACTGTAATGTTGAGTATTGTGATGATTGCTGAATGATGAATTCAGAAGTAGGGAAGTTTGCTCAGTCAATAGAGCTGGACGTAATTACTGTATGGTATACAGTATTGACTTTTATTTGATATAATTTTTTGTAGGATTAATATGTTTTCTCTAAGGATTCGTACCTCCGAGTACTTTACTGTACAGTATATCAATTTATAAATAAAGATTGAACAAATTTATACGTCTTTCTGGTTCTTTTCCTTTTAGCTTAGATCAGTAGTGAAGTTTTTTTTTTGTAAATTATAATTCCCCTGTGCCAGGTCCCTGACGGTCACACTGTCAGGGACCTCTTGCTGCAGGGAGAGTTACTGACCACAGAATAACACCATCTGCTCATACTTGATTATATAAACATAATTCTGGCATGCAACTCACAGTTTTATGGGTCTTCACTATAAATGTTTTTGAATCCCCTTAATATGTACTTGATCATGCATATTTTGTGCATACAGTGGCCTTCTTGCTGTGAGAAGATAATTTGGTGAGGGCTCAAAGGGTTCAGTAATAAAACCTTGTCAATTATCACAAAAATTTCTGAAGATTAAAAGTCCCAGACTATTTTCTGATTGAGCTGAAAGAGAACAACAGATAATGCAAGGTAAAGCTCAAATAGTGTTGTACAATATACAGTAGTACAGTACAGTACTGTAAACCTTCCTTCTTTAATTTCAAAAAATTTATGACTCATATGCCTCGATGGCTCATAAGCAATGCTTAATTTGTAAAATAAGAATTGGTGAAACTAGTGAAACAGATGCTATGAAGCAGCTGACTGAGCCTGTGAAACTTAATACTTGCAAAGTTCTGTAGGGGCACATTTTGAAGTACTGTATAAGTAATTATATACTGTGCATAGTACAGATGGCAGTACTATTTATTGATACTGTATATGATTACATTCACAATTTATAGTACTTATGAAAAATAAAATTGCCGGACCACCGTCCCAGTGCGTTCCGGCACAAATTAGGCACCGCTCCTAAGAATGTGGATACAGCACAATTTACTAAACCTCTCAACTGCTGTAGAGGGAGGCTTCTCTTCCCATCTTCCCAGCTGTTTTGTTCAGCTCTTACAGCTGAGTGGACTTGGAGTGCCCTAGGAATGAGTAACCCTTAGGATAAGAGGTGAATGTTGTATCCACTTTGCTGTCACACCCATTAATTTGTTTTTAATGTCCAAAGGGTGAAAAACTCCTTAGAAGATATGCAGGCAATCACATTTTGAGAATATTGGACAACGAAAGAATTTTATTTAGTTAACAAAATAATTTTTTTCTCAAAGGGCAGCAAAATCAAAGGTACAACTTAACAGAACAAGAAAAAACAACCTCACTTACCACTCACCAAAGTGTGGGTAGTGTGTTGGGATTACTTGCTAGTAATCCTGTCTTTTTGTCTTTTGTGATGTTGGTCAAGAACTGGTCTTGAAACAGCTCACATTCGGTGCCATCATAACACTCTGGCAGATTGTTTCAAGAGTTTACAATTCTCACTGAAAAATTTGCCCTCACACTTTTCTATGATGTTTCCCTCACAAACAACTTATACTGTATGCAGGACGGTCCAAAGGAGCACAGTCCCCCAGTTAGGTTAGGCTTGGTAATTTTTAAGTTATTTGTGAGGGAAGTGTCATAGAAAAGCGTCCATTTTTGGAAATAGTACTGTACATGCCCTGCACTTGTCACAGAGTGTAACAGAGACATGACTGACTGCCCAAGTGGCTAACAGGCTGATCAGTGACGAAGAAGATAAAGTGATATATTAATTACTGCAGAGGAAGGATGTGTACTCAAATAATTAGGGTTAATCCAATAATGACTGTTGTCACATGTTGAGATTGGACCGTACTGAAAATGTTCTGGACGTTTGCAATTCAATCAAAACCTAAACTAACCTTACCAAATTTAACCTAACCTAACCTAACCTTTTATTCTAGGGGGTAATCTCAATGATCCATACCATTTATGATGTTTTGATTGAACTGCATATGCCCACAACATTTTCAGCACATCACGCCAGAAGAGAGTACTGTACCTGTACTGTAGAGGGCAGTGATAGGGTCCCCTGCCACTACATGCATACCAAGTTACATACATCCAAATTATTGGGTACTGTACTAAGTAAACGAATGTTCTTATGGTGATCAGTGATTCTCATGGAAGTAAATCCCTTAAAATAATATAAAATTTTACTTGCAAGACTTGTGAAATCAAATATGACTTATGTACCAAAAAATCTGGATATTATTTTAGTTTCAGTCATCCAGGTAATATTACGTATTTACATTATTGGAATTAGTAGGCGTCTGGTATAATGGTCAGCATGCTCACCTCGCAAGCGAGCAGACCTGGGTTCAATCCCCGGGGAGGATGAAACTATGGGCAAGTTTGTTTATGCCATTTGCCTCTGTCTACCCAGCAGTAATTGGGACCCGGGATATTAATCGATTTGTAGATCGTGTTCCGGGGTAATGGTTAGCCAGTGCAGTTGGCAAGTTGTCCGGTCATCTCGGACTATTCCTTGGCACTGGGTCATGGAACTCGTTAACTCAGGGTGTGGTTGTTGTGTTGGTGACAGCTTCTACACCTTAAACAAATTCACGTCTAGGTGGCCCTTGGGCCGACCATCCTCGTTACACGAGAGGCAACCATTATTATTAGGTTAGACATATAGTTCCTTAAGTTCCTGGGTAATATGGCTAGGTTAGTTTAGGTTAAAATACTGTACAGGGGTAACCAAAACTAAAGTTTTACTAAAATCTGTATAAAATTCAGTAATTATTATGTTATAACAATTAAACAGTTTAATTACAGTTACTTCAATTAGAGATTATTACATGTACAGGTATTAGGGATTCGGGTACTGAAGAAAGTAAACGTGTGATATCTCTCTTGTTCAGGAGGGTTTTTATAATCTTTTTATAAATATATATGGATGGCTAAGGGTAGTCTCAACTCTTAACCGATAACTCATAAATTGTAAGGAAAAATAATGTTTCATTGCCTAAAAATCAAATGTTGGTCTGGCTCTTGTTACGGGTTGGAGAGTTCAACATCACATGGACGGTGGGAACCATTTCATTATAACAATTAACAAAGTAAAAAATAAATACCAATTTTGTAATATAATAATTAAAAATTAAAGTTATTAAAATTACAGATTCAATGATAGTATCTAAGGAATATGTTAATAGTTTGAAAACATTTTATTACCATTTAAAATATCATCACCTCAGCAGCTCAGTGTGAGGGTGTGACTTGATTCTCCCAGTTAATCTTACTATCGGCGTTGTCTTCCCATTCTCTACTCGCTGGGAATCTTTCTTCACATATTCTTAAATAGGAGGTAAATATATTATCTGTTGTTAACACTGTAGAGGGTTAAATAAATGTGCTGGTACTGGTACAGGTCGACCAGCCTGTGTGAAGAAGTACCGCGTTTTTTAATTATGTTTTTCATTATTCTCGCTATGGTTGTTTTAAAATAAGGAATGGGTAATTATATAGGATTAACCCGCGAGTGAAATTGATTGAAAACAATTATAAAAACGCCAGATTTCCATTGTTATATTATAGTGGACACTTGTAGTTTGTGGAAAAATGTTAAAAACGGTTATTAGGAACAGACCTAACCAACCAAACCTACCCAACCTTACCTTACTTCCCCGGTATATTAAAGAACTTACTATTATTTGGTGAAGTTTGAGGCCCTGGCCGGTTAGTCCTATATATTAACCAAGGAATGAAACCAAGCTCAATTAAATTTAAGGATCCCAGCATAGTATTTATAGTTGTTTGAGAGTATTTGTTAGTTATTAGGAATTATACCATATAATACATATGGTATTATTTTTGGTCAACTTAGGATAGTAGCCAGGTTTAGGTTAGGATAGGAGGAAGTTAGCACCACAAATGAAGGCCAGATTCGTTTTGAATTACAACAAGAACCATAGGAAAAACGTATTTTTTATTGGAAAATCGAAACCTGGCTGCTATCAAATTGACCTTATTTTATTTTCAAACAACACAGGAATCTTGAGAATATTATCTTTGCAATCAGTAGTTTAAACAGTTATAAGACACTTTTCTTCAATGACTTTTCCCTCACAAACTACAATACTTCTGTATGCTGGGAGGCGGTCCGACTAATTACCCAAATGTAGCTGCAATGAAGTCAAATGATGGTCCTTCAAGCGTAAATCGGGCTGTGAATCACTTCTCGATTATTGTTTGGTGTCATAAAGTCACAAAACATTGGTAAACTTAATTTAATCTGAGTTGTGTTAGGTTAGGTTAGGTTGGGTTGGGTACATGCACTCGATCTATTAACTCAGATTAAATTAAGTTTACCATTTTTTTGTGACTTCGTGACACCAAATACTAGTCGAGAAGTGATTGGCAGTCCGATTTATTCATGTAGGACCATCATTTGACTTCTTTGCGGCTACATTTGGGTAATTAGTCGGACCCCTGGGAGGTCCAGGGGTCAGAGCCCCCTGTTTAGGACGTTAGGTTAGGCTGTTTACAAGAGAAACTTCAAAAAAGAAAAGTGTCTTAGATTGTCTAAACTATTGATTACAACCATAAAATTCTCATAATTCTGTGGGTGGCAACAAGTGAAATTTTACTACAAGTAATGGTAATTATTGAGTTACGACTCATCATACCTTGTCAATCTTAATCCCACCAGAGGTGGACAAGGCTTCAAAGCAGAGGGAAAATGTGGAACTGAAAACATAACTGAAAGAACCTAACCTAATCTGGTCATTGTACTGTACTCACCTACTAGGTAAATATGCTGCAGATGCTGGCATATGATTTAGACTTGTAACCTGACACCAGCATATAATTTAGGTTTGGAAGTTGTACTATTTTAGTTTGTCATCTGGGAATCTTAGGAATTTAGGTTAGGTCAGATTTAGTTCTTGGGTTCTGTGGCTAGATTAGGTAAGAAGGGGGGATAGATCACTATCCTCTAACTACCGCTCAATCAGTCTAACATCAAGAGTAGGCAAATTACTGGAAGCAATCATTTCAAACTCCATTCGAAATCACCTGGAGAAGCACCGATTGATCAATGATTCCCAACGTGGCTTCACAAGCGAACGTTCATGTCTAACCAATCTATTAACATTCTTTTCATCAGTTTTCGAATCGGTGGATGAGGGACACAATTATGATGTGGTATATCTCGACTTTAGCAAAGCCTTCGACAGAGTCCCCCACGAAAGACTAGTAAGAAAAGCGGAGGCTCATGACATTAAAGGAGATATTCTAAAATGGATTAGGGCGTGGTTACAGGACAGGAAACAGCGAGTGAGCATTAACGGCACGAAATCCGATTGGAGCAATGTCACTAGCGGAGTTCCCCAAGGCTCAGTACTGTACTTGGACCATTATTATTTATTATATACATAAACGACATAGATATAGGCGCAGACAGCAACATAAGTAAATTTGCTGATGACACTAAAATAGGGCGTGTAATTAAATCTGACGAGGGCTCTTCAAAATTACAGGAAGACTCTAAAAAAAAATTTGAATGGTCTGAAAAATGGCAGACGAAATTCAATGTGAACAAATGTAAAGTACTCAGTATAGGAGATGTAAACAGGGAAACCAGATACCAGATGAACAACGATGTTATTGAGAAGTCCGACTGCGAGAAGTATTTAGGAGTAATGTAAAGTAGGAATCTTAAGCCAAGTAAACAATGTGTATTTGCTCGAAACAAGGCTTATAAAGTACTTGGGTTCATACAAAGGAGTGTTAGTTACAAGACTAGCGAGGTCACCCTAAAACTATATCTTGCGCTTGTGGCACCTCGCTTGGATTACACAGTTCAGTTCTGGTCACCGTATTACAGAATGGATATAGAATCCTTGGAGAGAATTCAGAGGAGAATGACAAGACTAATCCAGGCATTAGGAACCTTGAGTACAGAGACAGGTTAAAGCATCTTAATCTGCACTCCGCTGCGAGACGTAGAGTGAGGGGCGATATGATAGACGTGTATAAATGGAAGTTGGGGCTGAACAATGGGGACATTGCAAAGGTACTCAAACTATCCAACCAGGAGCGAACTCGTAACAATGGTTTTAAATTAGACAAATTTAGATTTAGGTGTGAAATAGGTAAAAATTGGTTTGGAAATAGAGTAGTGGATGAGTGGAACAAGTTACCAAATATCATCATTAACTCGAATGCGCTGGATAGCTTCAAACATAGGTTGGATGGATATATGAGCGATAGGGGTTGGGTGTAAATGGGACTGCCCAGTATGGGTCAATAGGCCTGCTGCAGTTTCCTCCATTCTTATGTTCTTATAACACTTTGCCAGGTATATACAGGTATCTGTTGTGTATTAATTTAATTGTTACAAGACAAGTTTTGCACTTTACACAACCAAAAGACTGGGGTGACTACTTCTTTAAAAATTTTGCCACCAAGATGATTACCGCATACCTACGCTGTACTGTACTACTGCAATATGAGGCTTTTATTTACTGTACAATACAGTACTATTTATTGGCCATAATATTTTGACTGAGAATTTTTAACTTTAATATTTTATATTGCTGGATTATATACAGTATATTAATCTTTCAGATTGAAGTGAAGGACGAATTAAAACAAAATGGCTCAAATTGACAGGTTGGGTATTCAAGGCATACGAAGTTTCGGACCGGAAGAAGCACGCACAATTAATTTCTTGAAGCCACTCACTCTTATTCTTGGTCAGAATGGTTGTGGAAAGACAGTAAGTTATTTAGCTTCCTTTTCTTTTTCACAGATGAAGCAATGTATATTTTTACAACCTGATGCTGTGTTGCTTGGCAGCTTGTATGTTGTGTGCACCATGCCTTTGTGTTGAGATCCAGGAAATGCTTGACATTGGTGATGGGACAAATACTGAAGTCTGATATATTAGTATCACGTAGAATATCTTCTGTGGATGCCTGATGGTATGGTGCAGACTAGGGGTTGTCATTGGGGAAGTGGGTGTTATATATAGGACCTCCAATTGCCCTTTTAGCTGACAAGGCAGTGTCACTCCTCTCTGAGGTAAACAAAGTGATTATCTGCTTACCTGTATTTGTATAGTTAGTTGCACATTCACAGCTTGGTGAACTGAGGGTGTCCTTGGTGCAAATCAGTGATCTGAGGATTGGAAGCCAGTGCTGCAGTTGGTCATCGCAGTAACACACAGCAACGAAAGCCTCCACCGGGGCTAGTCCGTGCCAACTATGTGATCATAGTAGCATTTTACAGACTCCCGCTAGACAGTACAAGGCTATCAATACTCTGGTTGGACCTGGGGACCATCAGGCCCTGATGACAACTCACAGTGCTTGACCAATACAGTATAGACATAAGTAATTGGTGGGGCTTAGGTGCTTGCTCAGTTAGCAATCACTTAACAAGATTTTTTACTTCATTAATGGCCACTAATAAGACCTCTTTTAACTATCTACATTCAACACCATGTCCTTGTAGACTTCATTATCACAGTCTCATGTTTGGCTTAGGTCATCATGGTCAGTTATCTTTGGAAAATAAATTATCAGAAACTAGAACTCGGATGTTTATACTGTACACCACTTATTTTTATGTAGGCCATGTAGCATGGAGAGCTGCCATTAGGTAACTGTGGCTAACCCACGCAGGCATGGAAAATATAAAATGATGATGATGACTTACAGTATTATATATACTTCCACAGACTATCATTGAATCACTGAAATATATCTCTACGGGAGAGGTTCCTCCAGGATGTGGTCGGGGAGCTTCTTTTGTTCACGATCCAAAGATGGCTAAGGAGTCGTCTGTAAGTATTTATTCCTGTGAATATATCTCTTTTTCTTGAACTTGAGCATATAGTTAATGACTAGACTACTATTAATGAAATGCAAAATATTAAGTTATAAAATTTGTGAGATTGAAGTGAAAAATACTGTAATTTTGTATATGTCCCAGTGAGGGTTGCACATTGAATGAATTTCTTATCATTTTATCAAGGAATTGATTTGTAGTTATATTTAAAAAAAATTAAAAAGTTTCTATTGATGAAAGCCAAGGACACAGAATAAAGTTGTTCACTTATCATGTAGATCAGTGGTTCCCAGACTTTTTCACATGACGTCCCTTTAGACTCTTTACCTAACCCGCTTCCCTCCCCATTTTTAAAATAAATTGAATAAATTTTACACTATGTACTTATTTTCATATTACTTTCAAGAACAAATAACTCATAATTATTTTATATATGTATCTCGTGTATGCAAGGAAGATTGAAATACTGTATACAGTACTAAGGAAAAAATTAATGCTTTACAGTTTAATTGAACATTTGCCAATTTAGAAATGGGATGTCAATACCTGTACAGGTTATTGTTCAGTACAGTATATGTTTTCCACCCTCTCCGCATAATACCCCCCTGCTGTGCATAACATCCTTGAACAACCCCCCTCACCGTTTGGGAACCACTGAAGGCTAAAATATTGTCACAGAGACTTGTTGTTGTTTGAGGAGAATGGTTTTATCGTTGATGTGGCTGCACTGTACTAAGGTGATGTGTGTGTCCTCATGAACAAGGTAAAGGTTTGTTTGAAAAACCAATTTATTTTGGTTTATTCTCTTGTCAATCTTAATTCATTAACATTTGAATGAGATTGAAAAGCTGTACATCATACCTCGTGAGAGAAATTAGAAAGTCCTCGGGTTCTTTGGAGCACAAGAAAATGAAATTACGATGTTACATTATATTTAAATGCATAATAGCTCTGCACCTGACTTCAAAGTAGACTAGTCTTTGAAACTTCATTCTTCCAATTCTAACCCAATTCCTCCATTTTCTGTTCCTATTCTTCAATTAGTAGTTAATACATTGCGTGTACTTTCAGGTACGTGGTCAGGTTAAGCTACGTTTTACAGATGCTCGAGGAAAAGTAATTGTATCAACTCGGTCCTTAGTGGCCACACAGAAGCCAAAGTCCCTTGAGTGTAAAACCCTAGATGCCACCATGATATGGAAGCAGCCTGATGGAAGTGATGTCACTTTATCAAGGTGAATTTAAATTTGTGTCTTTAGATTTTACATTAATGGAAAATTATTTTTGTTTTGTCTTGCCTCTTTTCAGATGTCAGTGCTGTACAGTGATCCCTCGGTTAACGAAATTTCGATTAACGAATTACCTTCCATAAGAATATTCAATTCGGTAAACGAAATTTTTACGAAATCATGTCAACATGTTTTGGCTTACTCACCAGCTGGAATATTAGTCCGCCAATACAGTAATCCGTTCTTGGGCTTAAATTCGTTCCCGTTTGAGTAAATATCAAGAAGGTTGTACTATTCAATAATTTTCCAAGTTTTATATTAAATTTTGTAGTCATTTTAACACTTATTTAACATAATTGGAGTATAGGAAACTAGTTTTTGGTGCGCCCAACAGCCACTTGACTCACCCACAAAGGCGTCAGTTTGTATCTCTGGTCAGTGGAGGTAACATCTTGCTTGTGGCTCTCTTGAACATAAAATATTTTTTATGTTTTTACAGCACAATTATTGGTCATTCTGAAATTTATTTTACATATTGACAATATATAGTGCAGTGCAGTGTTGATTTAAAGAATATAATCTTGAATTACACCCAGTGAACTTAAAATTTTATGGGTGAAATGATGGCAGAAGCATGGGGTGATTTCTCTTCCACCCCAACTTCCTTCTCTTCTTTCTTCTCCTCCACCCCACTTCTAATTCCCATCATCATCATCAACCAGGAGCCTTCTACATGCGCACCTCAAAGTAAGTGTACTTTACTGCATTTATTTTTACTTTGTATGTAATTTTCGGTGAGCTGGAACCAATTACCCAAAATCCCATTGAAACAATGGTTTCGGTTAACGAACGGCCTTCTGGAACGAATTGTGTTCGTTAACCGAGGGACCACTGTACAGGTGTATTGTGATGCTGCCACATATATGTAACCCTAACCATGTGACAAGAGACTTGTGCATTGGAGCCAGGAGGCTCAGCAGGTAGAGGCAGTTGATCATTGGGGTGATCATTGAATCAGGGGTGACCAATTGCAACTTAGGGATGGGGTATAAGTATGACTACATCATTAAAGCGAATGATCCTAACACGAGACATCATAACGCGGGGGTAACCTGTGTGTGTGTGTGTTTTATATATATATATATATATATATATATATATATATATATATATATATATATATATATATATATATATATATATATATATATATATATATATATATATATATATATATATATATATATATATATATATATATATATTATTAATATTTTATTCAGTCGATGTGCTGAATTTAACGCATCTATGACAGCAGCTTTAGGTGTGTCTAAAGCCATACTGAACAATGTAATATTCTGCCATCAAGAGGATTCAAATTGGTAAGCTGAAAATATACTGTATACACTGTATATACTGTATTTTTCTAATAATGTTTCTGTGTTCATGTAAGTAATGGGATTTTGGGTATACAGTATTGTATTTGATGTATTGTGACACCATGGTCTCTTACTTTACTAATTCTTTTTATTTTCAGGCCACTAGATGAGGGCAAGAAGGTGAAAGATAAGTTTGATGAGATATTTAATGCCACAAAATACATCAAGTGTTTAGAGACTATACGCAAGCTTCGTGCAGATATGAAAGGCAGTAAGTGTTTTAAATGGGGATGAGTAAGTTTTATTTCTATTGTGTTGATTGGTCACCAAACTCAGGGGGCTTGTACTAAATTGACTCCTTGCAATCTGAAATATATACTGTACGATGAAGCCAACCAATCCAGTCACATGTGTACTTGGACCACCTCCGTAATCAAAACCCAAACTCGATCTTTAAATTTACATTGATTTTTGTAGTGTGATCAGTTGATTGTACCAAATGCTTTTACTGAACTCTGTGTACATATTCTTATAATCATTTTGCTTTCAAGGCCACACTTAAAGGACTACTGCATCCTATTTGACCATTTCAGTATTTTACCTTTTACAGCGGGACCTCGTTATCGCAGTATACATTATTCGTGGATCCGCAGCTACAAGCACAAATTATTTCAGAAATACAGTATCAGTAAAAATTCCCCAAACTTACGAGGATGCCACATAAGCATAAGCATTTGAAATTCTTGCACACCTCCCATTCTCTCAAAGTTCATCCTTCTCGCCTGCACCACGCAGTAACAGACGCCCGTGTCCCCAAGCCTTTTTTGAAAATGCTCCAAAGATTTTTTTTATTTGTTGCGTATTTGATGACATTGGTGGAATTTTTTGTGGCCATGAGTTCCAAATTGAAGCAAGGTGAAGTGTCTAAAAGGAAGTGTAGTGTAAGGCCACCACCTACCTCTCTCTCATCCTCTAACAAAGACATGGGCAACCTTTCCTCAGTCATAGGTTTTGTTATGATTTAGATATTTTTCTGTGGGCCAACCTACCCAAATTTACATCCTACCTAACCCAAAAGTAATGTTAATATTGTATTAGCATGGACAGTGAAGCAGTTTATCCTCACGTCCACCTTACGATATTTTTAGTTGACAATAACAGTCTTTTTCCCATTTATGAAACAAATCCATTATACAGTAATAATTTTTTAAGTAAAATGTTAGCATTTAACAGAAGGTGAGTGAAACATTCTGTGAATATGTTGATTTTTCCTACAGTTACATCAGTTTTCTTATGAGACACACCAGAATAATGCCAATGTTAAGCTTGGCATATGAGGAACTACAATGAAATAACCTATAGGCACAACTATTATATATATATATATATATATATATATATATATATATATATATATATATATATATATATATATATATATATATATATATATATATATATATATATATATATATATATATATATATATATATATATATATATATATATATATATATATATATATATATATATATATATATATATATATATATATATACTGTATTAGATTTCGTTGAAAGTCTCAGTGCCTGTATAGGTACTCCTGAGCATGCTGATTACGAATCTATGGTCCAAGATTTGATTGCGTGGTAATAATTGGTTGTAATGATGCTTGAAAGATTTTAATTACAGTCGACCCTTGTTAATTCGGACTAAGAGGGGGGAAGGGTGTCCGTTTTAGCCGATTGTCTGAATTAACCGATTTAGGGGTTAATATTGCATTATATTTCAAAGAAAATGCAGTGAGTTTGTCCTTAGCCTTGCATATGTCCGAAACTGTTTGCTTTTTAACACCATACTCGTCATAAACTCTAGCCACCGAAGCACCAGCCTCTAACTTCCTTACAAGTTCCAGTTTCTGGTTCACAGAAAGGGTCACATACTTCCTCTTCGGCTTATTACTCCCCCTTGAAGACATGATGTAAAATACAAGGCTGAAAGATGCCTAATCACTGAAATATCAATGAAAATTGCAGGGCAACACAACACTGATACTCGAATATGGCGCTAGGTCAACAATGATTGGCGGTCTGGCTTGCGTGCGCAATCTATCGGACAATCCCAGAACCAGAAATTTGATACGGACAGTCCCTCGCTTAGTTCAGATTTCGTCCGAATTATCCGATCCGGATTAAAGGGGTCCGATTAACGAGGGTCAACTTACATCTATTTCAGTGATAATTACTCGCCAACTATGGGCTCCGGAGGTTATAAAGTTAAATAATTTCATAAACTAATATGTAATCAAATGTTTAAAAAATGTATCTAAGGTATATGAATTTTAAAGGATACAAAATTTAACCTTTTGTGTCATTTACAATGTGATGGTCCCGATTAGACCCCATTCCTATTAATTCTTACTGGAATTAATTCCCCTGTATCTGTGAAATCACTATCCGAGTCTTTTTTCTGGTCCCTATTAAGCTCGGATAACGAGAACTTCGTGTATGTGTGATTGTGTATTTTTGGTTGAGTCTCAAGCATTGGAATATTGTGCACTGTACATCCATTAATTTGAAGGATGATTATTGGTATGCTTCTTTTTGTGAGAGCTTTAGGAGTTATATAACATTTAGTTTGGGTGCAAAATCCTTTCAGTTCAAGGTGTTTTAGTAGGCTTTAGAGTTCAATCCTCAAGTCATGCCATTCACAAAATATTAAAATATTTATTTTGGCTTATTTATATATAATTTTAATTTCAACTCTTTCTTTCAGAGATAAAGAATATGAAAGATATCCTATTTGAGCTTAAGAAATGGAAAGATGAGGCAAATCGAAAGCGTGTTGAACTAAAAACTTCAGAAGAAAAACAAACAAATATCATCACCGAGAAAGAGACCTTGACCACAGAGATGAAACCCATTGTACAGCGTCTCAAACACATTTCTACTATTGAAGCAGACATAGGACGTATAAGAGAAGAACTCAGTAAGTTTATGTTTTCTTGATCTACGTACAATAAAATCCTGTGTTGGAACCTATTTCATTCTGTATACAAAGAGTTTCCTTAGAGCTAGCACTGGGTAATGCACCCTAAGAATTATAATGAAATACACAAAAATATGAAAAAGTAAACAAGAGTTGCCAACACCTTTGAATTAAGGTTATAATATTAATTTTCCTACTCTGGCATGTTTTAGGTGGTAAACAATATCAGCTGAAATCTTTAAGGAAAACTCAAGAAGAGCTTAGAGCAACCTTGACAGAACAGCTGAAGTGTTCAGATGAGGAGCTGTACCGCATGATCCAGGACTTTCAACGAGATCTGGCTCTTAAGGAAACAGAGCAAAGAAGGGTACTTAAGCTCGCTCTCTCTCTCTCTCTCTCAAGGAGAAAGTAAGACTACACTGGTCAATAAAATATTATAACTCAGGTTTTATCATATTCTTCCAAAAATTATGCTCTCCTTATTATATTAAGATGTGCCTGTTTCATTGTCTGCCTTCAGTGTGAAAATGATCTAGACCAACCGGAAGAGCCTCGTTTAACCTTTAATATTCTTGTTTTGAGGATCAATTTCGTACTTTTAAATGCAAATTGAAAGTAATATAAAAGCTTTATTTTATCTTCGTAAAAATAGACAATTTAAATATTTGTCAGAGATGTGAAGTGGAGTTTATATATTTTTTAAATAGTTATGTATATATCTGTTTCCATGATGGATAGATAAAAGTGATATTTAGCATAAATTGCATATTCATGGAAGATGTTAATCTTCAGAACATGAATATTGAGGGTAACTGTAGCTCTTTATTCACCAAACTTGTGCAGTACATCTCTTCATCACGTACTCTCAGCCCGTTTACTACTGCATCCATGTAAATTTTAAAACAACCATGGAGACATTACACTTCCCTGAACACATTTGTATCAGCAGTATCTGTACTATATCAACACATTAGTTTTCACTTTCCCCCAAAAATATACCTGACCTTAGTTTTTGGCACTTGGGGTAAAAAAATATTTTGTTTTAAATTTCATACAAAGGTGCTACTTTACTTGCTGATTAAGGATCTGGTTTCACAATTAAAAAAAATCGATTAATTAAAAGATATTTAAAAGGTTAATTACACTATGCCTGTAAGTTTTAAATCACCTAAAAAATATAGACTAATCTTCATCCAGTTTACCTCTTCCCAACAATCTATTAACACTTACTTTCCTTATAAAAACTGGACAACACTTGGCAGTCTATTTATCCCACACATTGATTTTCTGTCTGCTGAATCATATATTACATAAATCCATAATTGCCTGAAAAAAATGTCTTCCCTTCTCCAAAAACTTTTCATTTATATTCTTGAACTGAAAAGCTTGATCCGTGCATCGTCCTCTTTCTCTACACCCACATATCTCTTCCCATAATACAATGTCAGCTTTTACGCCATTCTCAATAATAACACTTCTATATAATCAACACTTATTGCTTTATCATTACTACTTTGGAAATAAATATTTATATACCGGTACAGGTGTAACTGAATCTACACTTTTTGCTGTCATTACTTTTTGGAAAACAATATTTACATATACAGCACTGTAATTATAAATTCTCTTTAAAGGTATACTGTATACTAAATTTACTTCTACATCAAATGGTCATTAATTATATAACATTTTTGTATTGAATATTACAGAATTATTTGATTTTTTGTAAAATTAATCGCACAGGTGGAGTCTAGCTTGAGTGGCCTGGAGAGAGAGGTGCAGAAAAATCAGATGGATGTTGCAAGGACTGTGAGGCAGCAAGGAGAGTTGGAAGCTGCTCATAACAGACACAAGAATTATGTTCAGAGAAGGGATGCCCAGATGATTGGTTTAGTTGAAGAATTTACTTTCTCAGGTATTTCTTATTTGCCATGTTATATATATTCAAGGTATTTCTGGAATATACATAATTAACCTAAGTTAAATTTTTTTTAGAAATATCGGTAATATGTGTATGTGCATCTGTGTGTGCATGCTTGCATGCTGGGAACACGATGGCTGCATATAAACACCAACAGTGATATGACAATTTTCATAATTTGTTATTAAATATTTCACTCTGAACTTCATGGGTGACCATTAAGTGCCTAGAGTGTTTAATCAGTTGATTTGTACTGTCGTACCCTAATTTACGAGGATATGATTTACGAAAATTTGCAGTTACAAAAAAAAAATTTTTTTCCAAGCTTTGATTTATGAATGAAAACACTGATTTAAAACTAATTTATAATATACTGCAGTATAGTCATGCACATTATCAGGGAGGGGGGAGCCAGGCACCTATCTTGGTGATGGTACTGCTTCCTGAACAATAGTAGAGGACATCATTGGAGTTTTAGATGAGAATCAGTCTATCATTTGATGTTACACCATTAATAACAATAGAAGATAAACTGGATGTCTTACTCTTAAAGTTGTCAGAGAGGTACAGGTATTCTATTTTTCCAGAGTTCCTCGGAGTTCAGAATTTCAAGGATGAACAAGCAGACTCTGTGTTGAACCAGCTGTTGAAGGTTATTGAGGATGAGAGGGCAAGTATTATGGTTAAGAAACAGGAATTTGAAAAAGAAGAAGTCAGAACCCAGAGAGAGATTGATGGTCTACGGTAGGTATTAATACTGTACGGTATGTCCTGATTTTAAGCGGCAACTTTTCTCTACATCCTTCAATATAACCCTCAGGTACTAATGCTGGAGGGGTATTGTTGTTACCTAAACTGTCTATATGTCCTTTCATCAACTCTCAGTCTATTAGATTTAGGTTTCATAGGTGAAGAAAAATAATCCCAAAACTAGAGAACTTCATTTTGGCTAAATTAATACAAATGTCTTGATCATTACATCAGTCTTTCAAAGGTAAAAGAGAGAGGAGTATTTTCAATTTGTACAAAATATGATTTATAGAGTACACCCAACCTTTATTTTTACATTGGTTATGGGTCTAAAGGTTCTAAATATGGACATTGATTCTCACAAGGGGGGGGGGGGGTGTATAAGAAACATCAAAGAGAAAGAAATACAGAATTATTAATCCTTTTTGAAGACACCTAACCCAATCAACCCAGCATATCCCACCCTAAACCAACCCAACTGTATCCTACACACAGCCACTTTACACCCATCCTTCTCTGTACAGGTATACCTCGCTATACATCAGATGTGCGTTCTTGTAAAGTGCAATGTTAAGTGAACAATGAAGTGTACAGTATAGTGAATACAAGTGATACTGCATGAGACTCCTTCATTGATTTCCTTACTCTATTTCTTTCTCTAATTGTTGCAGATCAAAAGAAGCTGCATTGGACCATGATATTAAAAACAAAGGGAAGCAGTTGGAAGAAACAGCCAAGCAACTCAGACAAGTGAAGCACACACTAAAGCGTAATGAAAGTGAACTGTCTGCTGCTAATTTGGATGACATCAAAGCTGAGTTGACACAGGTTGAGGAAATGATCTCAGCTGAAGAAAGCAAGCTTGATGTTAAGAAGGTGAAGTTTACTTTTACACCTGATGCCTTTTCAGAATGACTTATGTAGAGGGTAGGCACTTCCAATGTCGGACTAATTTGTGTAAGCCCTGTCAGCTGTTTCCATCCATATTTTGTATGGTAGTTAATATTGTAGAATAGAGTAAAGCCCCAATAACTCAGTACATACGGGGCTGAGGCCACGCTGACTATTTCAATTTGCCAACTTACAGGTAGAGCCTTATATATGTACTGTATATATAAGAGTTGTATTAGGTGCTTACCAACAGCAGGGGTTGATTTCTTGATGAACACCAACAGCCGTGGTGTGATCTCTTGACGGACTTGTTTGAGGCAGATGAACTGTACTGTACAGTACTATACTGTATTTTGTGCAACACTTCATAGACAGTGTACAGTACAGTAAATTGTTGTGACGAAGTTTACACTACTGTATGTACTGTGCACACTATACATAACAGTAACACTTCACAAACATAGGACTTCACTATATACAACAGTTAACACTGTACAGAAACAATTCACTGACACTTAATGTCAGAAGACATGAAATGTTCAGGCAACTCAAGTGCCACTGATTTTTAAGTGCAAAACTGCTCTTTGACTAAAATGAAAGGAGGACCACAGCTAAGGCTTTCAGCTGCTTGTCTTTCCTCTTGGTAGAGGCCTTCTTAGAGGATGTTGCAGAGGGAGACATAATTAGTAAATCCATGAAACGGGTGAGATAATAGCTGTGTAGGTTACCTCGGACGAGTGTAGATCTACCAGTGACGAGAGGTGAGTATATAAAATATTTCCTCCATATCAGGTGAATGTTAAATTTTATTTATTAAATGCTCATATTTCCTTGCATAAAAAAAGGCTGTTAAACTTGCTTTGTTATTTAATAAGAAAAATAAAAAATAAAGATTTGCTCTTGGTTGTGTTTGCTAGCCAGCTGTGAACAGCTGTTTTGTTACTGCCCGCCACCAATGTTTGGCGTTTCAAATTTTTTTAACGTATTTATTTTTCACCTTTGCTTCCTCTGATGAATTTGTAACATTTCAACATTATGTATAGAAATTTTAGATTCCTGGTTAAATTACAAAAAGAAAGAAAGAAAATTTGCAAGAAAACATCAGTAATGTTGGATGGAAAATTATGTTAAGCTTAATATTTTTATTTCAGGTTGTAGAGGATATTGATGGTGGAAAGAAAACAAGACGTGAAATAGAACATAAACTTGATGACATCAAACGTGTCGTGGCAAAGATGAACCGTCAGGCTGAAGCTCGTTCTCAGTATGACATCCATGTGAAGGAGAAAAAAGAACTAGAAAATAAAATAGAATATTTGTAAGTATATATCACTAGTGATGTTTGCAAGCAAAGCTCCACTTGTGTAAGGGACTGGGTGAATTATTCTTGGTTTAAAAGTATTTATAAGTATTTGTAGATGAAGAAGTGGAATTATGGTAACAAAAAGTAAGGTGGTCACATTTGAAACAATAGTTGAAGCATTAGGTGTGGATCATTGATCATGATGAGCTGGAATAAATGTGTACATGTCATAGGAGAATAAAGACTGATTACCAATATAAATAAGATTTTGTGAAGCATATATAAATTGGTGGCACTATTAGAATATTAAAAGTAAAGATAAAATCTTTGGGGATGGTACAGAGTTTCTGTAAGAGAGAGGGACCTGATTAAGCCTGCTTGGTTTAGACATAAGTTGTAGATTGTTGTTCTCTGTCCCTCCGTTCATGAATATTGTTTCTGCACCCAAAATTAATGGAGTGATTCAGTGACTGGGTAGGAAAAAAGAAAAAAGTAAATTTCATAATATTGGTGACGTAAAGACTCGGGTATCCCTAGCAAGTCACCCAGCATTATGAGAGCCATCTTGTTTTGAAATCCACTATAAAGGGATGTCATGATTGATCTCCTATTTTTGCAGAAAACGCAAACATACTGATGAATTGGAGCACCTTCTTGGAGAGGTTCCTGATGAAAACATAAAAAATAAAGTTGATGCATGCACAACTAACTTGGTAAGTTCACTGCTGTTGTAAGTCTTATATTTTTGTTTAAACAAGTACAGGTAAACCATTATTTGTGATGGAGTTAGGATCCTGAAAACCCAATCTTAAATCAAAATATCGTAAATCAGGTTCATTATAACATGAGGCTCAATGGGATAGGTTCCTGGCCAGTTGGACACCCATATGTATCACAAAAGAAAAAAATCCTAGAATACTACTCTCTCTCCACAACACATACAACACTCACCACGTCATAATAACAAGTCTGGTCATCGTCACATGTCCCCTTCGAGGCTAAGGGACTCTAAGATGGAGTGGAGACATCAACCTGAGTCCCACTCAGACTTTGGGGAATCTGAAGAGTGAGGACTGGAGGTGTAGCCCTTGTCTTGGCCTTGAAGATGGTGAGCAAAATACTTGCCAGACACTTTAATAATTACACTGATCACTTCACTGTTACAAAAACAGGGAAAGCACTTCACAGACAGCAAAAGCATCTCACTAAAGGAGAGAAAATACCCAGTAGTCACTAAAACTGAGACCAGTACATGTACTGTACCTATACAGTATAGTACAGTACACTGTGAAACTTTGTAATTGCCTGTATCTGTAAAAGGAATAAAAACACTGATAACATCAAAACAGCGATACCGGTTGTTGCTGCTCATCTCACATTCACAGCAAGAGCCAAAGCACTTTTCGGTTACAAAAATACAGAGCAAATATCACTTCATAGTCACTAAACCTGAGTACAATATGAACTTTAGTGATGTCCTTTCACTGTAAGGCAAACTAAGAGTTTATGCTAAAAAAGGAGAAAAAAGATGATAAAAATTAAGCTTCATTTCAGCACATGATTTTCTGTTGGGAGGTGTGGCTGCAATAATAATACAAAATTAAATAAGGAAAACTACTTGTGAGTGTTTTGAATACAAGTGCACAAAAAAAATTGAGTGTGGCTTGGTATTTGCATCTTAATGTGGATGAAATGTGTGTGGCGTGAGTTGGCGTCGAGGAACAAAGAAGGTTTGAGTCCCTATACAACTTTACAGTAAAATACCTATTAATATAATTCCATTTGTCACATAAATACTCAAAACCCTTAATACTGAATTCTCGAATAACAAGGGTTAAGTGCAGTCAGTGTTACTATGAATGCATTAATTTACAGATATAGCAAGTAGACAAAAGATTATCTCGTTGCTCAAGGAAGGGTGTCAGGAAATAAGATTATATACACACAAACACACTCCCCCTTCCTTTGTAGTCTTACTGCTGTAATATATATATATATATATATATATATATATATATATATATATATATATATATATATATATATATATATATATATATATATATATATATATATATATATATATATATATATATATATATATATCTTGATAAAATCACACGGGAAAAGGGAAACAACGGAGCACCTTAGCTTTCGTCTTTGTTCAATATTTTCTGCTATAGTACTTCCGTTCTGAAACAAGGTTCTAAAGCTGATTTTCCCCTGTCTTTTTCACACAAGTCAATATCATCTATCAGCACTCTGTTCTTTTCCCAAAATCACTCGATGCCACACACACACTGCTCGTGCATTCATGCACCTGCCCTTGAGTCTCTCTTCCAAATTCCTGTGCATCTTTACCTCATCCTTTCATCTCAGTTTTGGTCTTCTCCTTTCTCTCAGCATTCACCTTTGAATTTTACCGGATTTTCACATTCCATTCTCAATAATTTACCACATATTACTCTCATGCAGATAAGTTCTATCACTCTTAACGTACTACTTGCAACCAGAAACTACTTCATTCCTGTATAGTAATGTCTGTTCAACAGTTTGTCATTATATCCCCATTTGCATTACAGAAGGACCACATAGCAGGCCTGCGGAGAGATATTGAGAGAATAAACAGGAGGAAGACACAGCTGGATACAAGCATCAAGGGTCATAAGCAGCAGATAGAAAGAAAAGAAAATGAAATTAAAGGTCAGATAATATAGGAGACCAATTGGGTCAAGTGGTGCTTGAGTCTGAATGAATGAAGGGAGGTTAGGTTAGTTTAAGTTAGTGAACTATGAACTAAGCAAATTTCAAAAGTTATCACTTTAAAAAATGGCAAATTTTCTGGAATTTCCAGTTTCCTGGACAAATAGTTTGTACACCTTTGGGGCTGACCATTTGGCATGCATGAATAATATGAACTATAGAGTGACTTATAACATACATGCAATGAACCTTAGGACCATAAGCCAAAAATATCACGCAGTGAGAAACAAAAAGGTGTTGAAAATGCTGCTTCGGTAGACATTTACAAGTAGGAAAGTAGAAGAAAGGAAATAGTAAAAGATGGAATAGCACAATTAGGAGACAGTAGACTGAATAAGTAAAAACTGTAAGTCTGAAGTAGGGTAGCACTGCCCAGTGGTGGTGTAGTGTAAATTTAATCATAGAACAGACTCAGCAGAGTACCAACAATGGTCGACCTAGCACTCCTTTGCCATGACAGGCCAAGTTAAATTGGGTTTCCTTTTTAAACTAGATTTGCTTAAAATTTGACCACTACTGTATATGACTGAGGTTGGACTACAAATGTACTTTACAGTGAACCCTCACTTTACGCGGTCAATTGAACCCACGGCGTAAAGTGAACAACATAACATATGGGATTAATTGAAATAGAGACTGGGCCGACCCCCAAACTCCACTTTTTCAGACACAATACCTACGTTGTAGTAAAAATAACTTCTTAATTTTATGATGGTATGCACACACAATTAATAATTAAGAGAAATATCAATAATATTAGGTTTTTTAACACTTTCATTAGTAGAAAAGATGGCTGGGCACACGGGGATGGGGGGTTGGTTCCGAGGCAGAGGGCAGGTTATTGGCCCTCACCTGTATCACTTGTATCAATTGTATCACTATCTACCACAGAGGCTTGCAGGGCCTCTTTGTCAAACCCCTCAAAGTCCATATAAGTCCATATCCTCACTATCATTATCACTATCACTGACTTGGGCCGGCTGTGGTGGGTGGCGGGTGAAGAACTCGGCAATGTTTTGATGACTGGGCGACCTTGTGCGCACCCTGCTCGCGCCGCTCTCCGCGTAAAAGGGTACACACACACCGCGGAAAGTGAGCATTCCGTGTTCGGCAGGGTACCGCGTAAATGTGGAAACGCGCAAAGTGGGACTGCGTAAAGCGAGGGTTGACTGTATTATATTTTCTTAAATTCAATTAGATAAGATAAGATATATAACTTTATTTTTCTTTATATAGATTTGGAAACCAAAATTGACAACATCTGTCAAGGAAAAGACTTGGATAATGCCTTGGAGAAATCAAAGAAAGTAAAAGAGGAATTGTCTGTAAGTATACTTAATTTTTTATTAAAGGACAAAATAATAAACTTGTGAATAATATCATAACTTTTCATCATCTTGTGATGCTTATTATTATGAAAATTATTTAATAAAAGCTTAACACAGTATATTAACCCTTTTAAAATAACACATATGGATTTGAACCCCTTGTGGCATTAGCAAATTGAAATATTAAGAGTGGTGTTCCCGTAGTGAAGGGGTTAAGACAATGGAATTTAAAAACAAAAACAAAAAACAATGATAATTATGTACAGTTGTCTCCACATGAACATACCACGGCCTAGGTGTGTGTGTGTGTGGGGGCCACATTTACAAGATGTGGCAATGCAGCCCTGTAGTCCTGGGTGTGAAACTGTGGGTTAACCGGTTTGCTGGTTCCCCATAGTTCAATCCTTGTCACTCAGTCATGGCTGCACATCAATGCTGCATAACATGTATTACAGGATTTGTTTATCTAATCTCCTTTATTATTTGTATCTTATTGCAATGAGGGAAGTTTATAAAAGGATCCAGTTCCTGAAAAATCTTTTATTAATCAAGAAAAGAAATACAGTACAGGTATATAATTAAAATGCTTCTTTATTAATTAATATTGTTTTCTATGATATAATTTAATTCCATTATCACAGCATATAGTGATTATCTTCTGTTTATAATATAATGCTTATCTTGTTTCATTCAACTTTAATATTTTGAAAGGATTAATTATTTAGATGTAACATTTGTTTTGAATATTCAATGACTAGTTATATACTTTACTCAGTTCATAAAACAGAGTATTTTATGGCATTACTTTTTCAACTGTCGTATATATTTGACACTGGCACTTTGGTGTAGGTTAGAATTTAGCTCAGTGTCTGTGAATTATTCTGTACTGTTTCTGCAATTAAATTTTTATAGTATTCAAAAGAGTTGTTAGTTGTAAGAATTATTATTTTTTTTTTAGGATGTAAAAATATTGTGTTGTTATACATATTTTTCAGCTGTTATCACAAATGTTTATTGTTAAGGTTATATTATGTGATTCCTGTATTGAATATTTTGACAAGTAAATTTAAAATATATTACTTTTCAGAATGAAAGAGGGGACTTATCAAGCTCCATTACTGTGCTGAATCGCTTCACTGAGAGGCTAAAGCAGCGAGACTGTTGCCCTCTTTGTCACAGAGATTTTTCAACTAAGGATGAAGTTAATCAACTTATTGAGGAGGCAAGTTATATTCTTGTATTGCAGTGCTACAGTATGAGGTCCAGAACATTGTACAGTATGTTAACCTTTGTTTAACTCTTTTATTCATCTTTTCTGTCATAGTAATAACTGTTGAATGACTCAGAAGGTAAATAATGATCCTAGAATCTGTTGGTCATCCATTATAGCTCTCTGGCATTCTACTAGGTGGTACTGCTGGCTTTGTCATCAGAAACACAATGAGAAACACAAGGCAAGTTGCATCATATACAGTACTTTGGGCAAGACTTTAATATATACTGTATACAATAGTGTGCCTTTTGCAAATTTGTATCAAGGTACAGTAATTGATACTCAACTCCTTGCAGTTATCACCAGTAATACAACAATTGCACATTTATAATTTCCCTTAATTTCCAATTTACCTTTTTACCTTTACCTGAGCTTTTCTTAGGATGTGCATATTAGTTATGTTATTTTTAATCAGCTAATTTTATTAAAGAATTTCTAAAATGAACTCTGCCAAAACTTAGCTTGCCCAGTTATATATTGGGTATAGATTTAGGTTAAACACGTAAACCATTAAAATAGCCTATCAACTAAAAGAATACAATTCTCTCGATTATAAATGTTTTTTGTACAAATGTAAAAGTGTAAATATTAGTTACTATTACCTGCCAAAGGTGGAGAAGGGTTGGCAAAAAGTGGCATGTGAATGTTAAGGTGGCAGGGGTATGTGGAGAAAATGGATGAAGATGTTTATGAGTGAAGTAGAAGAATGGAGGGGAAGAGGAAGCCTTAAACAGTGGTGGGCACAGCTAAACGAAAAGTTAGCTTCGCTAACCGCTAATCTGCTAACTAAAAAGTTAACTTCGCTAACGCTAAACAGCTAAAAAATTAGCGGAAGCTAACGCTAACTTTTATTATATGAATTTAGCTTTGTTTTTTTTTGGGGGGGGGGGCTCTAAAACCCTTAAAAACAGACCTAGAGCTGAAATTTTCATATGTTGTCTTGTAGCTTAGACATAGAGCTTTCCAAAAAGGTACAGCATGCCAAGATCAGATGATGATCAAGGTGTACACAAATAATTAAATGAACAAATGAAATTAAACATTAGTTTACATTCAAATTTCAACATACATTTTATAATCTTTATTTACTGTACGAAAAGACAGAAAGTATTAAACGAATCCAAAAACTATAGTACTGTATAGCATAGGTAGCAAATAGCATCATGCCAAGATCAGATGATGATCAACTTATCAAGGTGTACACTGTACACAATTTCACAAATAATTAATTTGCATTCTCATACAACCTATCAGCCTTATTCATTATTCATGTAAATATGCAATACCAACCACATACACATTATACCAGTGCATTTTTATATAACTTATTGTTGGTCTTAGTCATGTAAATAAACAGAAAACTCTAAACTTTGATGAAAAGTAAGTTTTTAGAAAATTATGTCTTGTCACGTTTACACGTACTAACACGCAGTCAGCCAAGCCTGCTTGACTGGCTGTTGGAGACACGCGCCGCGGCGTCACACGCTTACAACAGACAGGAACAAACATGTATAAATTTTGTTAGCGGACTTAAAGTTAGTGGAACTAAATTTAGCGGAAGCTAATTGGTCCGCTAATGGTTTCCAAAGTTAGCGAAAAACTAATCCGCTAACGAGAAAGTTAGCTTCGCTAATTAGCGGATTAACGGAACCGTGCCCACCACTGGGCCCTTAAATTAAACTGAAAGGCTAGAATTAGGAATTTTAGGATTGAGAGAAGCAGTGTACAGTACTGTACGAGGCTGAACAAGTTGACCATATGGGTCAGAGACAAAAAGGGCCATAACTCCCCAAAGATGTGATATGAAAATATTCATGATAGAACCTGGAGACACATTGATGTACCAGAGAGATAATCCTCAGTCAGTTGTGAATAAGTTACCCTTTATGTATAAAACTAAACAAATAATGTAATTGAAATACTGTGTAACATTCAGTGCCACAATATCCTGATCACGGGGGTTAATTATTATGACCCTTTGTAAACCTTACTCTGTAATCCTTTTGTGCTACCGCTCACAGGATAAGTATGGGGTGCACAATAAACTAGCCACTGTAAGCGGCAAAAAAAAATCAAAGATAGATTGGTAGTGTATTTGTCTTATTTTCTGTGATTTTTGTTCATCTATTTCTGTTTCTTCTACTGGATGTTTGGGGGGATTTAGCGATCCACTTATTAGTGTGTCCAGCCAAGTTTTGTGAAAGTAGAAGGATGAACTTTAGTGGGTACGCTGCTGTTACATTATAAATTTGGGCCAAATTTAGTGTATCAATCAAGTTTTTAGTTTTACTTCATTAAATGCAGAAAAGTTATAATTCATGAACTCAGAGAAAAGAAACTGACGAGAGTAATTGATAGACTGCAGCTTGGAGAGCTGCCATCAAGTAATCACGGCTCACAATGCAAGTATAGAAAGTGGCTGTAAAACAATGATGATGATGATGCTTCAGAGTGATTTGCTTTATTCCAAATCTTTAATGTTTTTTCTTTCCTTCTAGCTTCTGTTCATTATACTGTATTGGATAATTGTTAATTTTCACAATATCAAATTATTTTATTTTAATTGTTGTACAGTTACTGTACAGTTACTCTACTTTGTACATGAAATAATCCTTACATTTTTATCTTTTAGTTGGATGAAAAGGTGAGCAGTGTTCCAGGGAAATTGAAGATGGTACAGGAGAAACTAATCAAAGAAGACAGGCAACATGATCAAATGATACAACTCAAGCCTCAGCGAGACCAAGCCAACCGTGTTCGTGCCGAGTTGGTGAAAATTCGGTATGTGATAATTGAAAACGAATAGACCCAATGTACACTTTTATATCGGGTGTATGATACAAAATTTTTTTTAGTTACCAGAGAATTTGTTTAAAATTTTCTTAAAACTGGTTCTTAAGAGTTTTCTGAAATAGGAATAAGGGTTTTTGATACAAGTCATATAAATTTATTTATATTTTTTCTTAATTAGAATTGTAAGGTTAACAAAAAGTTGCAGTAGTATATCAAAAGGTTCTCTGTAGATCTTTCTTCAATGTACAAGGATAAAGGGTTCATCCACTACATAACCACTCTAGTACCAGGGTGGCTACCTTTTTGTCCATAGTTAATTATAGAATTGCAGTTTCTGGCTCTTTCAAATGACAAAAGTGACTTGTGCACACCTATAATTTTTAACAAATGAAAATGCTTTTGCAATATCCTTCAATACAGGTATTCCTCAAGGGAGTGTCCTTTGGGCAGCTTTACTCCTGTAACTCTAGGATCTTCACAACCATTATTTGTTGGACGATTTCATTAATTGAGGATCATTTTATAGAATAACTCGATTAATAAAAATTGGAAATTAGGTTTTCCATATATTGTATACGATGGTTTTTTAGTTCAGATTTTTTTTGCGAAAAGTCGCTGCCATATATATACACTAATATATATTACTTTACATTTACAGGAGTCAAATGGACGCTGAAGTTAGTGAATTGGAAAAGGTTGGTGTGGAATTAGAATCTAAAACAGAACTTATGGAGATTACTCAAGGTGATGAAGAGACTGCAAGAATGATCCAGCCTGATGTTTTTACCATTGAACAACACTTGAGGAAAGTCAAATACCTAAAGGATCAAATTGATGACCTTCAGGGAGCTTTAGGAAGCGCAGGTGTGTGTGAGACCACTTAAACTAATTATTATAATGTAAATAATATCATTTGAATATATAAATATAAAATGAAAACAGAAAATTAGTGAATTTTTATTGTAACTTGCATCAAACAAGCAGGGCACCTTGGCAGTCAGTTGAATGAAGTGAGGTTGTGTTACACTTGAGGAGCTTTACACGTTTCAACAAATTTTAGGGAACCATATTTCAATTGTGCCGGGGTTTAGCACAATTACTGAAATAGTTAATCAAATAGAATTAGGTTTGGCATCATTAGACAAATATGTAATAAAAAATATATTTCACATTTGCTTTCTATTGAAGACAACCCATCTGATTATGTAAAAGAAGACTATATGTGGTCCATTATTCTGAGATGGTGCAAATACTAATTACTTCTTTGCTTTAGAAAAGAAAAAGGCAGAATTGTGCAGTGCATCATTTTCATGAATCTCCCTTTTGCAGATGTCTAGTCTGAGTTTATTGTGAACTTACAGAGAGCAGTGTGGCACATACCATAGTAACAGACCACCACAAGTGACTGCTAGTGTACTGTATGTTATTTTCATCACTTGGGAACATGTGATGTATCTAGTATACATTCATATATACATTACAGCATTACAAGTAACATTTAAAAACTATATCTTATAATACTATAACACCACTGTTAGAGTTATGGTATGTTTGGACCTCAAGCTGGACCTATCAGAGTAATTTATGTTTATAAGCCAAACACTACTCCGTCCCAAGGAATTTGACCTGGAGATCTTTTGCGGTGTCTCCTCACATACAGTACTGTACTCGGATTGAATCTTAAATTAATATCATGATGGAGTTTACATTCATTTCTTACCACCACATGTTTTGATACTTTAAATTATATTTTCATTTGTTTGTAGATGGTGGAATGAGCATGGAAGAGGCCATGGGCTGCCAAAGTGAGTTGGAAGAGGAACTGCGCAAGTGTCAGTCAAAGGTAGAGGGATTACAGGAGCATCTCCAAGAACACAAGGAACGACTACAGAGCCTAAAAGATCGTAAATTGAGACTATCTACGAAAGAACTAAATGTAAGTTAGCTTTGCACTTATTCGCCTTCCATTTCTTTTAAATGTAAGGAATATCAAACTATTGCTAATGTTAAGGTTAAGTCATTGAGGAGATTTCTGCCATGTGGTCCTTTTCTGTGGGGTCAATGGAGTGGGATGATTTGGTAAATTGCCAGTACAGTACTTCAGATTAAATTAACAGTGGATAAAGGTGGTTTCTTTTTAGATTGTGGAAGGTTAAATTATAAAAATAACAAGATTCTCATTAACAGTGTGTGTGTGTTTTCTGAAATATTTACATTGCTTTTCTTTCCACATGTTCACTGACAATCCTATTTTCATCTGAGGTCATTTTGACAGTTGAGGTTTGTGGTATGAATGCTGTAATTATATTGATGGACTCTTTTAGAAAAAATTTTCTTTAAATGTGAGCAGTCCAGTAGGATACTCACCCCAACTCACATTTAAAAAAAAAATGGTAATATGACTAGTGGGAAAACAGCTATCCACCAATAACACAGTATTTCATTAGGGCATACCAGGTACTGTACGTCCTCTGGTGCACTGCTTGGTGACTGAAGGGGTAAAATACCTTTGGAATGACCAGTTGATTTCCTTCATTGAATTTTTCTTCTTCTCACTGTTACAAGACTTTTCTGTGTCACAGGCTGATCACATTTGAGAGTTATAGAGGCAGTCCTTTATTCACTGTAAATAATACTTTCTGTGTTGTCTGTATGATGTGTGAGGAATTTTCACTTAATCTTTTGAGTTATTGCACTTAACTCACTTGACAATGTTTCCTATCTACAGCTGAGGACTAAACTGCAAGAAACAGAGAAATTAAAAGAGGACATATCAAGGTTAGATCAGGATCGCACGCGTCTTGAAGAAGAGCGGGAACAAGCGCAGGTAGAGGTTGCCCCATATAAGTATCAGATTAAGAGTAAAACAGAAGAGAAAACCAAAATCATTAAAGAAAAGGAATCCTGGATTGAGAAAGGCAACCTGAAGGCAAGTAACACTCCAAGTACAGTATTATTGTTTATTTTAAAAGAATCTCTCTCTCTCTTCACAACTGCTAATTTTAGAATCCCCTTTGTCAATGTTATCAAGTTCCTAGCTTTCATAACTGTACTGTCATGGTGTTCCTTCTATTATAATTTCTACTATCAGTTTTTTGGATGATGACATCTACCAGGTGACTCTTAAATTGCATCTGAAAATCCTGGTCATAAACTTGGTTAAATCTTGAGGCATGATGGACCAGGCCTCATTCATGAAGACTCTTTGGGCTGTGGAAGTGAATCTCATTGCATGTTTATTAAAGTGCCTGGAAGATTACTGGCTCTGCTGCCCCTATAGAGTGAAATGTGTAAATGAGATATAAAACAGAAAGAATAATCATAATACTTTATGAAGTGGAGAAGAATGGAACTAATTTTGAGAGACTTGATTTATGGGAAATAACCAGTGTAATAATAAAGGGAACATAAAGAATGCATTGTATGGTTAAAGTGAAAATTCATTGATAAAAGGAACCTAAATTAATAATGACCTTAATATGCATGACTATAGATAGATGTGAATTCTGTCAATTAATAACCCTGAAACGGCTGCCAACATCAACATTAGCTGTAGGGACAGTGGCCAACAGCATTGTATGTTTCATGTTCCTCGCATTCCAATTTGTGCACATATGGGGTGGATTAGAGGATACTTACCTGCCATTTAAGGGTTAAAACTGAATTAAAGGTTTGCTGTATCATTTTGATTTCGATCTTTAATTATGCCTTTAATATCTTTCTTGCAGGTAAATGCAATGTGGGAGAAACATAGATCTGTCAATGAACTACAAAAGAATATAGTGTTCTATGTGAGAGGAGGAGAAGAAGAACGCTTGAAGGAAAGACGTCAACAAGTTGCTTCTCTTCAAGAAAAAGCAGCAGCTTTAGAATTAGACAAGAAGTCCCTTGAAGAACAAAATCGAAAGATTCAGAAAGAAATATCTAATCAGAAGGTTAGTGGTATTAACAATGATCATATAATTGTGTGTGTGCATATAGATGGTAACATTTACTCCTTTTTCTGCTACGGTATTATGCAGGAAGCCTTGTCAGGTGCTGCTCCACTGATTCTTAGCATTTATTCCAGTACTTGAAGCCTAAATTCCATAAATCATTGGATCAGAAGAGATTTCAAAACATTAAGTTTACCTGTTTACATAAAATCTCCATTGATTGTGAGCTTTTGATGTTTATTTTTACTTAGGCAAGAAAAATTATTATTATTGTTTTTAATAATATTATTTATTGGTTTTTATACTATTATGTATTTTAAATCTAAGGAAAGAAAACGAAGTCTTGATGATGAGAAAAAAATCCGTGACAAAGAAGCTGAAGCAAAGTTACTAGAGCAAAATATCAAGGGTCTTGAAGACAGTATCCAAGGTTTGGATTATGAAAGCATCGTCAGTGAAAAGTATCATCTGAATGAAGATTGGCATAAGATGCAAACCAAAGTAAGTGTTGTTAAAAACCACTTTCTTTGTGTGGATTTTAATATATTCTACCATCTTGATACCTCTCAAATGCTGGACAAAGGGCTCTCATCTGTTTGTGGTAGCCATTATTTAAGGGTTAATTGAGGATGCAATGCTTTAAACTTTAACCCTTGAACTGCAATGTCCCTCTTCTGAGTCTTAGCATGTGACTACAATGTTCCTCATATGAGAATGGCTATTTTTAGCATTCATATAGTGCATCACATGTTCCAGTAGACCTCCTCATGCTATCCACACCTTTCTGGGGTTCTTAGAAGCCTTTATGAAGACACACCTCTGTGATAGTCTGCCCCCCCTCCCCCAGCACCTCCTTTCCCCCTAGTAACTCAGCCCCTACTTACTCAGTTAAACATTCTGCCACAGCCAAACTGATGTTTATAAATTATTTATAATTATTTTTTTTTATTCTTCTGCATGCTGTTCAATTTTATAAGATTATAACATGTTTAACAAATACACATACCCTGTATTTAAGTTTTATTACATTTTATTTGTTTATTTAATTTTGTATTTGTTTATTTATTGTGTAGACAGGTTTTCCTGTTTTCATAATTGAAGGGTTATTGAAGGATTAACTGTTATTAAACTTTAATGAGGGAGGAAGTGATGGGAGAGCATGGTGTTGGTGCCAAGTGGTTGGTGGGAGTGCAGGGACAGTTCATGAAGATTGGCTCTTTGCTTGGCTCTTAGTTCCAGCCATCTTGTTATATAGTAGGATGGCCATATAAGAGGGAAAAACAGAAAATGATGGGATGAATGTGAGTTTTTAGTAAGGGAGGTCACTTATCCAAGAGGGAGAGAGCCTAGTTTTCCTCACAGTTTTTGGTCTACTTCTATATGCCATGTACAGTATTTTATTATCTTTGTTACATTTATTTTTCACATTAAAATGAAACTAAAAAATGTAATTTAATACTTTTAAATATTTTTAATTCTAGAGAGCAGCACTAGAAGGGCGCCTGGAGGAAATTGCAAAAAATATTAGACTTTTAGAAAATGACCTTGGACGAAAAGAGATCCGAGATGCAGAGAAAAATTACAAGGTGAAATATGTGGAAATGAAGGTAAGTTGAGGATATTATATAATGGGTGGAAAAGTCCACAACAGCCGATTGTGAAGTGTCAGTCAAATATTTAATAGACCAGAATGTAAACAGCAGTTGACTTTACTCCTTCAAAAATCAAAGTTTTCAACCCTTGATACTTAATTTCCCTTTCATAGAGTTTTTTAAGTCACATCTTTCATGTATCATCAGCCTGATGGTCTTGAGTCATCTACTCTAAACACAAGCAGCATCCTTTACTTCCGTGCTGGTACTGTATTTGATGGGGATTCTTATTTTTCATTTATTAACATTTGATCTATTTATTTTAGAATCAATATGGGGGCGATAATGTAATAATAATGATAATAATAATAATACTGTAATAAAGAAATGCAAAAATGAAAAAAATCAAGAGTGAGAAACAATACAGTATATGTATGTTGTGTTGTCATTAGTAAGAGAAATAATTGAGACCCTGCACTTGTGTGTAAATGAGGCAGAAAGTCATCAGCAACCTGGGACTTGGTCACAATTTTCGTGATGCCATATGTTCTTTGACTTTTCCATTTTTTATTCACGGTTTCTGTGCTGGTTCATATTTATTTACTAAAGTGGTTAATGTTTTAAAGCAAATGCTATTGAAATATGAATGACAAATGAACACAAATGAATAGAGGGACTTAAATAAGGTAGGTTAGGGATAGGTACTTTGAAAATGTATGTTTTACTTCTGTAGACTTTATTTACTATTAACCGACCTTTTGGATTATCCGTCGGCCCCTTCCCCCATCGGTTAATCGAGGTTTTACTGTAGTTATAAAGTTGTGAGAAATGAAGACTCATGAAGGTAATAAGTTAAACTGGAGTTGTAGAATGTGAGCGAAACAAGTTACAGTAAACTCTTTAATTTCTAGCACCTATTACGTACTTAATGTTTTTAATTAATACTGTCATCATTAAACTGGACAAATCCAAATCCCGGAGTACCGCTACTGACATCCACTGGACTTGTATAATGTTCAATTTGTTGTTAATATTTTGGTATTCATTTAATCAGTGTATAATTATATACTGATGAAACCCCAATCCATACTTCAAAGGGTTGCATAGTATTTCATGTATTAAAGTATTTTATAAAGTTTCTATAAATGTCTTGCACAGTTCTCCTTATTTTCAGCCTTCTCTAAAGTTGTTTTAAAATTTTCTGAATGATTTGTACAGCTGTTTCTTTGTACATATCTAGTATCAATAAATATTCAATACAGTAGCTACAATTAAAATTTCAAGTCCATAAAAGATAGTAGTACAGTACTGTTAAACTCTTTTCTTTGAGCATTTAATGATTGTCATGTGAACTTTTGGTAATTGAAAGGAAGGTGAGATACAAATAAATCATTTGTGTTTGTGTGGGAAGGCTCTCTTTATGCCTGATTGCCAACTTAATTCCAGTTTGGACGTTAAAAGATGAAGTGACTTTTTCTTTTTCCCTCAGTGCATGGACTTGGCAGCAGATGATCTAAATAAGTATTACAAGGCTCTAGACACTGCTATAATGCGCTTCCACTCTGATAAGATGAACTCAATCAATGGAATCATAAGGGAACTTTGGCGTACTACTTACAAAGGCAATGACATAGATTATATTGAAATAAAAACAACTGATGGAGTAGAATCCCAAGGTTAGTGGCCATATATTTTTATGCTACATAATTTGTATTTTTTTTTCATATCCTATGATTTTAATTCTATATATTAAATAATCATAATTTAATACATTAAACAGTGTTATTTTTTACAAAATAATTTTATTTAACCTCAGGTGCAGACAAGCGAAGAATATATAACTATCGAGTTGTGATGATAAAGAATGAAATAGAAATGGACATGAGAGGGAGGTGCTCTGCTGGTCAGAAGGTCTTAGCATCTCTTATTATCAGGTATGTGCTTAAATTTGTCAAAGAAGTAACTCTGTAACGTTGATGGATGGTCATAATTATTTTTCAGATGTAACACAGCGTCATATAATAATGAAACTTGATTGCATAAATTTTGGATAATTCATCTTCGCAGGTTCAAAGGTAATGTAGTGTACACAAAAGTCATGGGATGGATAGATGGCTAGCACTATAATGTAGTACAGTATATTTAGTTTAGGCAACAACATGAAAAGAGGATAAGGTACAGTTCTGGTCACCTCTCAGAATCTGATCAAGACATTAAATTTTCAGTTTAGCTAACAATAGTAAAATACAAATTTGTACCATTAAATACATTACAGTACAGTATTGCATTATTTCAGATTGGCTCTTGCGGAAACCTTCAGTTCTAACTGTGGCATTCTTGCTCTGGATGAACCAACTACCAACCTGGATCGTGAGAACGTTGTTGCTCTATCACTTGCCTTGCTGAAGTATGTTGCCTTAAGAGCTGTATTCACTTTGCAAAATCATTATATTTTGTATATCCTGTACAGCATGCCCTTCAAATCTGCAGATTTTTAATTCACAGATGACACCCTGGATGTACCCAAGAATGTCTAAAAGTAGTTTTAAAGTTGCTGGCATTTTCGCGGCCGAGACAGGGAGCCATTCGTTCTAGAGACAGTAATTTCCTTTACCTGTATTGTGTATATCTGAGTGTGTGTAGACACACACACACACACACACACACACATATGTAAAAACAGGTAAAGGAAATAATTGTCTTTAGGGCAAACACATAAACTTAATAAAGGGAATATACATTCCTTTGTACACAAGTAAAAATGTACCCCCCGTCAGCAAATGTTATTCTCAGATTTGGCAATTCGCGGGCATTTTGAGAACCAAACCCCCGCCAATTTGAAGGGCATGCTGTACTTTATATGCCTGTTGAGTATTGGAGCAAGTATGTGTAGATATTTACACTTTTTGTCTTAGTCCTTTCCCATACTTGCACCACTCTCATTATTTTCTCCACTTCTTGAGTTTCCTCCTACTCTTCGATCCGCCCCTCTTGAAAATTAATCAGAATTTAACTCTAGAAAGTTCTTATATCCAATATACCGGTACTGTACATTTAAAAAATTGTACATACAGGGTGCTCTCGTCGAAAGTATCCCTGATTTATAACAGTTTGGTTTATGAAAATTCGAAAATACTGTATAAGCTGGCATATATGGTGGCCCCAAATTTTCCATTTAAGTTTTAGGCTGTACTCGCCTTATAAGACGACTATAAAATATGAATCCTAGTCATATGGTGTAGGTTGACACCAAGGATAACTTAATGACAAATATCTATAGAAGAAAACTTCTTTCTTTATGTCAAGAATAAAACAATTTGGGTTGAGTAATAGAGACCATCTTTGTTTACCTGAGTGTCAGGATATGCAAGGAAGGTCCTGGGGATCCAGACCTGTCCTTTTCATCAGAAAATTCCAATACTTTTTCTTTAATGCCTTTTTGTAAAGTAAAAAGTAATTGCTATTGACCTCAGAATACCTCCTATATCAAGTGCACATGGCTTCAAAATAGCCTTACATTGCTTGCCATGTTCCCCTACCCACAACTTGGTAGACCCCCCATTTTGATATTCCTGGATCTGCCCTTGATATGTTAATGTAGAGAGTTGTCTTCTCAGTCCAACCACCCACCCACCTCTCCCACACACAATTCACTTCCCATGCTTAATTTTTCTTATTTTATAGTTTTATATTACAGTGGTCCCTCGGTTAACGAACGATTCGATTAACGAAATTTCGGTTAACGAATTACCTCCCATAAGGATCTTCAATTTGGTTAACGAACAAAATTTTGATTAACGAAATCCTTACGACAAACAAGTTTTATTGTGAGCATCAGCTGATGGGCTAGTCTGCCAATTCAGTAATCTGTTCTATGTTTACATTCGTTTCCAGGGGAGTAAATATCAAGACAGTTGTGCTCTTTAGTATTTTTGCATTTTTTATATTAAAATTATTAGTCATTTCAAAATTTAGTTAACATATTGATAATATATGCACTACAGGGAACTAATTTTATGTGTGCCCATCAGCTGCTTGACTCACCCACCAGGCGTCAATTTGGCTTTGTTTATAGTGGAGTGAACATCGATTTTGTTGGTGTCTTGAATATTTTTGCATTTTTACATTAAAATTATTGCTCATTCTGAAATTTAGTTAACATATTGATAATATATAGTGCAGTGCAGTGTTGATTTAAATAAAATAATCTTGAATTACACCTAGTGAACTTGAAATTTTATTGGCGAAATTATTACATCAAGCATGGGTCCCCTGAAAGGTGATTTCTCCTCCATCCCCACTTCCTTCTCTTCTCCCTTCTCCTCCACCCCCACTTCTAATTCCCATCATCATCATCAACCCGGAACCTTCTACATACTCACCCCAAAGTAAGTGTACTTTCCTGCATTTTTTTTTTTTTTTTTTACTTTGTATATACTTTTCTGTGAGCTGGAACCAATTCCCCAATATCCCATTGAAACAATGGATTCGGTTAACCAAATTTTCGGTTAACGAACGACTGCGGAACGAATTGTGTTCGTTAACCGAGGGACCACTGTATTTATTATTTATTTCTAAATCACATTAGAGCAATTTAAGGTTTCTTATGTCCTTTTTTTCTGCATGCATATTCATTTTTAAAACGTGGGATTGGGATATAGCTTTTTACCTGGAAAAATATTAGGGAATGCCAGAAAAAGGCTCACTGGGCTCCCACCACCTTGAAGATGTAGTTGGATGAATCATACTGAAAACAGTACAAGAGATCCACTCTATGCTTCCCTACTGCAAAGCTAAATGAAAACAGCAAGAAGTGCTCAAGCAGACTTGAGGGTGCTGTTTGCCTATTTATGGTAACCCTTCCCTGAAAGACCAGTCACTCTTGAACATTTAGTGACAATAGATATAGTTTATCAGCAGCCTTTCAAAGTATGATTTCCAAATGTGATCTCTTCATATTATGTGCTAGGGCGTAGTCAGTCGATGGTAATGATTTCAAATTTGAGCATCTGTCTCTCTTTGTGGTAAACAACATACTTTATATCTCGGTTCACTCATGCTTACTGGCGTTTTAAATTCATTATTGACAGCCAGTGTCTTGCAGTACATCATCATTGTATTTGGGTTACCAAAGAAGTCTAGTTGAAGGTTCATTGGTCATTATCAGGTTTATTGCCGAACCTTTTCCTTTATCATCCAGTTACTGAATCCATTGGCATAAGTGTTAAGTAGTATGCTTTTAGTTTCAATCTTTGACACAGTGGCAATTATGTTGACAATCTATCCATCAAGTTTCTTCATTGCTGTTTTCTTGTTTAGTTGATATTTCCAAGTGATGTGTCTTCACTGACAGTTTGTTTATGTTGACATGCATCATTCCCTATGAGCATGAGAGTACCTGTACAGTATAACTAATCTAATCATGTTAATGCCCACGTTATCATACCCAAACATCTGATGCTGCTCACGTAACATTTTCAGGGAACTTTCTTCTTCTGGTAAACACAATAGGGTTATTAAAATATATTTCATTAGGATGTATCAGGATAGTAGAGGGTTGTCACAGGATATGTTTCCTGTTGCGCGTGTCTCGTTCATGTGATGTGGTAAATCCTTCAATGTATCGATCAAACATAACATATACAGGATGATCTCTCTTGCCAAATAGGCTAAATGGCACTGGAACCAGCTTGAAGATTCTGGTGAGCACTTCACCAGCATTCAACCATGCATCTTCTCTGTATTATATTCGTTATTTTGCTACTCACTCCTTATTTTTTTTTATTATTATTATTATTATTATTATTATTATTATTATTATTATTAATTATTATTATTATTATTATTTATTGGGCACTCCCCTACATCCATGTGTAAGGTGAAGCGCAGAAGCGTTTACAGCGCCCAACTGGGAAGTATGCTAAGTTCATGCTTGCCTTTATGTCTCATGAGTTAAGGGTGTAGAAGCCTGAAGAGTCAAGGGCGTAGAAGCCTGAAGAGTCAGTGGTTTATGTCATCAAGTTATTGGAAGCTCCAATAACTCTCTGAATACGAATTCGCAACTTTCGACTTGCAACAGGTACCTACTTTACTGCTAGGTGAACAGGGACTAATGGGGGCTAGGAAGTATGTCCAAACATCTTCCACCGGCCCGGGAATCGAACCCGTGACATCTCGCTTGCGAGGCAAGAACGGTACCACTCTACCACCGGTCTCCCCTTCTCACTCCTTTCTTCATCGTTTGCATTGCGAGTGTTTTTTTTCTGGATGGGTTCATAAAACCCACCAGGAAGCTTGCCTCTGAATTTGAAGCTATTTGCTGGCCAGGGGCAACGGCATCTTGTATTTGACTTGCTTGCCTGCAACACTACCATTTACATTGTTCATTAGCTTGTCATCTGTAGTTCTTAGATGATAATTATATTTCTGGAGTTTGTGGTGTATCTTTTTCTTGTCTTCTGTCCAGTTCTACTTTCCCTCTTATGTATGTTTAAGAGATGATGATTTCTTCATTTTGTTCTGCTTAAGGACAGAATATTGAATACATTGATAAAAAGACAAGTGCTGCACATTGTATATGATTGAAGCCATCTTACTACCTTGTACTGAGAGAGGGATACACCCACTAGACCACCTTTGGCCTTTCCATACCGTATGTCTACAAATACGGAAACATGATCACTACTACTGGACATGCTAACTGTGAATCTGTGATTCTATACCTTTTCTTGAGTCTTGATATGTAATGAGCTGATGTATAAGTGGAAACACATGATATATGACATTTTACACCTGTACATGGACCTTCTGAAAGTAGAGTACAGTATTTTATCCATTGCTTTGTGCAGATCATCGTGTCTTTTTTTGCTCGCTGATACAAAAAAAAAAATTCTGGACCTGCTACTGTTAAAGGTTTATTAGAAATGTCAAAGCTGAAAATAATATATGGTAGCAAAGGAAACCCAGGGTCAGAGAAAACTTTTCTCCCAAAATTTTGTCACCCATTCAATCAATCATATGTTGTTAATACTGCCACAGTGTGGGTCCAGGCTCTTCTCCCTGCCTTGTTATTAATGTTTGGTTTTAGTGTGTTGTATGCTGCTTCTATTTCTTTCCTTGTCTTTCTGTCCATGTTTTTGTGAAGTATTGTACACGAATCTTCCATCTTGGCAGATGTCCTTCATCTGTGTAGTTAATGAATGTGTTAGATATCCTGTGATGTCTGCCATCAGCCCCTTGGGGAATACCTGTATGGGACAGACAGGTATATTGATAGTTTTTCTATAGAATGTGCTAAGTGGAAATATATTCTTTAACTTGCATAAGCTTAAGACAAACAAACACTTGTGCTAGTAATACAGTTTGTATTGTATAATTGATAATATACATGCAAAAGGAAAACACAATATAGAATGAATACAGGGTACTCTCATTTTTAGTTGGGCTACCAAGCTTGTAATGTTGCTTCCATGAGCTTCCTTCAACAAGTTTACTGTGCTAGCAATAATGTTCCATGACACAAGTATTATACAGAATTACTAAAACTCAGTTATTAGCACTTATAAGTGTTTATTTACATGAACAAATCTTATGTAAACTTAGAATAAACTTTTACAAATATATTCATGCATTGATGTACTGTACAATTTTATGTACAGGTACAGTTAATTGTTTACACTTACACCACTTATTATTTATTTATTTTAGGTTATGAAACTCCCTAAAACATTCTCCAGCACACAGCTGGATGTCATATTGTTGGTGAGCTGTGGGGCTTATTTTGAGAGCTTACAATACTGAACAGGGTATGGCTTTACAGAGTTACAGGATTTAGGAAGTATTAAAACTTAAGGGTATGTAAATGATAGAAGTCGAACTGTCGCTTTTTGTGATCTTTTATTGTAGTAGCTACAGTATTTCTTTTTATTCTTTTTTTTATTTTGTAGTGTTTTGAGCGCGAGTGAATTTAAAAAACTGGTGCTTTTGAGAAACAAAAGACCAGCTATTATTATTATTATCTCCACTGTGAGAGGTTGACAGGCATGTGTCTTCCATGATGTAAAAAAAAGCACTGACAGAGGGGAAGGAGATACCCACTCAGGGCTACCCAGTTGATTACAGTACACCATCCTGAGTAAATTCAAGCCACTGAGAGTAAATCGTGAAGAAAAAACATAAAACGTCAGTGGACGTGGATTGTAGTGAAATGTGCATTATCAATAGATGAAATAGCAGTTTAAGGGTTAATATCTGGTTGATTTGTATTGAAAACACTGTAGTAATTTATAAATATATTAATACTGTAAATAAGTAATAAGTTGAGCTTAGAGGAAATATTAGGGTGTTTTAACTTACATAAGCTATTGCAACTACTGTATATGTACAGTCAACAAAGATATTTTTGTTCAACTAAGAATGCGATGCTCAGCATGTTACCTAGGTATGTTAATTCCTAGCTAACTCGCCAGGCCAACATACAAGCAATTAAAACATCAAATAATTACTTAAGTAATATTAGGACACGTCGCTACCTGGCATTTAATTGCAATTTTCAAAACCCCCTCCTTCACCCCCCATCATACGCATCACGACCTTCATCTCTTGCCTTAGAGCAAGCAGTAAACAAAAGTCAACTCTCGAAGGGTGGAGATGGGTGGGCTATCGGCGTCGCATTCTGAGCTATATCACAAAAACTGGTTTTTAGAAAAAAAAAACGGCTTTTTGTTCAACTCAGAATGCGACTCTCAGCATGAACACCCGAGCAAGAGGTGGAGAGGGAGGTGACTTTGCATACAAGACTCCGCTGACTTGGGTCCAGATTATGTTATAAACCGTTATGAATATTTCCAAAATTAGGAACATTTACCGGAAGGTAATATGTTAATTTACTCAAAAAGGATACTCACTTTATTCTGATGAGGAAGAAGGTCCTGGTTGTGGAGATTGACTAGGTGGGGGAGGGGAACCCAGCACCACCACATTTGAAGCATCTTTCAGATGAAGATAACTGTCCTTGAAAGTTTTTGAATATCTCCAAAAGCCCATTTCCTTTATCTGACTGAGACTCCTATGCTGCAGAAAGGCCACAGACCCTGCATATTTCCTAGTGTCATGTGCCAAAAATTTCTTGCCAGGGTCTGCTTGACTCACTAATTGAGATAAGGATTTTGTCATATGACTAGAAGTTAATTTCTTACCATCCCTTGAAGAGAAAATATAGGGGCCTCAATTAGGGAATCTGGTTAACCGTTCCTGAAGATTTTTAACTGGGCACAATACAGTATATGAGGAACTCTTGTTTCATCCATTAGACGTTTTATCCTAATAGGTTGAACTTGGAAATCTTCCCTTTCATTTTTTCTTAGGATCTCCGTAGGAAAAAGGGTAAGATCCTCATGAGAAAATACCAATAATGATGGATTATTGGAAATTGAAATCAGTTCACCGATTCTCATACCTGTTGCTATTGCTAGAAGGAAGGCTGCCTTCTGGAGTAATTTATCCCTGTTTAGATTTATATTGTAATTAGGCCCCATAAGAAGATTAGTAACTTTTTCCAGAGACCAAGGTGGGATTCTTTTGGGGCGAGGAGGTCTCTGAATGAAAAAGGACGATCTTAGCATTTGATAAATCCTTGGATTCAAAGTACTGTAATATTAAAACCCCAAGACAGGGTCAACCAATGCTGATTTATAAGATGCAATTGTCAATCCTTGAAGGCCTTTAACTCTGAACAGAAACATTGCCATGCACCGTGCTGAGTCTGGTCACGATTGGACATTGTCCTCAAATATCCAGGAAAAAGAAAAAAAAAGACTCATTATTGGGAATATCCAGTATTGAAGAGTTCATTATTGAGAGGAGTATAGAGAGCATTCCTGTAATTCATTACAAATGCTATACAATTTTATGTTTATCTGTAATGTTTGTCATTAATTTATCTTAGAAAAATTTTGTAAATATTATTCTGTTCTAATTCATAAAAAAAATATCCTCAGCATTGTTGAAAGACTTCATATTCGTCTCCGAAACTTCCAGCTGATTATCATCACGCACGACACTGATTTCTTAGAGAGAATGACTCATAATCAATACTTGGATAACTATTACTTGGTATCTAGAAATGAGAGGTGAGTGTTATGATTTTTTTCCCAATGGTATAGGTGTAAAAATATCAATAATTTTGTAATTTGGATGAAAGCCTGGTGTCAAATAGTTCTAGAGATAGTTGGGTAATTTTGTACTGTGCTACGTTGTTTGAAAAGTGTGTGCAAACCACACACCTTAAAACATCTACTTCACTGATTAATACTTTGCAAAATGAATGTTAGTCATTTTCCCCCAAGATCCAACTTATGATCACCCAAATATTTGATATTTGTCATTTTCCAATAAAATTAAATAAGACGAGAAATATTGGTAAATATATTTTGCAAAAAAAAAAAAAAAAAAATTCTAATTAAGTTAAGATGAAAATTATTCACCTAGCTGCAGCATAGCATTCATAAGATAAATGTGTAGCATAAGGGTATGATGTAGGACAGTGATCCCAACCTGTAGTTTGCGGATGACACCCACAGAACCATATACCGGTAATGGAGCCCGCAAGGGTTTAATGGAAGATTGTGAATTTTTTGGGATTCTTTGTTTGAGTGAAAATAATGAAAATATGTAATAACTTTATTTGACATTATACTGTAGTTAGAGAAAGAGAAACTGGCGATTGTCCAGAGTCTGTCGTGTATTTATCACAGAATGGCCCAGAGAAAGAGCCACTTTTACTAGTATTTCTTAGGTTATTTTGGGGGTGTTTAGGCAATAAAAAAAAATTAGATTTTTCCAGTCCAGGGGGGTACCATGTATGCATTATAATAATGTGACCTTTTATGGGTTAGGCACTATTATATCAGAAAACATTAATAATAACTGTAAATCCAGTGAAATATGGCAGGGAAGGAGGAGTTACAATAGCAGTGAATAACACGTGCAATGGTGGCAGGACACAGACCGAGCGGATGTAAACAAACCCCATACGCCAAGCAAAACGTGGCATGGAATTTAAAGGAATCACGCTGGATTTAGTTGCCTGGTTCAGCTAATCGTGGGAACATAATGGAAAGGTCAATTTAGCAGAAATTTTGATTTTACGAACTGGGGTAGCTTGAATTAGTACATTAAAGTGAGAAAATATTGTATTTACAAATATATTTTTGCAAATTATAAGCAACTCACTTGTATCTTAGAAGACCATTGTAATTGTTAGTTGAGTAAGTTGTTTGTAAACATAAGAACAGGTACTATTTCCTGAAAGTTAATAAAACTTTTGCTGTTTGCAGGGGCTTGTCAGAAATCTCTTCACATAACCCCAACACACTCTGATTGTGGTAGAAAAGAAGACTTCTTGCCAAGAATTAAAATATGTTGCAGTCTTGTGTAAGCACTTTTTACTTATGCAGAATTTTCTTTTTTTTATACAGTACTACACACTCAAGTTGATAAAATGAAGTGTGTGAGCTCTTTCATATCACTGCCTACACAGTTCTTGCATTACTAGCACTATTAATCCCCCCCTTCTTCTCCAAAGATTCTGTACCACTTCAATCATTCCACACTAAAGAACATCAGTTATATAACTACAAATGTCAGACTGACATTTGGGATGCATTTTGCATAAATTTTAATAGAATAGGTTAATGAGGTATATTATGCCTATCCCAACATTTTTTTTTTTTTTTTAATTTCAAGCTCATTACACAAAAAAAAATATATACTGTATATATATATAAAGGAAAACTGGCACATCTAAGTTCTGTATTTTGTACACAAGTAGCACCCAAATTTCAATTAACCTCAATATGTTTCTACAAAATTAATATCATGTATAACCCATTTAAGCACAGACATGACAAACTTTATTTTAAAATTTGCTTATGTACAGAGTTGATAGCATGAGACTATAGTGCGTTTTTTCCCCAGCTGATAAAATATGCTCCACCCCTTCCTCAAGAGTTACAGCCGATTGGCTGTTTCAAACCTGTCTGATTTCATCCTGAAGTAATAATCCATTTCTAATTGAGTTTATTCATAATTGTTGGGATGACCGTTTCTGACGAGAAAGATATTTCGCTAAATTATATAAAGATGCATACATTCATGATTTCAAACATATGTAGGAAATTTATCAGAAGTATTATACATAAATTAACTGTTAAACTCTGGTAGCAAATTCATGCTTTTGGAGAATGTGTTTAATGTATACTTATTTTTACCCCACAATAAGGCATACTAAGACAAATTACATATCACTAATACTACATAATGCAAAAACTAACATTTTGAAATATCAGAATCACATTGAAATATTTACACAGCTGTCAGAAGCTGTTCACAGTCATATTTCCCGCCTCTGCTGACAGCTGTGTAAATATTTCAATGTGATTCTGATATTTCAAAATGTTAGTTTTTGCATTATGTAGTATTAGTGATATGTAATTTGTCTTAGTATGCCTTATTGTGGGGTAAAAATAAGTATACATTAAACACATTCTCCAAAAGCATGAATTTGCTACCAGAGTTTAACAGTTAATTTATGTATAATACTTCTGATAAATTTCCTACATATGTTTGAAATCATGAATGTATGCATCTTTATATAATTTATCTAAATTCTTTCTCGTCAGAAACAGTCACCCCAACGATTAAAAATAAACTCGTTTAGAAATGGATCATTATTTCAGGATGAAATCCGACAGGTTTGAAACAGCCAATCGGCTGTAACTCTTGAGGAGGGGCATATTTTCTCAGCTGGGAAAAAACACACTATAGTTAGTTCTATTGTAATGTTGCACTTACATTTTTATATTATTCTGAAAAACACCGTTGCATAAGTAGGTAAGTAATGCTGTTATAAGTTTAGAAAAAATAAATGTTATAAGTAAGCATTATTTTTATATGATTATACTACATAACATTTGGCACTTTGGTTTGTGGCAGTGTCTAAAAACCTATTTAAAACCTAGATTATTTACAGTCACTCAGAGTACAGTTAAATATCTTTATCACCACTTTATGTTCAGCTTTGACAGACTAAAATGACATGTGAAACATCACCGCATTTGCAGCAAAAAGTTTGGATCTTAGCATATAAAGTAATGAATTAAAAACTGCCATAATGAACTCCCTAATAAACTGTAATTATGTTATCCAATTTCTAATAAGTGTTTTTTAATATATATACAGTGCACAATCAGTTGATATTTAAAAAAAGTCAGTGAGCATTTATCAAGAGTAATACATCATAAATGACTTACCAGGTATATGCAAGTGTAAAAAAACAGTTTTCATGTACATTTCCCCTACAAAATAATACTAGAATTTCATAAACTTAATGGTGCAATATACATTTTTTATGATTAATGCAATATTTTGTCAGATATAAATTTAAAACCCACATAAATGATACACAGTGAAACCTTACATATCAGAATTTCAGGTAAAAGAAAAGCCTATAAAATATTCAGATTCAAGATACAATGGGAAATACCCCACAGAAATTTTGAACAATCAGCACTACCTACATAGGAGACCAGATGACAGTGTGTATTTAGGCCACTTGTAATTAGTAATCACAAATAACTAAAATCCATTGTCATACCACTGTTAAATTTTCGGTCACCAATACAGTATTACAATTGCTATGCTCTTGCACTGCCAGTATTAGAATGCCCTACTAACGAGTTACTTGATCCAGTTCCAGGACATATTTTGTTGAATAAGACATGGTGTTTTGTTTGCTCATGTCATAGTGGCTCCCATTACAGGCAGCCTATCAATTAAATGAAGAATTGAAACAAACCACTTGATGCTTAAAATGGGATTTGTAAGTTAATATGAACTTCTACCTAAGGTTAAATACAAAATAGTATATAGTACTGTATCAGATGTGTGTGATTTAACATTAACATTTTTCTAAGAACCTGTGTGGCATTCATTATTTAAGAAGTAAAATATAAGAAGTCTCTACATCTTAAGTGCTTTTTATTTTTTATTTTTTTACAATTTGTCTTACTATTTGGATCAATATGACATAACCACCACTTACATTAGCAAGCAATATTTTTTCACAGCACATGAAAATCACTGTTATAAAGCTGTCTTTTAAATTATAATACGTATAACTTTTAAAGCAGGCATGAGCACCCTTTCCTCAGTCATGGACCGCATTACGATTTAGATATTTTTCTGTGGGCCAACCTACCCAAATTTACATCCTACCTAACCCAAAAGTAATGTTAATATTGTATTAGCACGGACAGTGAAGCAGTTTATCCTCGCGTCCACCTTACGATATTTTTAGTTTACTTTGTCTTTTTTCCATTTACAAAACAAATCCATTAAAATAATTTTTTTTAGGTAATACTGGATGTTAAAGTTTCTTGGCATTTAACAAGAGAAGTGAAACAGTCTGTGAATATGTTGATTTTTCCTACAATTACAGCATTTTTTCTTGCTTATGAGACACCCACCAGAATAATGCCAATGTTAATCTTGAAATATGGGGGAACTATAATGAAATAACCTATAATTAGTGGTTGTAATGACATTTGCAAGATATTAATATTATTTGAATGCTAATTACTCACCAACTATGGGTTTCCGAGATGCAATTTTGGCGTTTGTGTTTTACTGGAAGTATTTAATCAGTTACGTGTACTTATTAAATTCCAATTAAGATAGAAAAGTATATTTTGGTCGAAAAATTATTAAGACAAAGCTTAATATTTTGGTTTGGGCCAAAAACTTGATTTTGTTGAAAATCTCAGTATAGGAACACCTGAGCATGCCAATTCTAAATTTATGGTTCACAAATCAATTGCTGGGTTTTAAGTGGTCGTAATGACACTTGGAATATTTAAAAAAAATATTTCTAACCTACTTATTCGCCAACTATGGGTCTGAGGTGCAATTTAAGAAGTATTTAATTAGTTATACCCTGTGTGATCATTACCCGTGACCCCACTTGGACTTACCCAACCTTTGTTAATTCCTAAGTGACCCACTGCCATATAGCAGCTAATCCATCAAATAGACCGTGCCAAACTTGACTGACACAAGTTAAGATGTTTATATTGTTGACTATTTATACTAATTTAAATGTTACAGTTTTGAAGTTACTTACCCTTAGGTGATGAAACAGCAACGAATTGTGTGTGAAGATTATTCTTTAAATAAATTTTGCTTTACACACCATAAGTTGGCTGCATCTACCTGAACTGCAGGCCACATTAAATAGAATTTCTCAATCACTCCAAGGGCCGCACAAACACTTGGTCGAGGCTGCATGGTTGCCCATGCCTGTTTTAAAGCATAATACCAAATGCACTTTGCAGTACTGTACTAATATTTTTCTTTGACATTATTAGAAAAGAAAAATACCAACATATTGTGCACACACAGTTGATTTTAGAAAATTGACTTACCTGAAAAAGTTTTAACGATTTTGAGAATTATAAACATTATCATATGTTTTAAACTTATTTAAAATTTAAATTAATGGAGTTCAGCAGATGTGAGCCACATATATACATACACATATATACTGTGTGTATATATATTTATATATATGTATATAAAAATAAATTAATCAGATAAGGTAGTATAAAAAAATGCATACTCAACCACATTTCTCTACAGTTTACGTACCAGTAGTGCTCTAAATATCTCGCACACTTAAAGATGACCAAATATTTCCATACCATCTGAACATTGTCCACCATTCAGTTTTACTCAGCTACTACGTCATGTTTTATATCTGGACCTCAATATTACTTTGTTACGGGTTTACTTAATATGTGAAGAATGGTAATGTGTCCAGTATTTTATTTTATTTTTTGTACATCAAAAATTTAGTAAATAAAGCAAAAAAAAAAAATAAAATAAAAAATGTCAAAATTATGAACTATTTGCCCCCAAACTTACCATACAGCTTACTGTGTGGTCTTTACCACAGATCTTCTGTCTCTAGATTCATCTTACTAATGAGAAAATGAATATCAGCGAGTTCCAGAATGACATGTGGCATAGAATTCTGTCTTCTTTAAAATGTACTCATGATATTCCACCATGCTTATTTCCATTCGTCGAATTTCTTCTTCATAATTCTCAAGTATTTGTTCATTGCTCTGGAAGGCTTCTTCTATCTCTGTAATAAATAATTGATAATTCATTAAAAAGTATTGACTATTAAATAAGGAGGATTGTGACTGAAATCCCATTTTATGACAGCATGGGCAAAGCAACATTTGTAATATTCCATTTAAGGCTACAGGCTGAAAGCCCAAGGTAACTTTTACTACAAGAGCCGTTTCCCAATTCACCGATAATTGCTTTTAACCTCCTGTTGCAAACATTGCTAACACTGAAGGTTATGAAGTAAAGATGATAAACCAACAGTGTACGCTGCCTGTCACTCAATTATTCAGACTCGACCATGAATGCCTTTGAGGGGAAAAAATATATTAATTTTAGTCAATCTCAACATAACCCTGTGCAAGTGGGAAATATTTGAATATCTTGGGCCTCAAGGAATTGCAACCCTGCCTTGATAGCTAAGACAGCACATGAAAAAAAAAAATATATATATATATATGTATATATAATGCCCAGTTCAGAACTTTGAATAAATATCAAATTGCATTTTTAATGAACAGCAACTTTCTTTACTTTTGAATGTAAAAACTGAATACACAAATTTTTACCATTAAGAGTGTCTAATTTAGAAAACGCCTCTGATGCCAATTTATTTGCCCTCTTCTTGAGATCTTCAGCTCTACGTCTGGCATCCTCAGCTGCTTTGGACTTCAACACCAAACTTTCTTCTACAGTCAAGTATTTCTGTGGAAAAGATTTTGGCACAGTTAGTGTATATGACATCTGTAGATCATTTACCTACATAATTATAGTCATATCCCTTCTAATTTACGGTATTTTTATTTGTAATAAAAAGAATTAGATCCAATTTTTTAGTGACTAATGTTGACAATTTTCCAGATTGTAAATACAATGATATCTCCGTTAGCTGGAACAATTGGTGCAGAGTGCTTCTGGGAATGAGAGATTTCCAGGTAACGAGACAACTCTCTAAAAGCCGCAAAATACCAACCCATCCCAGGAATTTTTTTGAATTTTCCGAGTATTGGGAAAATTTTCTCAGAATTTTCCGCAAAATGTGCACCTCGGAAAATTTCAATTCCGGCTAGAATAAGTTCCGGGTTTGAGGGATTCCAGCTAACGGAGATACTACTAGTGATATAGCAGTTGTTAGTTAATTGATTAAATATTACAAACACGCCACAATTCAACCCTACTCCCCATCCTCCTTTACTCCTTATCCTCCTATACCACCCCATCCTCCACTCCTACCTCCCTCTCCTTACTGCACCCTACCTGACTCTATCCTACCCCTTGCGGTACCCTACCTCTCAGGGTATGCTAATTCCCACCACCAACCGCCCTCCCGCTCCCCCACTAAGCCAACTAACTTGTATATCTGCTTGAAAATACAAGATGAAAAACAACAGCTTGGGGCAGTAACCTGATGGTTACAAAGACGAGTTTAACCTGGCTACAATGCCGCCAGCGATGTTAACAGATGTAAATGTGAAAAGAGAGTCATCTGTAAATATTAATTTTGTATCAGGTATTTGTAGATTTAAAAATAATTGTTGCAAGTATGACATTAATAGACTGTAATGCTTGTAAGAGTTCAGAAATGGTTACTGCTTAGCTACCTTTGAAGAGTTGGGTGTCTGCTGTACAGACATTAATCGCCTCCTGTTATCATTATCAGTACAGTACAGAGTACAGGTTGTACCTCTCTAGACCGGTGCCGGACCATGGAAATTCACCCTTTTCCTGGATAGATAGTGACTTGTGCTTATGCTTGGAAGCACTAACACCACTTTCTCTGTATCATGGTCTCTTTGAAGACATATTGAAGGGTTAAATGTCGTATAGTAGCTTCTCAAATTTCGCGAGTTTTTAATTCTTAACGTATTTTATTGGAACACACAAAAAAATAAATAAATAAAAATTTTGACGGCGGAAACTTGAATTTCGACGGGTTTGAACGGCCCGCCAACGTGCAGACGACGTGCATAATCGTGTAAACAGCGTCATTTCTCTTATGTACAAAAGATTCATTATTGTTTATTACTGAATGTCTTTTTTATTGAATTAATGTTTATATGTGCAAAATGAGCAATACAATTCATTAATAATACGTAGAATATTAAAACACACGAGGAAATGACACAGCATTGTTTTCGTTGATTACAAAACCAGTGACTGACTGGTTCTACATATAAAACTGAAGAAAATAAGACCTTGGTTGTAGCTGTAGTAAAATTAATATGGTTGTTTTAAGTAATGTTATTTAATGTTAATAAATGGAACAATAGAAGTAGCTAACGATAATGGTAAAGAAAAAGAGAGATCGCGTATGTAAGTGCGCACACGTGAAAACATATCGTCATTACTTTACATAAGAATATGAAAGCAACACTTATTTACTGTTCATATATATTTTAATTAATGTTTCTGAATTTGTTTTTATTGAATTAATGTTTGTGTGTGCAAAATTAACAATACAATTTATTAATAATACGTGGAATATTAGAGGAGACGAGACGGCTGCCGGCATTGTTTATGTTAAAGCTTACAAAACCAGTGACTGATTGGTTCTACATATAAAACTGAAGAAAATAAGACCCTGATTTTAGCTGTAGTAAAATTAATGTAAAAAAATTAATATGGTTGTTTGAAGTACCTGTAATGTTATTTAATGTTAATAAATGGAACAATATAAGTAGCTAACCATTAATGGTAAAAAAAAAAGTGAGACTGCGCGTATGTAAGTGCGCACATGTGAAAACATATCGTCATTACTCTACATAAGAATATGAAAGCAACACTTATTTACTGCTCATATATATTGAAGGGTTAAATGTTGTACTCTGTATAGACAAGCAGAGAGAGAGAGAGCAGCCGAACTGCCGGATGTAAACAAACCTTAATTTCCCGCGGCTTTGTTGTTGTTTTTTGTATGGGGATTAGCCCACCCGGGCATAGGTCACTGACCCACATTGGGGCCTGAGGAGCAAAAATTTAATACTCCTGTAATAATAATAATAATTCAGATAAGTAAAAAAAAAAAACTGCCTATCTACCTAATGGACAAACTAAAATCGTTCCGGACCACAGAATGCCGGACTAGAGGGGTACAACCTGTAATTATAGATTGACCTTTTATATTTACAATAATTATTTTTTAATTAATTAAAAATACAGTAATAATTATGTTTAAGTCAGCAATAACATATTTTTAATTCTGGAGTTGGGTTAGGTAGAATTTGGCCTACTGGAGACAGCAAAGAGGGGATTCATTAGCTTGGGGGAAACCGCAACTTCACATATAGGATGCAGGTCGATTTTTTTTGCCATTTTTCAGACAAAAAATGCATCTTATATGCCGCTAAATACGGTATTTCTAAAACAACCTGCTGGGGGGAAGGTGTGGCCTCTTAAATAAAAAAATCTGGTTTGAAGAGCAGTGTTTGTGAGAAGTGGTCAAAAAACTTCAGGGACAAGGCTGGCTACTTCTAGCATGCTAACCCAGACTCAATAGGGTTCACAACATATAAGCACACACACAATAAAATGCATTCCCTTACATCTTCAAGTTGTCTAGCATCATTAGCTGCACGTTGGGACTTAAGAGCTGCTTGACTGACAACATTTGTTGTGTCTTCAAGATGACGTTGATTGATCTTGTACTGAAGCTTCACCTCCTCCACACGATCTTCTAAGCGTTGTACCTCTTTAAGAGAAGAGTTTGCTTTCACCTGAGCATCACTAGTCTCACTTGCAATCTGAGTGAAGGTAAAAGTGAATTAATGAATTTATATATAGCTATCTATAAACACTCCATTACTAATTAAAAGGAATACGAGAGCAGTGATGTCATCAATAAAATGTATACAGTAAACTCTCTCTAACCCAGACTCACTCATCTAGATCCCCTTGCAAACCAGACTGTTTTGCAGTACCTGACACATGTATCCCCAACCCGGGAGAAAACAACCAAATTCCAGTACTGGTGTTTCACAAGGTCACGTCCACCCACCCCATCTCATCTTGATATAGTGCGTCCCTTGTGAAACACCATATGGCGAGGACCTAACTATAAATGATGTCTCACTCAGCTGATCGCCAGAACAAAAAGAAGAAATACTGACTTACACCATGGAAGCAAAATGAAATTGAAGAATAAAAATGTGATAAGGAGATTCAGGTCATTCCTGAACCATGCCCTCAAGTTGGTTTTGAAAGCATGATATATTAAGTATACCTGTGTAAGATGGGTCTGAGTGATGTCTATGTCATTACTAGCTTTCATGACAGCCTCTTCTGCAGCATCTTGGGCAACACCGGCCTCATCCAGGGCTTCTACTACACGCTCGGCTACATTCAACGTTTCTTCAGCCTTCTTCTTGGCCTGGTCAGCTCGTTCTGTCAGAGAATACCACTTCCTTATCTGTACAAACTGTTCATTCCTCTAACATCTCTGTATGCAGGGGGGATCTTCCCTAATGAAGGTTAGATGGTTGGGTGAGAGAGGTCTATAGGAAGGGTGTATGAGAGGCAAGTAAAGCAAGCTTGTGGGAAAGGCTTGAAAGGATTTTGAGAGGCAAGGAGAGCTTGTGAAAGGTAAGGATCTCTTGTACAAGGCAGGAAATGAATGTGAAAGGCAGGACATGCTTAAAAAATCAAGAATGACTTGTGACTTTAACACACTAAAGGAAGACATGTACTTATTTGTTCATTACAGACATACTGTTCACTGTAGTGAACCCTCAAAGATTCGGACCCTGTAAATCCAGATTTCGGAAGATTTTGAAAATTTTTTGGGGGGGTTCTGGGCGAAGAAGCCTCCCTAAGAGGCATTACCCAAACAGGGTGAAGGCTAAACTTAGCAGAAAATAACTTGCATTGCTGGAACCCTTGCAAGATAGCAAATAATTTGAGTAAAAATATATACTCGTGTATAGTTCGAGTTTTTAAGACCAAATTTTTAGGCAAAAAATTGGGGGTCGTCCTATACATGCGTAATAGTCTTGTTAGGTTGAACCCGTGCATGATGGGAAGGGCGAGGAGCAACTTTTAGCTTCGGACATGGAAAATATTTACCATTTACTGCCAGTAAACAATGGAAACGTAAAATATGTACCAATTAGTAATGAAAAGTTGTGCAGTTCCTTCAGTAAATGAAGCTCACCAACTTACAATAGGCTAAATTACCTTACAACGTGCTTTCAGTATTCTATGTTGAAGTTCTTAGCACAGGCTAACTTATCATATCATATACAGTATCACAGTTCTCATTGATCTACAAAAAATACCGGTATTAAAAACCTTTTCGATATTTCACACTTAATATAATACCCGGTAATCTACTTCAACCTCCTATTGTTTACAATGACGCATAACGCATCACCAGCTGTATCAGCTAGACGGTACACGTGTTTTTCGAATCGTTTTCAGTTAAAAAACTGTTACATCACATGTATATTTTACCTAAACTGTGCCTGAATGAATATATTCTCGGAAATAAATAGTAGTTTTGCTGAAACGTGATGTATTTTAATGTAAAATAGGATAAAATACATGACAAAAACAAAAGATTTTACCTTACCTTCCGATGTTCAAGAGAAGTTACTCGGTTTTTTAATAGTATTTGGTTAAAATATTGTTATATTACAATGGTATTCTATTTATACTGTGCTTGATATAATGCATTCACGGAAATGTAATATTTTTGCTGAAATGACGTACGTATTACAGTGGAAAGTGGGATAAAATCGTGACGAAAACAATGACTTTCGCTTTCTTTCGTTCAAACGATGTTACTGTAATCGCTTTTCGAATGGTTTTCAGTTAAAAAACTGTTGTATACGATAATATTCTATCCTAATTGACTTGAATAAATACTACGATGCCATATTTCTGAATATTTTCATTAAAATCCATCAAAATCATTTTCCTTGTCATCGTCTGCAGCACCAAACAGCTTCTCCCAGTCCTCTCCTTGAACAGGGCTAGAGTGTACGTGTTTTACGAATCGTTTTCAGTTAAAAAACTATTACAGTAAAAGTCCAAAAATCCGGATGCCAGAAATCCGGACCACCCGAGAATCCGGACTTTTCAAAAACGATTTTTTTTTTTAGCGGGCATTTGTGTGCATGTGGGCATGCGTGAGCGCCACAGCTGCACAGCGACAACAAGCGACCACGTGGTCGCCACTTTAAAATGGGCAATCAAACTGTGACAACATACCGTATATACTCGTCTATGACTCCCCCTCGTTATCAGTCGACCCTGATTTTTTGACCAAGAAATCGTGAATTTATGATATTCCTCGTTTATAGTTCCACCCACGTTTTTGAGGGTAATGGAACAACAAAACCACTAAAAACACTCTACGTCCTATAAACAGAGGCTCGCCGTGCATGAAACACAAGTGCTGAAGGCAAATTGTTTACCATTTATTATTACGACACTTTACACTGAAACGCGGGTAGTTTCAACAAAAATATTGTATATTTCCATTCAAGTATTTATTCAAGTCAATTAGGAGGGAATATTATTGAAATACAACAGTTTTTAAACTAAACCATACGAAAAGCGATTACGGTAACATCTTTTGAACGAAAGAAAGCGAAAGTCATTGTTTTCGTCACGATTTGATCCCACTTTCCACTGTAATACGTATGTAATTTCAGGAAAAATATTACTTTTCCGTGAATGCATTATATCAAGCACAGTATGAATAGAATATCATTGTAATATATCAGAATTTTAACTGAAAACTATTAAAAAAACGAGTAACATCTCAAGAACATCGGAAGCTTAGGTAAAGTCTTTTGTTTTCGTCATGTATTTTATCCTATTTTACATTGAAATACGTCACGTTTCCACAAAACTACTATTTATCTCTGAGAATATATTCATTCAGGCGCAGTTTAGGTAAAATAGACGAGTGATGTAATAGTTTTTTAACTGAAAACGATTCGAAAAACACGTACCCTCTAGCCCTGTTCAAGGAAAGGACTGGGAGAAGCTGTTTTGTTCTCCAGACGATGACAAGGAAAATGATTTTGATGGATTTTAATGAAAATATTCAGAAATATGGTATCGTAGTATTTATTCAAGTCAATTAGGATAGAATATTATTGTAATACAACAGTTTTTGAACTGAAAACCATTCGAAAAGCGATTACGGTAACATCTTTTGAACGAAAGAAAGCGAAAGTCATTGTTTTCATCACGATTTTATCCCACTTTCCACTGTAATACGTATGTTCAGCAAAAATATTACATTTCCGTGAATGCATTATATCAAGCACAGTATGAATAGAGTACCATTGTAATATAACAATATTTTGAGTCCTACTCTTTCCATTTACAGAGTACTGTACAAGCCCATAATAATGGCTCCTAAAGTAGATAAACTTCGTTGTGTGAAGAGAAAGAAGAACACATTGAAATTGAGTGACAAACTTGAAATAATTAAGAAACTAGATCGTGGTGTGAGCAATACTGTTCTAATGGAAACATACGACATTGGAAAGTCTACAATTTATGATATATAAAAGGCAAAGAATAAAATTTAGAATTCACAGCTTTTTCATTAAAACTGCTCCTTTTGATAAATGAAGCATGCTATATTTGCAAATGAATAAACTATCAAAATGTACCTGTTCATTTCTTCTTTATTCTTCATTAAATTTGAATTTTAAAAGTACTGCCTGAGAATCCGGAAAATCCGAAAATCCGGACCGACCCAATCCCCAAGCAGTCCGGATTTTTGGACTTCTACTGTACATCACACGTATATTTTACCTAAACTGCGCCTGAATGAATATATTCTCGGAAATAAATAGTAGTTTTGCTGAAACGTGATGTATTTCAATGTAAAATAGGATAAAATACATGACGAAAACAAAAGACTTTACATAAGCTTCTGTTCTTGAGATGTTACTCGTTTTTTTAATAGTTTTCGGTTAAAATTGTTATATTACAATGATATTCTATTCATATTGTGCTTGATATAATGCATTCACGGAAATGTAATATTTTTGCTGAAATTACGTACGTATTACAGTGGAAAGTGGGATAAAATCGTGACGAAAACAATGACTCGCTTTCTTTCGTTCAAAAGATGTTACCGTAATCGCTTTTCGAATGGTTTAGTTAAAAAACTGTTGTATTACAATAATATTCCCTCCTAATTGACTTGAATGGAAATATACAATATTTTTGTTGAAACTACCCGCGTTTCAGTGTAAAGTGTCGTAATAATAAATGGTAAACAATTTGCCTTTGGCACTCGTGTTTCATGCACGGCGAGCCTCAGTTTATAGGATGTAGAGCGTTTTTAGTGAAGGTTTTGTTGTTCCATTACCCTCAAAAACGTGGGTCGAACTATAAACGAGGAATATCGTAAATTAACGATTTCTTGGTCAAAAAACCAGGGTCGACCTATAAACGAGGGGGGGTTATAGACGAGTATATATGGTAGTTTGCACAAGAGATAAAAATTTTAGTCTTTTAGTATAATACATTTGAGTACAAAGTGAGTACTGTACAGTCATATGTTAGTCAAAATTATGGCTTTTTCACAGGAAAAAGTCTTTATAACTAACCCCAGTGGTCAGGATAATATGCACTTTATTTTTTTTGTTTTTTATATAATTATTTATCGTTTTTATACATTTAGGATATTCGCTGGAAGATTTGGACAATCGGCTTTTTCGGATACGTGGTCCCCCCTCTTAGTCCAGATCTTTGAGGGTTCACCTTTCTTTTCTACCTGAAAGCAGTAAATTACATAGTCTAATAAAGGGCTTTGGTAAAAAATAAGCTGCCTGAGGAGGAGGGAGGGTATCAGAGGTGCCAAGCTATGGAATTGGTAGAAAAAAATCAGGTTCAGTGTTCCTTTTCAACTTAAGGCTCGTGGCTAGTCATCTACCAAAATTATAGCCAGACGAGCTCCTGATGTTAGGGGGTCATGCATCCTATCTGGGAAAATAATCCTCCTACAGAAGGAATGCTTGTGAAGGCCCACTGGTAAAGAACACTAACCTTAAAAAACCTCTGCACCACACCCTGCTTTCCTGGGCAAACACTGTCCAACCAATGCCCAAAGCCTCTTGTAACTTGGCCAATACATTATACAAAAAGTCCTCCCAACACTGTGTCAGTCAGTTTAAGTACTTGTAGTTGAAAGCCTTAAGAATCAACTAGAAAAATGCCTGGAGACTCCATGCCCTAAAGATAGCCCAAAGTTCAGGTTCCAAGAAAAGGGTCTTACATATAAACCTACAAAAACAAAGAAATTATTGGAACAAAACAAAGGAGTAAAAAAAAAGACTGAAAGATTACAAGACAGATGGTTTAAACTTCCTTTATACTAATTCTGTGCATTTTACTCTGATGTATCACATTTTATGTTAGAAATGAAAAAGAAAATTTAAATACAGGAATACAATGTATCACAGTACCTTTGAGTTCTACTGCAGAGGCTAAATCATTCCTGGTAGCATCAATAATGGCATCAATATTTGTAAGAGATTCGATGGTGAGTGTAATCCTTTCAGCTAAGTCAGTTATCTGCTCTGGTTTTAGGGAAATATCAAGACCCAGAACCTGTTATCAAAAGAAAAAAAATCAGGTACCCAAACTGGATGAAGCTCTTTTGATTACACTATATAAGTCTGCAAACAAAATGACTTAACGTCCCTCTCAACATTTCTACCTAAAGAATAATACCAGTACTAAACTTATATACAACTACAGTACAGTGTACTAAGTGCTGTACAGTATTCCCTATTGAAATAAAACAAGATACTGTAATGGATTTCCCTCTCCCTCACTCTTCATTTTTTTTTTACAAAAGGCATATCATCAAAATTTTCTCGTACCCTGCACAACCTGACAAAATAAATTTCTGTTAGCATTATTCATTAACTCTATACTGTATATTGTATTTATAAGTATGAACATGTTGTACGTCTACCAAGATGAGTGGTTACAAGGTATTTCGACATACAGTGGCTCTGATTGAAACATTCTATTACCGGTATGTCATGTAATACTTGTACACTCTTATGTCTGGTCATTTGTGCTATATGGCTACACAACAGCCAGCATTATGCTACTTTCTTACAAGTACAAGAGATCACTCTTGGATGACCATCAAACTTGGTAATACTCCTCTGCTAGCCTCCTGTTCAATGTTAACCAATAGACTCTAGTTTTCTACCAACGAGTTTGTCTCCCCTCCTGAAGAGAACATAGTAAGCACAAGAGAGCAAGGTACATTGCCTACTAGATCACTGTTGGGTCATTGAGTTAACTACTCAGTTTTTACTTCTACCAGACTTCCTTTGGACTACTCGACAGTACTGTACTAAACTTACTTACAACTACACCCCAACATTACCCAGAGAATTATGAAATTTATTTTAGCACAGGCATGGGCAACCTACGGCACAAACCAGGTCTTTGTGCAGCCCGCAAAGTGATTGAGAAATTCTATTTAATGTGGCCTGCAGTTCAGGTAAATGCAGCCAACTTATGGTGAGTAAAGCAATATTTATTTAAAGAATAATCTTCACACACAATTCGTTGCTGTTTCATCACCTAAGGGTAAGTAACTTCAAAACTGTAACATTTAAATTAGTATAAATAGTCAACAATATAAACATCTTAACTTGTGTCAGTCAAGTTTGGCACGGTCTATTTGATGGATTAGCTGCTATATGGCAGTGGGTCACTTAGGAATTAACAAAGGTTGGGTAAGTCCAAGTGGGGTCACGGGTAATGATCACACAGGGTATAACTAATTAAATACTTCTTAAATCGCACCTCAGACCCATAGTTGGCGAATAAGTAGGTTAGAAAATTTATTATTAAAATATTCCAAGTGTCATTACGACCACTTAAAACCCAGCGGTGAAATTTTACACAAGCTTCTTTTTGTCATTTGGTTTAGCTTCCCAGTAAGTAATTAGCAACTTGGGTGTTAGTCAATTAACATATTATATTCTGGGGTAACAGTTCTTTAGACGGGTCATACAGCTTTTAACTCTGTGTGTTGGCAGCATCTTCTCGAGCTCAAATAAATCCTTACCTAGACGGTGCGTTTACTATTATGATCATTATAAAATACAAACAATTAGTACCGACCTCTTCAGCTATTATCCTAATTTCCTTGGGTTTAGCTCCTGGTGTACTGAAGTATTCTTGGATTTCTTCAATGAGCCTAGAGATAGCAGCTTTATATGAGTCCGTCATATTGCGAGCCTCAAAGGTCATACTAAAGGCCATTTTGGCTAAGTCAAAGGCAATATCAGACTGACGCTTAGCACCCGAGACACCTCTCAACAGCTCATCTGCTGATGCTTCTTTCTTTTTTAGTGTTTCTTCTGCATCATCAGCAAACTTGAGTGCAGTTTCAGCAATGTTCACTAAACCATCGTTGCAGGAGAGTCCACCACACTTGCCACAACCTGCGCCCCCACAGTAGGTGTCACATGGATCACCACGCCGGTCACACACCTGCCAAGTATTTAAAACAGTTGTCAAATAATCAAGCTATGTCACTTTTTTTTTACAGGGAATAGCCCACCCAGGCACAGGTTATCGACCCACAACAGGGCCAAGGGAGAAAAAAAAATAAGAGTAAAAAGAAATTAAAAATAGAAGAGAAAGACTATATAAATCTACACCATGAAGATGCCAGAAAACCAGCTTTTTGAAGTGATACAGATTGTATGAGTATGGAAATGCAGAAGAAGGCAGAGCATTTCACAGTTTGGCTGTGTGAGGAAAGAAGGATGTACTATAACGGGTTATTCTAAAGTGAGCGGTATCCATACAGAAACGGTGGGGACAGCGGCCAAGACGAGTGTTACAAGCCCACGGCCTTGCCGGCGGTACACAGGTGCCAAATCCACTGAACATTGCCCGTTAAAGTACCTGTAAAACAGAGAGAGTGAAGCAACATTGCAGTGAAGAGAAAGGGAAGAGAGATTATCAACTAAAGGAGAAGAGTTAACAAGATGAAATGCCTTTGATTCCACCCTATCAAACAGTTGGACAGAAGAGCCACCCCAGATATGAGAGTAGTACTCCAAGTTAGGACGAATGAATCCCTTATAAACTTGAAGCAACTGCTCAGGAGTGAAGTAGCTACGGCATCTGTACAGCATTCCCAGCATTCGGGAGGTAGCTTTAGCAATGATATAGATGTGTGGCTTCCATGACGTTTTAGAGGAAATGGTGACGTCTAGCATATCCATTTTAGAATTTTGCAGAATGATTGCATCCTGAAATGTGAATGGTGTGAAATCTTCTATTTTGGAAAGTGAATTGGTAAATACGGTTTTATTACTATTGAATTTAACCATTTGGAGATGCTGCACAGATCCGCATTGATAAAAGAAATGATATCGGCTCTAGAAACAGATCTAGTTTGAGAATTAGGGGGAAGGGGAAACTGTGAAGTTAACTCACCAGCTATTAGGTAAATTATACTAAATTGTTCATTGTAAAATTTGAATTTCTCAATAAAAGTTTAGTATCTAAAATTCTACTTGTTTTCCTATACCTGCTCATTGAGATCAGGCATGCCATCGTCCATATCATCTAATAATTCACTAAGTGACGCCAAATTTGCTTCATTCTCATCCTGTGTACGGTTGAAGCGATCACCAGCATGGAGGAGGAGATTTTCAGTCCTTCGGCGGTTGCGTTCAGATTCAGACACAATAACCCGAGTAAATTCAACTCGTTCTTGTGCAGCACGTGACCTCTCCCCAGCATGTCGGGTCAAATTCAATGCTCCTATGCAAATGAAAAAAAAAAAAAATGCATTAGTATTATTTTTAAAATTTTCATATGAATGTCTTATCAACATCACAAGTACACAAACCCTCAAAAGTAAAATAATTAGGTGGTAAATATTATAAAATAAAAAGTACATATAGCTATACGTATTGGCATCTTTGCAAAATAAAACTCGGTAACAACAAGAAACTCCTTAGATTCTCAAGTCACACGCAGTTCAAAAGAAGTGATTCAAAATTACATCAACCTCCCTCGCTCTGATGGGTTTCATCCACAATGATTTGCAATATCATGGTTTATTTAAAAAAAAATTCCAATTCATTAATATATTTTGCAGTTACACTGATTGAACAGCTAAGGTCATGTTGTGGCAACGGCAAATATTAAAACATGCAACAAATCACTCATCGTGAGAAGCACGGTACATCACGGAAATGCAGATACTGTACTATTATAACACACATATGGTAGACCTACACTGACAATAATCCCCACATGATGCCTGTAGCATAAACCGGTTTCTCATTCATTGACACTCAATTACATATTGTTTTGTGTACAATTTTGTACATTCTATGTACTGTACTCAGATAATGGCACCTAAACATCCTGCCATTACTCCTCAATGAAATGCCCTTGCAAAAACTGGACATCGTATTTACACTTAAAATTTAAGTTAGAAAAGCTGAAATTTATTCATTAATCAGACATACAACTCTATTTCCCCTCCCAATATCATATATCTTCTAATTCCCCCATACAGAGACTGTCATTACTTGGTAGTAAATTTCATAAAACTAATGATTTTATATAATGTATATCATCATTCTTATCCGAGTGATGTAGGTCACATCTCTTCCTTCATGCTTTTTATCTATGCTATAATTAATATTTTCACTATTGTCTTATAAAGTTTTCCTCAAACAGGAGAAAAATATTACTTTACATACATTTTTTAAATCTGTATCATCTCAAAGTCATAATCAATGTACAGTTCTTCCAGATAATTCCTTATCCCAACCATCTTTCTCCATTTGTTCTTCACCATCACCTCCTATTGCCTATGAAAGTGGCATAAGACTGTTCTCATACATAAATGAACCCATATTATTCCAAATGTGGAAGAACAAGACTAAATCTTCTCATTTTATATCAAATTAGTTTATCAACCATAAGAAACTCTACCTTCAACATTGGCCTCCTGTAATTTAGTTGCCTCTTCCTTCTGATCACCAGCTTGATTCCGAAGTTCTTCTGCCTGTAGCCGAAGGTCAGCAAGAGCATTTGTAGCCAGGGAGATACGTTGTGTGGTGTTGTCCACTCCTTGTTCTAGCCCTTGGAGGTCAGCCGCAGCAGAAGACAGATTTGCACTAAAGAGATAAAAACTCGAGCATAGTGTTTTAGACTTCCAAAATTATCTAAAGCTCTTCACTTTATGACCTGTCACAAGAACAAAATTGTATCTAAGATAAAACAGTCTGGAGTTTGGCTATGATGTATCAAGGTCTTCATGATAAGTTGATAACTGTCATGATATATAATTTACTTCTGAAATCTAGAGAGATTAAATTCCAAGAAAATATTGAACAAGTATATTGTAGTCATGTTAGAGACTTGTCTTGTGTGACCATACCCTTACTTCAGCTCCACAATTTTTCAAAAATGGGAATGGTTTAAAATTTGGAAATAATTTCATATACAGTGATCCCTCGGTTAACGAACGCCTCGGTTAACGAAATTTCGGTTAACGAATTACCTTCCATAAGAATATTCAATTCGGTTAACAAAAAAAATTTGGTTAACGAATTCCTTACGAATTTTTCCCAACACGTTTTCGCCTGCTTTCGCCTGCTCACCAGCTGTAGTATTAGTCCGCCAATACAGTAATTGGTTTTAGGGCTTAAATTCGTTACCATTTAGGTAAATATCAAGAAGGTTGTACAGTATTCAATAACTTTCCAAGTCTTATATTAAATTTTTTAGTCATTTTAACAATTATTTAATATAATTGAAGCACTGTACAGGGAACTAGTTTTTAGCGCGCCAGACAGCCACTTGACTCACCCAGAATGGCGTCAGTTTGTGTCTCTGCTCAGTGGAGGAAGCATCTTGTTTGAGACTCTCTTGAACATAAACTATTTGTACTTTTTTACAGTACAATTATTGGTTATTCTGAAATTTATTTTACATATTGACAATATATAATGCAGTGCAGTGTTGATTTAAAGAATATAATCTTGAATTACACCAAGTGAACTTAAAATTTTATGGGTGAAATGGCAGCATGAAGCATGGGGTGACTTCTCTTCCACCCCACTGCCTTCTCTTCTCCCTTCTCCTCCATCCCCGCTTCTAATTCCCATCATCATCAACCAGGAGCCTTCTACATGCACACCTCAAAGTAAGTGTACTTTACTGCATTTATTTTTAGTTTGTATGTAATTTTCGGTGAGCCGGAACCAATTATCCAAAATCCCATTGAAACAATGGTTTCGGTTAATGAAATTTTCGGTTAACGAACAACCTTCTGGAACGAATTGTGTTCGTTAACTGAGGGACCACTGTACTGTATGTATATATATATATATATATATATATATATATATATATATATATATATATATATGTGTGTGGTTGGCAGTACAGTATGAGGTAACAACACAGATTTGTTTTATGATGTTATTACTACAGTATTTAGAATAGTTTCACTGGATTTGACTTTTGACGGTTTTTTTTCTTTTTAAATGCTAAACTTTTCTATTTAAATATTATATTCATTCCACTGACATCAGACCAAACTCTGGGATACTAAACACATTAGCATTCCCAACGTCAAAATATCTTGAGTCAGTGTTTTGCCAAGCTTCATGTAGCAGCCCTGTGAGCCATGATAACTAAAACATTACGTGTACTGTATCTGATTTTCAGCATATTTAAACACTCTCAATACAGTACAGTACATTATGGTGTTTATAGTTTGTCTTTATAAACTGACCAGATCCAGTACATTAAGCCCTAAGATACCTGTGTCAGCATTACAGCAGATCTGATGCTTCAAAACAAAAAAAAATAAAAAAATAAGTTTTTATGTACCCTTGGATTTTTTTTTTTATGTGAAACAAAACCTGGGACTTTTTTGGGGTAATTTTGGATCTTTGCAAATCAGGAACTAACTGCACTATATAGAATAAATTACCTGAGTTGTGCGATAACATCCTCCAGGGACACCAAACTGTCAGATGTCATGTTGGCTGATAGTAATATATCTCTCACATCATCAATCTTCTCTTCCATTGATTCAAACTCATGACTGTATGCACCTGTTGCTCCTGTTTGCTTGATTTCTCCAGCTGCATGAATCAGGGATTCTGTGCGTTCTGATCGAGATCATAAAATCTATTAGTGCAAAGAATAAAATCTACTATGAAAAAATAAGAGAGAACTAAGTGAGGATGATTCACAGACAGTGGAAGAACACATTAAACTTAATCTGTTGGGAAGAACCAAGAAAAGTATTTTTCAAAATGACTGATTTCATTTGTAAATAATGAATTTAATAGTAAAGTTTCTACCCAACACTATCATACAGTATTCATTACCTTTTAGCTCTTTGAGTATTAAATCCCAATTGTCGAAGCACTCTCCACAAGGCTGGCAGTATGGAGCCCTGCCAGTGAAACCTCGTGCACATTCATCACATTTGTTTCCACCAATACCTTCTCGACACTTGCATCGTCCAGTGTCATGGTCACACTGAAGAGTTTCCGAGCCTTCAAAGTTGCAATTACATGCTGTAAAAAAGAAAGGATTGTCGTTAGGCAGGTTTGGCAAAATCATTGGTTTAAAAAAATAAATATATTTTTTAATACTATTATGTTAGTTTTAAGTTTTAAGTTGTGTAGCCCTTTATATAACTTTTAATATGCATAAACATTATATTCAGGATGATTGACCATTTATACTCTTTTCCAACTCAAAAAATCACTGTAAAGGTTAAATATGAAAAACACAAACTTTGATCAGTCATCGACTCGTCTTACATGCTTAAAGGCAAAATCTAAGTACGTATATGATCATCTTAATGCACAGAAAAAATATTCTATGTTTACAGTTAAAGGTTTTTAAAAATTCGTTTAAGTACAGTTGGAGAGAGAGAGAGAGGCAATGGCAACTTGACTCCCCTGGACCTGTATAATACATGATATGAACACATTAGACTCAGAGGCTCAGAGCCCAACCATAAACAGAAGCAGTCACCTTGTAAATAAGCTAAATTACAGTACTGTACGCTGTATGTGCCACTTTTACAAGAAAGTGTGGAAATTCAAAAAGTGTTAGACAAAAAGCTGACCAGGGTTGTTAAGGTGATATGAACATAATGAGAGAATGGGAAGTAAAAATTGGGTAAAAGAAGTGAATAATCCAGAAGCAGGTAGCAGAAGGTAGAGGTGAAAACCATGTTGATAATTTAAGACCGTGGTGGAGAAAGTTCTAGAAATGAATATGGTGGACAGCAACTGATGAGCATTCTGACCTTTGATTCCTGCTACCCTACACTATAATAGAAGATCAACAAGATGTAAAAAAAATTAAATAAATAATAGAGAGAGAGAGAGTAAAGTGACAACCTGGAAACAGTGTTGGGTCAAAGGAGATTGATTATACCATAGGAGGAAGCAACAGTATACAGAACAGAGGATATATGTTCAGTACAGCTTGGAGGATCTTCATGGTCACCACTTCCTAGAGGAGCAAAGCATCATAGGTAAGAGAACTATGATGAAAAACTATGAAAAATACAAGCCTACCTAAGCATTCTATCCGGGGATTGCCATAGAAGTTGGTTTGGCATTGATTGCACTGGCGGCCACCGAACCCTGGGCGGCATTCACATATTCCATCAAACTGTTTAGGAGAAAAAAGTACAAAACAAATTAAAGAAAAAAATTCCATGTAAGGTAAAGTGGCCATATAATTTAAAGGACATTGTAACTTATAGATTTATTAAGGGAAAAATTATTATATAGATTTCCATAAACGACATCAAACACAAATGGATACAGTTAAACACGCAACAATAAAATTAATTTACAGATTAAGTTCTAAGTAAATTGTTAAGTGTACGTATTGTACTTCTAAATGTTGTTATTGTGAGTACACAGAATAGACTAAATATACGTTTTGTTAGAATAGAATTTAAGTGTGTGTACTGACACCTTCACTGTCGCCAAAACAGGTAACAAGCCACCACTGATAGAATGGTACGAGTATTGTCCCGAGTGATGTTCTCTGGGTGGACACATGACTCAACAAGTGGCACCCTTGCCAAATGATCCAAAACCAAGATGAACTTATCAACTGTGCCCTCAAACCACAAAAAAAGGCAGAGAAAATGATTATGTAAAAATAAAATGTGTCTAATATGTGATGTGTTATCTGTGTGGCAACCCTGCTGTAGTATTTACTGTTACTGAAAATATTGAGAGGAAAACAAACTAAGAAATGGTTGTTTTGGACAGAGTACAGGGAAGGAGGAGCCATGTGTATGAAGTTAATATAATAATCTTTGTGAATCTTATGCAAAAATATTTACAAAATGTGATAGTTGTAAACCTTGTGTAAAACATTTATTATTAATGCACACAAAATTAGAAGCCACACATCTACCTACTGAAAATTGGGATCGAGATGATAAAAGGTAATAAAATACACTAACAAATTAATAAACTAATGTCCATGTCATCACTCTGCAACATGTCGAGAATTAATTGTTCTTGCTAGTCACATTTATATCACTCCATTAATTAGTTTAACTTTCTACCTTTTACAACTACTTACAGAATTGCTATGGCCACCATAGCCTTGTCTATACTGCTGAAATGACAGATATATATATATTAAAGTATAAAACTACAATACAGTACACTGAACACCTTCACATTAAGATGTATGTACCAAAATGATGACTAACACTTTGTACAGTACTATAAATAAAAATGTGTCAACACAAAATATACCACAACTCATATTACATTAATATTATTCATTATCAAAAACATAAATGCTTCATTTATATATACTGTACTGATGAAACAATATGAAAAGTCTACAGCAAATATCTTTTGTGATGCTCCAGGATTGTTGTCAATTTTAAGGTGCGAGACAGCTGACAATGGAGAGGTTTTGGTAGAGTACTGAACAGTAATGCCTGCAACTCTAAATTATTATACCTATACAGTACTGTACACACAGTATATGAATAAAAATTCCAATATTTTGAATACTGTATAAAGAATAATAATTACTCTGAAGTTAATACAGTATTAGTTTATGTTAATCATCATCAACATTTTACAGCCATTTGTTTCACTTGCGCAAGTTAACAGTAATACCTGATGGCAGCTGTTGGTACAAAACAGAAGTAAATTTTCTCTTGACAATAACAATACAATCTTCGTGATCAGTAATGTCAGTGATCATTTAGACCAAGAATATATGGTTTAATACTTAAAACTAACAGTGCTGCTACACTCACCTCGTTGCACTGATCGGAATAAGAACCAACAGGATCACAGGCACAAGCCTCACAACCCATGCCTGAAGCAATCTTCCAGTGGTTAGGGGCACAGTGATCACACTCCAGTCCTAACACATTAGGAAGACAAGGACACTGCCCTGTCTCATGGTCACATACTCCAATAGTCTGATTAGAACCCAGAATATTGCATACACATTCTGAAACACAATTCACAAGTTTTTCAATTCAATTCTTGGTATAGTTGTTTAATATATCACACATTATATAGCAGGTGTTAATACATTCAACATGTAAGTGGGCCCAATAAGCCTGATGGCCCAGTATGGATACAACAGATTGTTTGTACAGTTGTTTTTGGTGCACAAGAAGGAAGTGTGGCTAGCATAGCGACCATCTTCACTTCCCCAACAGTAGAGTTAGGTACCCATTCACAGATGGATGAACTGGAGGTGCCCTGTGTATGAATCAGTGACCCTCAAGACATGAGACACGTGCTGTACCCACTCGGCATCGGCACCCTTATTTAGCATAATGTCGTAATCAACTCTTCCAATACCTGAATCATCAGCTCCCTTGATATTTACACTACAAACTACTATACTCACAACAAACATACGTGTCTAGTATTTAATCCTCCTTCCACTTATTTTGAGACAGATCTATGTAAATGAGAGATAAACATTTCTTTAAAACAAGCCAACTCCAACAGTAATAGGTCTGTACTAGTGGGAATTTCAAGAGGTGAGCAGACCAGTTGAGCTTAACTATAGCAACATAACAAAAGATGTCTCCTTCCAGTCATACACTAATGTAAAGATAATAGTACAGTACATAGAATTTTTTTTAATGTTTATCACTTAATTATGAAACATCTTAATTATGCATAAAATACCTTATGAAAAAAAAAAACTCCTCCGAAACAACAAGATGCAGAAAGAGAATACATCTACAGTACTAGCAATCTTCTTGAGAAAACTCTGACAGAATCACAAATACATCAAATTAAAAGCACCAGATTCTAACCTCTGCATTGTTGGTGGAGAGCATCGCCATAAAAACCAGGCTGACAGCGTTCACAGTAGAAACCAAAGGAGTTGAAGAGACATTGCTGACACTCCCCAGTATGTTTATCACAATTACCAGGGCGAGAGATATCAATGTTGTTGTTACAATTACACGACTGACAACTACCGCCAGAGATCTCAGGGTTACCAAAGTAGTTATCTGCACATACATCACAACGGGCTCCTGAAATTGAGAAGTTTCTTCATCATTCAAGGAAAATTATAACTGGATCGAACCGAGTAATGGCAAAATGTGAAGCAACTTAAGATTATCTCGTGTAAGTAAACATGGTAACAATAATACACCTTTTGTTAGTGAAATGAACAGGAGCAACATAATATAAAACTGAATAAAACACAAAATATTCTTTCCTGGAAACAGAAATCTCTGCCAGTGTGTATATGAGAAAGAAAAATACAGGACTTAGAATTTTTTTTTAATATCAATGCAAACTGACAAAAAGCCTACAATTAAGAAAGATGCTGAGACTGCAGACAAAAGAATATGGTGGAGATGGATTCAAAAAGTCAAACCCTGACCACTGGAAATGACAAAAGGAAGAAGAATTATGACAAACAAAGATAGTATCATAATTTAGAGAAGTGTTGAATTTGACACTACTGGTTGGATGGTAACATGATCCGAGTAATGGAAATGGACTCGATACAATTTTTCAGCATTTAAATGATTGTGTTAGTGTTCCAGAATCCTTTATGACTGTTTTAATCTCGAGAATGCACAGAGTCATCATGAAATTTACTTACCAGCATAACCTACTTCACATTCACACACAACATCTTTGGTTCGAGGGTCGAGGGAGCAGCGATCAGCAAAACTGTGACCAGAATCTACAGTTCCAGGACATGGACACCTTCTACATGCAATGCCCACATCCAAGCGTGGATCACCATAAAAGCCATCAATACACCTACGGAAAATATGTGCAATCAATTACAGTGCTGCCAAATTATTTATACATCAAACTATGAAATGCAAGTTTTATTTTGTGACACTAATCCATGTTAAAAAGAAGTTCCCAGGCACACTAAGACTTACAGAGCACAGTTTGGTCCACTGGTATTGTCTCGACATTCATGACAGACACCTGTGTAGGAGTCACAAGTGTCAGCATGGCCATTACACTCGCATCGCTGACAGTTGGGAAAGTTCCAGAACCCAGGCTGACACTCATCACACTGACGACCATACGTGTTTGGACGGCATTTACACTGACCTGTCACAGGGCAGACAGTTACTCATTTTCTACAATACTGTATCAGCTTCATGTAATAAACCTAATTCTTTAGTGATTGTGTTTCTTGTGATAAAAACAATACCTGTATGCAAAAGTGATTTTGAAATCAGAAAAAATAAAGCAATATCTGAACAAAAATTAACTTTGGTAAACTGTTCCCTATGTCCAGACTGTGTAGTGTGAAGCTGTTTCTATGTGAGAACTGGGAAGACAAGTAAAAAGAGAGGGAGAACCTAAAAGGCTTTGGGTAGAGAATTGTTGAGTAATACAGAACTATTCTAATGACTAGTTGATTCACTCAACCCAATCTATACTTAACAGTAACTCTTATGTCACCTCCCCTTGTTAAATCAAATTAATAAAGGTTTATTGGACAGTACATAAGTGCAGAGTCAATATAGTAATTTCAACTGTACATAAACATGTTATGACCACTGTAATACTGCCTCGGGGTATATTTTAGACATAAATATACAATTTGCAAAGTGAAATTTTCACATTCATTGACAAGTGCCTGCCCTATACTGTACTGTAGCTCATGTATGTGATGTTATAATGTATTGATGAAAAGTTCTCACCTGTCTGCTGGTCACAGAAGTTGTCTAAAGCTCCAACAGGACTGCAGCCACAGGCTTTACAACCTTCAGGACCAAAACCGAAAGTGCCTGGCGCACAGCGATCACAACGGCGCCCAACAACATTGGGTTTGCAGTCACACTGACCACCTAGTGAACTGCAGATGCTGCTGTAGCTCCCTGTTCCATCACACTGACAGGCTGTGTTCAATATTAATGTAAGAATATTCCATAACTTAAAGTAAAGTTATATACAGGTGTATGGCAGTTAAGACCAAAACTCCCTCCCTATTCAAATATCACACACACTATGTTAATGTCTAAAAGTTTAAATTTTGATAAATTAATTAATCTGTGGTGAAGGCACATCATCAACAAATGCTGGTTTAATGGACCAAATTAAGGACACATCAATAAACACTACAGTATTAGAAAAATAGAGATCTGTCTATTTGTAGTTTAGGACAAAAAGTCAGATAACTGAACTTCTATTTATACAACATATTCTAATATTCTCCTTGGTGATGGGGGAAGTAGAATGTGGAGCAGCAGCAGCAAGAAAGGAAGTCTCTCTCTCTATGAAGACAGAGTGAACTAGAGTACTATGTCAGTCTCAAGAGATAAACCTGGCAACTCAGCTGATCCCCTCAGGAGGCTGTGTACATTTCTTGTTTAACTGAATATTTTCCCGGCTTCCTTAACTCAACACATCAAGTGAACATATTTTTATTTATTTATTTATTTTATTTATTTATTTATTTATTTATTTAATTTATTTATTTATTTTATTTATTTATTTTATTATTTTTTTGGGGGAGGGGGGAGTTGAAATAAATAATAGCGTAATATTTTGGGACCTAAAACATAAAACTGATGCATACAGACAAATGCTTTACAATATAGTATTTACAACCCAAGGAGTCCATCAGAACCTAATCTAATAAATTGTGGGATTGGTTGTAGCCAAAACATCAATTAAAACAACAGCAGGATATATAGTCTTACAGAAAGCCTGTCCATATACATAGAAGCCAATACTGTCCAAGTGGTTGTCTCTGCAGACTTCAGGGACCGTGGCAACACCCTGGCCGTCATAGAAGCTTTCACTACACCGGTATCGCTCGTACTCATAACGAAGATCATCATTTTCAAAGGAGCCAGAATAGAATGGAAGTTTTTCAGCTCTGGGAATCAACATAATCTGAAATTATAAATTATTTGTTGCAACTTTTATACTGTATACAGTTTATTCCACAGATAAGTAGATAAAACTGGTATGCATGATTAGAAGTAGAGAATAAACTGGGGACTGTGACTGATAGATATTCAAAATACGGAGGGACTCTGTCTATACTCAATAATATAACATATAAAGCTTCTGTAAAGTGTCATTGAACACAGTATCTCATGTCAAAAGTTGGGCACAGTCATATGCCACAACAGCAAAATATTATAGCATGCAAAAAACATCACAAATTTGAAGCACATCAGTCAAGTTGTCAAAATATCTCCTGGTTATGCAGGCTCTTCAAACATCAAGAGGCAGAGGCACACAAACTGCATTACCCGTCAAATAATAGAATACGGTACTGAAAGAAGGGAACATACTTATTTTACTCTTCCTTTCTCTACATTGGCAAAGTTATTTATTCTTCTAAAATCCTCTTATGATGTGCAACTCTTCCACAAGGTGTAGAAAGCTGATGCAATGTTCCAGATCAAGTCATTAAGACACATTTGACAAACATATGCACTGATAAAGGACAGATGGATACAGAGATGGCTCACATTCTTATACCTCCCTCTGGGCCAAAAGACCTGAAGGGGAGTAAATACAACTAGGTTTTACCTAGACCTTAGAAGAGACTATCTGCCAAACCCAAGAGGCATCACAAAATAGTTTACAACAAATTACTAACACTGAAGTCATGAGGCACAACCAACAACATGTGAAGATAAATGCATTTTTCCTTAACTTTTAACAATGTAGGGGCTAAAATAGAACTGATCAACTGAAAACTAAGACTACTGTAAATGTAAAGAAACTTCGGTAATTCCGAAACTGAATTTAACATCAAGACAATGTTCTCTGTTCTGGAAACAATGCCAGAAAATGTAAGATACTTACAGAGTCTACGAGGATGGATGCCGAGGGAGAATCTGTGCGAGCATTTGATCGTCTGAAGTCAACTCGTATTTTGTAACGTTTGCCAGACTCCAAACACACAGGTGGGAACAGTGTTACTTGCCGACGACCTTAAAATTAACAAACTGATTATCGAGTATTCTCGTCAAAAACTGTCTATACATCGTTCACCCTCACATTTAAATGATACCCTCATGTTTGCATGGTATCTTTTGAACAAAGTGAATATTAATTTTAAAATCTTTGCAATAGACATCTATTTCATTTATTCATTATTTACAGACAAATAATAGGCATAAATGTTCTCTATAATAGATTCATTCTAAACAATACCAATACATACTATCTGGCAGACTAATAATCATCTGGTCATCAATGGGTCTGCTGTTACCACAAGGTCCAGTTGGATCAATAGGTTCAGGACGCTCCACTGTCACCATAATGTTCTCCCAGTCTCCACGGAACTGTTGGGGGAAAATATTATGGAGATTTCACTAACTCTCCCTTTATCTCTGTCACCTGAGGAACTTGATACTATCCTGCAAGAGTCAAACTCAGTGTTGTCAAACTCGGATTATGATCACAGATAATGGTAAAAACAGCTTTTTTGTTAATACATTTTATTTTCACTTGTAATGCAATTATAATTGTGTCTTAAGAATTTTTAAAAACATTTGATATATCTTTGACACTCTTGAGATCCAGCACCCCCCCCCAAAACGGTTAAAGGCAATTGTAAAATATATATTCTACAGCCATAGTTACGAAGGGGCAAACACGCTCCTCACTAAAAGAAACTTACCTGAGGTTCGTAGCGAAGCACAAGGTCATATTCCATACTAGTTTCAATGTTCTCAACCTCAAATTCAAGGTAGGAACCCTCGAACACTCGCATGAAACCCAAGCCCGTCCAGGTGGTCTCCCGGCCATCACGGTATGGTTCTCTCATCACAACTTGGCAGTTCTATGAGTTAAAGTGAGATATATTACTGTAAAATATATACTGTACACTACATACCATAACCGAATCTAACGAGTACTGTACATGGATAAAAAAAAAATTTAATACGTGACAAAAGCCCATCACATCATGTTACTACCGTCCTGTAATCCATTCCATATTTATTTATTTAGCAATATTGTAAACCGTTTGATTGCTGGGTTGTTAAGAGATGAACGTTGGGCGACGGGAGCTCATCGTTTCGTGCAAAGGGAACAGGGAATGAGTCGAGCATTATGGTTCCAGTCATCATTGAGAATGTAGGTGATTTACTCAGTCCACGGGGCTCACAACCATACCAGCTTGGCAATGGTTAGCACACTCCCTGGTCTGTCTGTGTGCAGTATAGTGTGTGATCTGGAGCAGAATACCATTAAGCAAATGCTAAAAGTACAGGTTGATGACAAGGACAAGACTGTGATGAAGGTGAGCTACGATATGGTAAATTCTAGGATGTGTACTGGAGTGGAGCACCAGAGAACCAGAATACTAGCGTGATGTTGACGTCTAAACCGTCGTGTGCTGAAAGAAGCGGGGGCCAGCAAGCGATAACCTTAAGAGAGGCGAACTAGTGTGAAGGTACTCTTGATAATAGAGGAAATGTTTGTAATCTAGAACAGGGCGAGAGAACAACTGAGTTTGGCAAAGTGAATCCTACGGGAACTCGGCAATATTGAAACTTTTGTTTTTTTCTATGTTCTAGATTGTTAACTTTAATATAATAATTTTAATGTGTCATTGATCTTCCTGTTGCATCTGTCCATCCATCTTTCACTGTGTCAAGTGTTGCATGTTACCTGGGAATGGGGGATAAAGCAGTTGAGCTTATGTGACGTAGCGATCATTAAGCTAAATATGCATATAGTACTCGATATATTAATGAATCATATATCACATTATCATAAAAAATGCATCAGAAATTCTCATGTACAGTGGGGTAGGCTATAACGAATCTAATTGGTTCTAGAACCTTGTTCGTTATAGCATTCGTTCATTATAGGATTAATCCGTTCCAGGCCCCCAACCCCAAATACAACCACTTAACACTGAAAAATATAATATCAAATTGTAAAAATTGTAAAAAAGTGCATAAATATGCATCTAAACCCTTGAAATAAAGAATATCATTAATACTTGTAATACAGAAACAATAAATTAGTAAAAAAAAAAAAAAAAAAAAAATTATAATGTTCGTTGTAGGAGTTTCGTTCGTTATAGCATTATCAATTTTATAGGTAAAACCGTTCGTTATAGGAATGTTCGTAGTAGGATCCGTTCGTTATAGCATACCCCACTGTATAATATTCATATTTCAAATGTTCATCATGACTGATCATAGATTATAAATAAATAGTAAAGCTCAAGCTGTCGGAACACATGAAAAAATAAATTCTAGGTGATGTATTTAAACAAATAGCGAAGGTTTCTTAAGTTATCTCATTAATAACAACAGGCTTGGATGTACTGTACTACAAAACAAACCCAAACACACAAACACACACACAATGTAACTGAGATAAAGACAGATGACAAAAACCCAAAGGTTACTGATCACAACCAGCTCTAGCAAAACTGCCTTCATATAATGTGTGGTTTTGTCTAATGTCATACTTTCTGGGAACACAACCCCAGGGTAAACAGAGGAGCTGCTGTATTCTATTTTGTGTGAGTTTTCTTGGGATTTTTTAGTATAGGATCAAACTGTTTCATTTAGTTAGTAACCAACACCCAAAAAAAAAAAGACAATAAATATTTAAGTTATGCCACAGCAACTGAAAGCCTTTCTTTAATTGGTTTTAGTTACACATCATGCTGTCATTATTTAAAGGTCTGCTGCTCTTTATCTATGGTTACATAATACAGTACAACAAAGAGATCATTATAACTTCTAATGGCACGTCTGCAGTCCAACTGGCTTTTGAATGAAGTCATTTCAAAGCCAAGGCTTTAAATAAACTGAAAAATAAAGTGTAGCAACCATGGCTAAATATGTCTCCCAAATGTTAGTAAATATTTTAAGAAAATCATTTGTCTTAATAAGAAATCAATTTTCTTCCTTAACCCTGAATGAACTATATGTTTATCCATGAGATAAAACACTTAGTCCATCAACCAATGATATATCCTGGAGATCTGCTTCAAATTGAAAGAGTATCCCCAATTTATCAAGATGATTCTCATAAGGTTAGGTGATGTACATAAGGAAGCACCAACACCATAAACAAATCCTCAGGTAGATCACTAAATACATACACTTCCACTGGACTGTCTGGCGTCATACAGACTCGCCTCCTCACAATAAAGCTGTAATAAACATTCACTGATAAAATCAAAATTAAAAAGAGACATTTTCTCCTTACCGTTTTCTTTCCCAGTTGTTCCATCACATATGTAGCCATAAACACCAACCATGAGCCAATTAATATACTGTATTCAAGAAAACAGCTTACATCCCAGAAAAAAGTTCTTGATGGTCATGTGTAAACTTATTAATTCACAATGATTTAATAAACACTACTCTTTCATAACTATAGTTTAAGTGTAAATAATACGGACTACCTACTGTAAAAGGTTATACTGTACTAACTAATGTCAATATAATTTTATAACTGGTATTACTGAGAATTTTTAAAGTACTGGTATTCCAGAAAGAAATTCCCATTTACTCTTTCCTTATAACCATATCTAAAAAAAAAAAGTTACTAATTTCCAAAGATTTCCCATTGATGAAACTTCATAATTATGATTCTTGGGGCAGGAATCTCTCGGGTTAAAATTTTGAAAACCAAATCTTATGATGTAAGACTCGTTACGGTAATGCCCAACTGTAGTGCTCATAAAAGGAAATATGCATAGAATGTCCTGGACTACCACACACCACTAACAAATTACCTCGCTTCTTTATAGAGTCGGGTCATATTTTCATCAACTTCTTTAATAATATCCAAATAAATACATCCCCTTACTTGTTGTACGTCTCTAAGTACAGACAGCAACCAACAACAACCTCAACAAGGTCAAACTTTCAAAACCTGAAGGTCTTCAAAATTTAAATGGAAATATCTTGCCATGTAAAACAGGATTGTAACTTGTTTAGCTTGGGTCACATGCATGAATGCAAAAAAGTGGCCTTTGGTTTCCACTCACACAGACACTGTAACCTCTAATACATGTGTTCTTATTCATGTTCACATTAATTTAATTATTATTAGAAATTTCAGCCTTATAATGGTATCTCTGAAGTGACCAAGTAATGATTGTAGTGCCACAAACAGGACATCTTTGTTCATTTCCTTTGAAAGCAATATGGTGCTAGAATGAACTACCAGTATATATGATATGTAAAGCAATGTTCCTGCACTCTTGCTTTTGTAATTAATGCCTTCTCCATCCACAACAATAAACAAATTGGAAAACCAGTCATGAGTTTCCTAAGTGGGTGCTGCCTCCCTTTACACCCAGCACTTAAATGTGGATACGGAAGATTTTTCAGTGAAGATTGAGCAGCAAATATTTCTATTTGAGATTTTACACTTACTTAAACAAAATAATACCCAAGTAAAATATTGTTACAAGAAAAGTGTCTTACAATGTACAAAGCCCAAATTTTTACCACAATTTGAACACTGCTTGGTCTTGGTCCCAAGCCATTCAGGCTTTGAAAGTTTAACTATTTACACACCCCACTAATATGCTCTTACAACATTTGTCATTAAAACTTAAATGATAATCTGCTAACAACTTATATCTTGTTTTACTGTACAAAATACAAAGCCCAAATATTATTTCTACATAAAGTAATTTTCTCTAAATCAGAATTTTTAAACAATATTCCTTTCACCAGTTATGACCCAAGTCAAAGGCATCAACCACTTTATTGTCATACGTATTTAGAGAAATTATTTAAAACGGAACACTTACCTCAGATCCTCTAGCAAGTTCAGCTTCATAAGTGAGGTAGTTGAGTGTTGCCACATAGTAACCTTCTTCAGGGACGTCACAGCGACGACCAGACACGTGCGGGCGACACCTTCAAGGAATCAGTAATTCATGCATCATCTACTTAGATTAAGAATTAAATATATTATTTAGTAAAAAATTTTCAACTGTTCCAAACCTTCTATATTATAATACTGTACAGTGTACATATTAAGGCATGAAGCACATGTACAATAGTTTACATTTAAGAGTACTGGTGCCTTAACCTACACTGAAATGGAAATAAAGAAAATATTTCACCTGTTCCTTTATAGCTAGCAATATGAGCAGCTTGCTTCATATTCATCTCACACACATACACAAAGTACATTAATACAGTAATGAAAATGAAATATTACCATATGAATAAAACAGCTTGTTTTAAATGTGGAAAACAGCTACAGTATATGTATGATAAACTATAGTAAAAGAGACTCGACTATAAGTAAGTTATCTGAAAGTGTCGTATTCCAACCTAGAATGGACGTATGAACCAGAATTCCATTTCTGGATTTAAAATTTTTTCTAAAAATGAGGAACTTTGAAGTGAAGGCAGTATTACCTGATGTATTAAAATCTTAAAGTAAAGTTAATAATAATAAGGAAGGAAAATGTAGAGAGGAGATAAAACCAAACTGTACTACTCAGTATAGTACCTGATAAAGCCTTTAAATATAGTAAACAATGACATCACCATCAGAGAAGACAAAGATAAAGACTAGTGTGTGTAACATTGACATACTTGCACTGGCCATTGAGAACATCACAGTTATTGTCCAGTGAGCCGCCCTTATCACAGTTACAAGGCTGACAACCATCTGGGTGCTCTGAGAGGCCGTAATGTTGAGGCAAACACTGGTTACAATCTCGTCCAGTCACAAAGCGCTTACAAGAACACTCGCCCGTTTGGACATTGCAGCCCATGTTATTAACAGTTCCAAGAAGATCACACGAGCAAGCTGAAATTAGAAGATTTTAGATGGTATTGAAATTTCATTAAAATGTAAATTTTATGTTTACACTGAAGAGTAATGATATTTTAACAAATTGTTTTCTAAATATCAAAGTGTCTATTATTCTTTCGAATAAGTTACTGTAGTTGTCACAATCATTAATATTTCAAAGCAATTATAGTTTACAGTGCAACAGTTAAACACACATTAACCAACCACTCAATGTAAAATGAAAGGACTAATGAACTTTTCCCACAATAAGTGGTGACTGAAGACTGAACTCATCAATATACTATCCTTGATAACCTCTTATCACTAAAAATTAAAAAGATAATAATACTGAATTCTGAAAAATTGCCTTAATAATCACAATAAATTAAGCACAAACACAATGCAAACTTTAACGAATATATACATAACCTCATTTAATGAACAATATTATACACATGTACAGTATCTAAATCCATCAAATGCATCATATTGAAGTCCTTTCATTTCACAGAAAAACAAACAAAAAAATATGAGGTTAGTATTGCAAATGGGTACCGGGTAAATAAAAAAAATTAGGCAACTGCCAATGTGTATTTCTAATTTCATAACACCAACATTAATCTGCAATATCTGTAAAAAATTAAGATTCCTCTCCCATAAAGAAGGTATCCCAGCTTGGCCACAACCACCGGAGCACATTCTATATTAAAGGAAGGACAGTTTGGTAATCAAGACACTGCTGAGAATAATGTACTACACTGATTCATGGAGATAAACAAACTAATGCCAACATCTAACCCACAATTACCATGGGAAATGAGAGCATCCACAGGTACAGTGGTTAAAACAACTACTGTGCATACTTTGTGGGGAACAATGAGACCATTGACGATAAATTTTGGTATACAGTACAGTATGACGGCTGTCACTAGTCACACGTAAAATTTTGGAGCATATCGACCCCCACCTGCACAGAAAGTTGTTTTAGCTACTTTACAAGTGTCAAGAATGATTAATCCCCATTGAGAGTACAGTACTAAATAATCTGTAATGTACCCAATATAACAGCACAGAATTTGTACATGATAGGGTCAGTGGCTTGCGATTTGACTTGTCTTGCCTAAAGCATACAAGACATAAACCAATAAATAAATTACAATAAAATGCCCTCGGTGATCTGTATCCTTCAGCCCATCCCCATACTCTCCACCCCACATGCTCCTCTATGCCCTCGGTGATCTGTATCCTTCAGCCCATCCCCATACTCTCCACCCCACATGCTCCTCAATGCCCTCGGTGATCTGTATCCTTCAGCCCATCCCCATACTCTCCACCCCACATGCTCCTCAATGCCCTCGGTGATCTGTATCCTTCAGCCCATCCCCATACCCCCAACCCCACATGCTCCTCTACTTATCCTCCCCATATAATCTCCCTTCTCTCCTCAGCTTATTGCCCCTACATCTACCTACAGTACTTCTCCCTCATCCCCCACATACATCCCTTTCCTTACTCCACACAATCATCCTTCTCCTTCCTCCAAACAACACACATCCATCTACTACATCCCTAATCCTGCACTTAACCACCCATCCCTACCTCTCCCTAAAGACTATTGCATCCTCCTCTCAATAACTCTAAAACCTCCTTCCCTAATTCCAGCCAAATGCTATTCTCCTTACTTACATAAATATACTTCCTCCTGTCCTGAAACAACCACCTTTCTAGTGCCACATGTCCACTATGTACTGAGCTGTAAGACTAGGTGCATCTTGATCTTATTTTTCCCTCCAAAACATACCCAACTGTCCTCCTTATAGACACAAAACAGGCATCCGTCATTAATAAAACACTAAACCTGGGATAATTATACTGTATTATGCTTCCATACATATATTATAGTATTACTGTTACTAACGGCAAGGTGCTATGGTACAATAGTGAGAATTATATTGCTGAAATACTACCATTAATGTTACCTACCACAGAGCAAGCATAGTAATTAAACACTTCACACTCTTCATACAGTATTATGCCATTATGTTTACATGGCAACCAATAAAGCATAGATGTCAATGTAAACTGTTAAAGATGCCTAGTAATGCACCTAAGCAGGTCTTTAAAAGTCAACATTCTTACGTTTACGAGGCCATTCTGATTTTGGTTGTGAATAATAATCTTCTGTGATTCCTGGAATGTCAACGAAATTAAGGACATAAGAACCTAAAACTATTACTGTACTATCATAGCACAGTACAGTAGTTTCACACACACACACACACACACATACACATATAGAGTAAATACATTTTGAGGTATACAAAGAAAGTTACACTAAATATAAGTGCTTAGATGACACTTTGTTTTACTGTATTATGAGAAGTTATTTAAATACTTAAAATGACCCTTCTACATGAGACTGTGTGTACCAGAGGGGCATATGTGCCAAAATTCAGTTTCTAGACAATTGCATGTAAAGTTTTAAATTACCTCCTGCATCATACTGTACATCCCTTCGTGAGCATACTTTTAAGTACCAACAGCTTTCATCTCAAAATCAGGTGAGTAGTTATTCAAATGTGTCTCTTCCCTTCCCATACTGTATTACTACTGTGAAGACCAATCCTTATAATTCTCTTGAGACATCACCTTAAGATCAAATAATAAAGAGGAGGCCGTGATCCATCCTCTAATGCACGAAACTACATACAACCCTCTTGTAGAGTTCAGTACAGGTAACTAGTGTTACGTAAATAAAATATTTCTTTTCTTACTCTGACATCCTTCTGGGTTTTCTGCTGAGAAGTTCCAGTATCCAGCCCTACAGCGGTCACACTTGAGGCCATCAACATAAGTCTTACAGTGGCACCTGCCAGCCAACAGACCACTGGCAACATCAGTGCGAGAATCACATATGGCATTGTCTATTGAGCCCCGGTTATCACAGTTGCAGGCTGAAACATAATAAATTCATGAATAAATAACCAAAAATTATCACAATGCCAAACACATTAATTACACTTCTATTAAATACATCCAAGCATTAATTCAGACATCACAGCCATCACATTAATAGAAAAAATCTCAACTTCATTAATGCTAAATTACATGACAGTTGATAAAAGTAAAGAGGACCTACGTTGGCAAACTTCAGCATCACGTATATCTCTGCTGGGATCTTGATAATAGAAAGGTACACATTCTTCACAGCTGCGACCCTGAGTGTTGTGAGAACAATCGTCACACACGCCACCTGAGATTCGGCCTGTGTCTTCATACACTTGAGGATCAAAGTGACAAAATGATGCATGGTTGTTACAGTTACATCCTGTAGGAGAGAAAGAAGGATATACTTATTTAAATAACTTCTGTATTAACCTAAGATACTTATTAAGCCTCAGACCTACGTTGGTGTTCCTGGCTTTTAACAGCCTTGAATTTGGCCTTCTAGTGTAATACATATTCTTGTGAAGTTTCATCAACTCTGTATAAATACAAGAGTTACACTCCAGACAAAAAACGTCTACACACACCCAGACACCAAGGTGAACAAACAGTCCCATACCATGATACAGGTACATATGTTTCCACCATACAGTATTAAAAACCAGACCCAGGATGATCTTGAAAATAGGGTCAAGGTGACCAGAATCAATATAGTCTTCATGTGGTATTAATGTCTACTCAGTATGTGTGTTGTGGCTCAGATCAATGTTTCTCGAGACATCTTTCAGACCAAATGTGTGACATGAAGAATAACAACTGGCAGCACATCACTAATATGTTTCCCATCTGGGGGTTGAGAAACAATATACACTTGCTCATATCCTGATCTTACAATGAAGTGATACTAAACCTGAAATCTTGGCATCAACACTGAATAACAATGCTTCATAATAATGTAATATGTTGTGCATACTAAAATGAGTCATAATGTTTGTTTGTGTTACTCCAGTACTCTCATACAGAAATTAATTCCACTGTTCACTAACCAAAATTATTGAGCATTATATCTAACATGAACTACTGTAATTATATAATGTTCGTATTTTCCAGGCTATTCAATTATTAAATACAAATATTTGTTAACAGGTAAGTATTATAAGGGGTTACATTACTTTTAGATAACTAACATGATGGACATACCACGACCTCATACACAGTCAAATTAAACACAAAAAGTTACATACTTTTACATGCATTCGATTCCTGTCCAACAGCCGGTCTCCAAGGAAGGTCATTATAAAAGTCTTCACAGTTTTCACAATTAAGACCTTTTGTGTTGTGTGTGCACTCACAGCGCCCATGTACCATATCTGGTCGATCTTCTACACCTTCCAGCGGCAGACACCGAGATGCATGACCATAGCAGGAACATGATCCTCTCACCACCATATCATATATGGCATAATAGTATTTTTCCTGTTAAAAAAAAAAAAAAAAAAAAAAAAAATTTAAGAACAATCAACTCCTTGAAGAGTATATACAGATACTGTACTCTGTATACCATTTCAACAGCTATTTCATTTTTAACATATGTATTTACAAATATTTATACCAATCTATGTAATTCATCACACAAATAGAATACCTTTATCTCTCTTCGGTTATCCAGAAGTTGATCACCGAGTGTATGAAGTTTGGTGAAGTTCACTCGCAGGTTAGTAATTTTGAGCAAGTTCTGAACTTCATCACTGTATGGATTCTCTATCTCAATATTTGGTGGCAGTACTCTGAAGATCACCTATTAGATAAGAAGTACAGATTAAAGAGCTGTATAATTAGCTTCAAGATAATGATGGCAAAGTATTACCTCTAACCTCTACACTACAGAGATGCTACTTTTAATATTTTATATGGCTAATGTCAGATGATTTCATTCAGCAGAGAGAGGACCCCATACACAAGGGGTTAAATACAAATTGGCTTGTCCAACATATACAAAGTTAGTTGTATATAATAAAATTTTCTGTAAGTGATGTATAGGAATCCTATTACCCCAAGAAGCCTGCACTCCATTTTTGTGAATTTAGGGTAATTCAGTCCTTTTCAGAGAAATTGCAGTAATTATTTTCTTGTTCTTTAGCGAAAATTTTATTGTGTCAGTCTCTATCAGCGAGCAGATATAAGAACAGACAGCCAGACAAATATATAGGTACATAGAGAGTTACAGCGTTCAATTGCAGAAGATGTCTGGTCAGTACAGTATTACGAATGACAATATTCTTCAACAGGCTACTGTCCCGTACAATTAATGGTAACACACAATATATATCATGACAATAATGCTTTGACATTCCTAAAAGATAATAACTAAAAAACTTACTTCACCCTCAGTGGACGGTTCAACAGCTGAATATCGAGACTCACAAACTACATCATTGATGGAGGTTGGAGGGCCCTGGGGAACTCCTGGGAAGGCATCATTGCAGTCATAAGCAAAGTACCGATACACCTGCAAAATAACACCCAAAAAACTTCCCTGCAAATTAATGTTTTCATAAATGCTACTGATATAGGGACTGTACTGTACATGCAAATATTTCAAAAAATCCTAAAGACAAGGTTTACATAAAATAAAAACAGGAAATGCCTTGTGTTAGTTGTTAATGTGTACAGTGACCTGGTTGACACATTATCAGTACCAATAATAATGTCTTAAACAGCATGTAGTTAGCAATCATTTATTAAGTCAAATGCTTGTACATATTTGCTACTCTTTTGCTGACCATTAAACATTAAGTAACTTCACAACAGTTTGTATTTTCCACATCTTTAGTGTTTATATACAATTATCCTTCATTCATTCTTATCAAAATCTATCATTTGTTTTACTGTTTTCAAAGAGGAAAACTTTAAAACATGTTCATTGATTCCACACATCTGTTGATTGACTAGTGTAATTACTGTATCATACTAACCTCTGTTACATGGTTGAAGACCTTAGTCGTTAAAGTGTAATAATAACATTACGTATACAGTAATTTTGTGTTAACATTGATTTTCTGTTGTTTTTCCATTCTTGCAAGCCTTTTCCTCTTAATTTTAATTTGTAATTTCACCACTTATCATCTTACTAACCATTCAGGAGGTTGATCTGTCCTCTTATTTAATTAACTTTATTGTCCAGTGATAGTAAAGCAGGAAACCAGATTACCCCGAGAAAACCTGCAATGTTTGCTAGAGTCACACTGGATAAAACCCTTCCCCCGTCTCTTCCAGGCCAGGAGTCAAATACAGGACACAGCAGCGAGAGATTAATTAATATCATGGTGGATTACATACAGAACTAGACTTAACTTGTGATACCCCTGATTGAGGACAACTGAAGCTTAATATAGTGAAAAACTTAATAAGAATATGAATGAAACTACCTTCCATGTCTTCCCGAAGTCAAATGATCTTTCAATAAGCATGGCAGAAGGTCTAAAGGTTCTGAATGTGATGATAAGATGTGTAAAATGAAACTCTGCCTCCAAGTTCAACTGGATGCTGCTGTCCTCTACGCCATTCTCACTCTGCCACCATGACCGCCGCTGAGTACTTCAGGAGAGAAAAGATAAAGTCATGTTATTAAAAATGGTTTGATGAGCAATTTAAAAAAATACCAAATAAAAAAATATCAAAAATATTAATAAATGTACTTTATAACCTACAGTACTATGTTGACGAAATAAGAACATGAGCCTTCAATCACTTCATTCAGAACACTTTGTTATTCCCCGAGAAGTGAACCACAGTATTTTAACCAGTATTTTAACTGCCTTGGTTACTGTTGAGGAGGAGGCAGACAACTGATGTGTTTATCTCAGTGTTGGAATAGTAGGCAGACTAGTGAATTTTCCCCGTGTCTGGAGAAATACACAAACGTGTTATTTAACCGTCATTCTTACCAAAGGATTACAGTCCACTGCAGGTTCAATAGTCACAGTACCTGTCTAGTACAGTACTGTGCAATACCTGTACTCTCATTTCTTAAGCATTTATGTACTATACTTTTAGTTAAGCAATACAGTATATTTAATCTCGTATGGATAGTCCGTGTAGTTGCTCCTCGACTTACGACGGGGTTAGGGACCCAAATCCAGGTCGTAAGTCGAATTGGTCTGGTCGAAAATGCTTAAATAATAGAAAATCTAAAATGGGTCTCTTTTTCTTCTCAGCACCACAAAACTCTCACTTTTAAGCTTGCCAGCCATTTTAAAGTAAATTACAAAGGAAAATTTTGTCAGTACACAGCGCAATCACTAACGTTGGGACTCGAAAAAAAAGTAATTTGACAAAATTTTGGTACTACTGAGGCGGTTGTGTCTGGGTGGTCGTTAAGTCGAGGAGTAGCTGTATATCATTTAAAAATACAGTTCAGGTATACACTTAACATTACAATTAAAACTACAATAAATCTGTACAGCAGTAAATAGATAAGACTTTTGTATTGACAGATATATAAAATGTCAGAAATAAACTGGACTTTAATATTTTTTTTTTTAGAAACACACTAACTTATCAGTAATCCACAAAACTTTCCTAGAAAGAGAAGTTCAATTTCATTAGGATAGGTTCATCTGCTTTCATAAACAATTAATTCAATAGTTTAGGGGTATTAGTCACAATATTAGTCTATCATTCGTCATTGTACAGTACCAGCTGTCATGAACACAAAACCTTTCACCTCTACCTAAGCTCTTCCACCTCTTCACATTATTTACTGTACTGCACATTGACAGTGGTTATGTTCTACTGCTAATATATTTTGCCTTTCACCACTCTGACATAGACTAGACTCTCACTCGAGTTCAATGTAAGAAGGGACGTAACTCTGCCAAATATCACAGGTTATCTTCAAGTACCCTGATGGACTCTTTACTAACATTGAACTCATGATGATAAAGGTGGAAATATCAAAATACTGTTCAGTTATGTTGGGTTGAGTTGGGTTGGGTTATTTACTCTGAGGTAAATAACTTCTATACCTTCCCTCTTATCCCATCTCACCACACCACACGCTAGCTATAAAGAGCTTGTACTCACCGGCGATCAAACCTATACACAATGTTGTCAATCTTGTGCGAGTATTGAGGGCTGCCATCAAACCGGGGTCGAGAATCACACCAGAAACATTTTTTCCGGTCCTTCAGATGAGACACAATGCAGTATCGCTCCTGTAGGGGGAGAGAAATATAATTTAAATTCATGTTAGGTTAAGACAGTACAAATTAGTTGGATTATTTTAAAGAGACATCAGCTTAGATTACATGAGGTTAAATTCAGGCTTGGTTAGTTTAGTAGGAGATTAACCCCTTCACACCAGTGATACCATTTTTACTATTTTATCTGACTAATGCCAGACGATTTTAATCATCCCAGAGAGGCCCTGTACACAAGGGGTTAAAGTTAGATTAAGATTATTGGTACACTATTCAGTATTAGTAAATGTCAGTTGTCTTTAAGCATGTAAAAACATCTACAGGAACAACTTGTACTGTATTTTCTTTTTCTCTTCTGTTTAATATTATCAAATCTTTTCCACTGGTGCTTGTAACCACACTTCTCAAATATTCTAAATCATATTTGTCTTTGAATGATATCCACACTACAGATTCTTTTAATACCTACTGGCTCTCTTGAGATGAATGTAGAGGCAAAAATTATACTGTTTAATAAAAGAATAACATATTAGTTATAGTGTCAGGGAGGAAAGGGAGTACTGTACTAACATGGAGGGGAGGATGAGGTACTGACAAGAGAGAATACTCACCCTCCTGTAGAGACCACAGGTGGATATAGCAGAGAGGCTCTTCTCACGACCTATAAGCAGGTTACCAGTGGCAGGATAGCAGGAACTCTGGTCACATGGGTGGGATGACCTCTGGCCATAACCTGTCTCACACACACACACATACACACAAACATGTCATTAGTGTCAGCATGGAAATATACCTGTGAGGAGGGTGGGGAGAGGGAGGCGGGACACTGAACATAAATTTTTAACCCAAACTGTCAACAAATGAAAGCACAGATACATGCTAAAATACACAAAATTAAATATAAAAGTTAAATTGACATGGATCAATGACCAAACTACATACAGTACCAAAATTGTCAACAATGGGACCTGTTTATTGTGATAAAAGTCCTAGGTAGCATACTGTACACACACGTGTGAGGAAGATGTACATCAGCTGTCAAATATTAACTACACTTATGACAAAGGGAGTGATGAGTGTCAATCAAACAATCCACAACTAACTAACACACATTAACATCCATTAAATTTTACTTCACATGCTTTACATATCAAAAAGGTTGTGCATCAACACTTCATATGAACAAATTAAGACATTGTCAAAACAGAATTTCATTTTCAAAGCCAAAACACAAATGAACAACTAGTGTACACCATTTCTCAAAACAGTGTTGTGGAACAGTGATGTCACGTAATAATTAAAATACATGTGACACGATATGACACAGTGGACACAACTGGAAGATGGGGTGGAGGATAGGGGAGGGAGGAAAGGAAAAGGGCAAGTAAACACGAGTCTCCTGTCTAAGAAGGGGTAGGGGAGGGAGGAAAGGAAAAGGGCAAGTAAACACGAGTCTCCTGTCTAAGAAGGAAGAAAAAACACACAATACACACTTCCATAATTGTGAGACACAGGAAACATCAATCTGTACATATGGAGATGCTGTGCATAAATAACTAGACGGGAACACAAAGCCATTCTAGACACATAGACGGACAAGTTTTAGGCAGCAAGACAAGTATCGTGCAGATGTTGGGAAAAGCAGCAGTTGGGGAGTGAACTATGGCCGCAGTGGTTATAATATATCACCCAACATACATTATCTAGTTACAAATTTGATGTTGAAAAGTGAAACGGTTTTAATGTTACGGCTGGGTAATGAGTGTGTGTGTGGGTGGGGGGACTGACCAAACAATGATGCACACGTCCCACACCCTTTGAGTGACATGACACCCCCCACCCACACTATGCAACCAGTTCGCTCACAGTTCACACACACGTCACATCCTCGCTGAGTTAGGTAACCTTGATATAATGACCACAAATACCACGAGACAGCCATGCTTGTCTCATCTTTATTCACACTGAGTCAAGTAAACCAAAATATTATTCTTTAGTGACAAATATATACTGACGAAACACATATCCTTCCAAACTCGTCCACGGCGAGGGTAATTGGCCTTACATTATCATCACAATGTCTATTTCAGAACAATAACAGATTTTTGACAATTCTAAGAGGTTGGGATGGTTTGGGCAAACTTAGGTTACAATGGGTTAATTGAACCACTTTCTAACTCTGACTGACTCCTGTGATGTTCTAAATGATTTGTGTACAATAGTTTACTCACCTCAGTCACCTGTGAAAGACACCGGATACTTGGATTCACTGAATCAAAACCACTAACCTGTGATGTTTGTGTTGACCGACTCTTGTCAAATTCTTAATGAGTTACAAATATTCATAGCCTAATACTTAACACATTAATGTTATACAAGTACTTCTTCACATTTGTCAACCATAGTTTCAGATGTATGATAATTACAATATATAATATGATAGCTACCTTGATGGACGTTAAATTAATATAAAGATGTATATCAGTGTCCTGAAAGTTTGACACTAACACTGCGATACAGCATTAATTTAACACAGGGGTTGTTGTGATGCTTCAATCGAAACGAGTGTGTGTGTGTGTGTCAAAGCAGAGAGCATATGTACAGTATGTGTCCCAATATAGCGGTGATGGCGAGGCACACCAGGCCAGGCGGTGCGGGCGTGGCCCTCTACCGCGCCCGACAGAGCTCCCACGACAAATCCAGTCCACACCCACGCCCTATCCAGCTCCCACGCCCTACACAACTCCCACATCTCAACCACATACCCACACCTGTCTGATAATATCTAGGCTTAACAGAACCAGAAGTCTTAGAAAAAAAAATATCAAAATGTACGTCCACCACCCATAAGTGGCGTGTTACCCCCGTTGACAACTGACGAGCCAAGTACACCTGCATGGTCTTCCTTCCTGGTAGAGCTGTTCTCATCAGACAATAAATGATGGTCACAGATACTAGGTTTAGGAACTACTGTAGACACCATCAAACTGTAGTCTAACAACATCTGTATTCTTTAATCTAATCAAAATATTTAAAAGTTAACACACACACACACACAACCTAACCTAACCAAGCCCACATACCCTACACCTAATCCAACTAAGCCATCTTAATTACCTTTACCTAAATTAACCTAATCCGAATAACCTTCACCAATCTACCATAAAGCTAACTTCTTACAAGTGACCTAACCCAGACAAAATAACCTAACCTAACCCAGACAAAATAACCTAACCTAAATAACCAAAATAATCTAATTTAACCCAAACAACTTAATCTAAACCAAATGGCGAGGGATTCTACAATCAAGGCCGGGGTTATGTTGTATTTCCGGTGGGTGGTCGACCCGGGTGCAGACTGCCTCCACCCACACCACCGTCACCAGCTGCACGCCCACCCCGCCTACACTCATCGCCCCGCCCAGTAATACCATCCCTCACCGCCATAAATATTATCCTAAACAAAACAAGTAATTGATATAATTTAAATTTATTTCTCTCATTAAAGATCCTCAATATTCACTTGGGCAAAATATAAGCCTCGAGACGGTGGTGAAGTGTGCACGATGAACTAACAACGAGACAGTGTTGGACGAGCTTAACTGAGTGTAATGTGTAGCGTGGGAAGTGACAGCAGCAGCAGCAACTGTGGTCACATACACTCCCTTCCATCCTCCACCTGTTCCATCATTCATTACTGTACTCGAATTCACACCTTCAAAACATTAGTTCTACCTTGTACTGTACTGTATATACAACGTACGGCAGCTGACGATACTATCACAAGTGTTGGGGTATACTACACTTCTTCCTGTCACTTTCTACACCTGTCTTCCACAACTCGCTTTATTTGTTCCCTTCACCGAGGTTTCTGCGCCCCTTCACCCATTAAGTGGGAAGGGAGTTAAGACGAGTTGCGAAAAATAATAAGGGATTAGAAGAGGCATTATCCCCTCCGGCGTTATCTAAACTAATTTATTTACAATCTCAACACTAGCTGCTCCACATATTACTTGATTTTACAACTGGTGGAGTATGTACTGTTAAGCAAGGCAAACTGTACAGACGCGTCAAGGTGTAAATGGTACAAGTTCCGTACAGGATTTAACAAGAAGGGCGATATATGATGATTTAGAACAGAGTCTGGATAATAGTTAAGCACGCTCCATCATGTGTGTCTGGGTGTAGAGTACAGTACATGATTGTTCCGTACAGGGCAGAGTTCATCCGTGGTTGTTTCTCCAGGATAATGGCAGACATCTGAGCCAACACAATTAACAGTTTACCTTACAACAGTGTGGAAAAAACGTTTGATAAACTGTGGTCAGGTCAGGTCACGTGTGCAGGAATCTAGTAAATGTGTGAATTATCAATATTAACACCGGAGTGACTCACCTGAGAGAGTCTACATCATTTAGGAAACACAGGAGTCATTATGAGCACAGTGGCCAGCAGTGACCCTTCCCGCCCACGTCTACACCTGTGTGCAGTGTCATGGTGGCGCCCGTCCCACGATCGTTGAAACCTGCTACTTCCCCGCCCACATGACGCCCACAACACGGGAAAAAATAGGGTGGGCCGTCGGTGGTAGACAGTTATGGTGCGGCGAGCAAGGCGTGGAGGCCCCGCGCCCAGCACTCTATAGTATAGGTAAAGCAACACTAGGTCACACTGTCCCATACTTACATACTGCACTCGCTCCATACTCTGTTTTACCAACCGAGAGAGAGAGAGAGAGAGAGAGAGAGAGAGAGAGTGATGGTGAAATTACCTTTCTCGGTGGTAATAACACACTCAAACACTATCAAGTCCCTTTTTCTAAATCGTCTCAATCATCTTAAATCATTTCAAATGGTCACAGTCAATCCCTCCCTCCGAGGCTCTTACACATCAAGTCTCACACACTTGTCGACAATTTACTTTTACAGTACAGTACTCAGCTGCATCACCTCTTCCAAGTACCACCCTTCCCTTCTCATACACCTCTCCCCTCCCCTTCCCAACGCAGGTACACCTCTCCCCTTCCCAACACAGGTACACCTCTCCATTGCCTTCCTCCAAAAAGTTTCCCTTAACCCTGTCCTGCCCACCACAGCATCCCCCCGGCCTGATGACCTGATTGTCCACCACCTCGTATGATTAAGTATAAAGATGTCAACTGATGGAAGGTGTTGCCCAACTTGTTCATCACCACCGACACACACATTTACAGCATCCGTCTACATTTGTTACTACTGACGACACACCTGTGATGACTCCACCTACCTTGTACACTGGGGCGATGGTGAGGACGAGGTTGGAAGTATAGTTCAGATCGACACAAACTGTTCATGCGTTTTAAATTTAATGTTATAGGCGTGCAAGTTATACAGTACATGCTGAGTAATTCATTTTTGGTTTCCAGCTTTCTAGAACAAGTTAACAATTATCCAATCAAACAATACAAGGAACAATAACGACGAAGAAAATGATAAATGTTTGGTTAAAGAGATTACAGACAACCACACACAACTTAACTGTGTACGGTGCATGACTTTGTTGCTGTGTTAGTGAGGAGTGAAGGCCGTCATCTGGAGCCACCACCGGGTCAACAACAAGAGTCGCACCTCACTAAACACTTCTCTTACGCTAATGGTTAATACCTTAACTAAACCTCATGGTATGATTAGACTAACTCAGTCAACTGCTCTACACCAATTATTACAACATTATCTACGACCACCGCCCTGTTATTAAGAGTTAATGACACACAACTAATGTTAACAAGAGTTTATCCACCACCACACCCAGAGCTGTTAATGACTTCACCTCCAGGACCGTCCAACATGTTCATATTACAGTAATCGTTAACATGGTACGCGGGAGGCTGTGGCAGTACACTTCATTGAATTTGTGGATGTTAATATTTAGTAGTAACTCGGTCAGCTAAGACAGCTAATAAAATTGTCAAAATGTGACATCAGGATCCTCTTGGCAGGGATGTTGGGCTCTACATCTTGAGGGCTGGCAGGGGAAGGTATACTACGTATGACATCCTGTAGAGCCCTCCAGTGATTTCTAAAGGGGTTTGTGTTTGGGGATCAGGACGTTTCCAATGTTAGGGGAGTTGGTCCCAGGGGTTTGGTATAGGTTAGTCCACACCAAAAGAAGGCGGCTTTAGGTTAAGCCAGAGAGGAATTATAATAATGGCTGGATTAATGAGCCAGTGTTCCGTCATGGTGACTGTCATCCTACCTGACGAGGCGCCAAACCCTCGCACGACGAAGGGATGCTTGCTGTCCACCTCAGAGATGATGGGGCCGCGGGCGAACTCCTCATCGTAGTCCTCTTCTTCATAGTCCAGTGTGTGTTGCTCCTCCTCGGTGTTCCTGTGGTAACTCTCACCAAATCCCACATCACCCCTCTGTCTACTGCCACCACCACCTCCTCCACTGATGATGCCTCCGCTGGTGTAGGAGGAAGAGGATCTGGTGGAGCCACCGCCACCACCTCCTCCACTGATGCCTCCGCTGGTGGAGGAGGAAGAGGAGCTGGTGGAGCCACCGCCACGGGAGTCATAGCGACGGTTGTAAGAAGTCTCGTAGCGTGTGTTGGAGGAGTGTGAGGACGAGGAGCCTCTCTGGCTCTCCAACGAGGTGGACTGTCCTGGGACACGGGAAGAATAGGTGGTGGTGTTCCTGTAGGTGGTCACGTTCGAGCTCCCGGGAACTGTGTAAGTGTAGGTGGTGAGTGATGAGCCTGGACGTGTTTGGGTGGTGGTAGTGGTGGTGGTTTTAGTGGTCTTAACGCGCCGTGAGATGGACGACCCTGGGCGGCGGACACCCGTATATTCATGACCGTTCCAGCGAAAATAGTCTTGACCGTCTTCGGTCTGCCCGCGATGCCGGTTGAAGTACGACTTATCCACAACAGATGGAGTCTCTTCCTCCCCCTCCTCCTCCACTGCCTTTTCTACCTTCCTCCCTCGACCTCGTGATCTCGATCTAGATTTTGATCTCGAGGAGCCACGCCTAGAGGATGACCGTCGGGAGGAAGAAGTGACAGAGGAGGTGGAAGAAGAACCGGTATCGCTACTTTGACCTGTGGAGTCAGTCTCTGAATTGACGGTAGTGTAGGTGTGGGAGGTGTTGTGGGCGCCCGAGCCGGGGCTGCCGTAGGATGTGTAACTCACAGTTTCCTGGGTCACCCCATCCGGGCCCGTCACCGAGGTGGAAGAGGAGGAGGAGGAAGAAGAAATGGCTGAGGAAGTTTGGCGGGATCGGCCTCGGTCTCTGCCCCGCCTGTTAGTAGACGGAACGTAGGACCGACCGTAGACGACGCCGCCCGCCCCCCGAGGATCAGACTGAGCCTCGGCGTCCCCTGCAGGAGGCCACAAGGAGAAGACAGTGACTACCGCAGAGCCCATACAGAGAATTACAGACTCCCGTACAAATGTTCCTTTACCACAAACTATATAATGCTAAAAATAAAAAAAAAATAAAAATAATAATAATAATAAAAATAACTATATGGCCAAAGTATCTTACCTAACCTAACGAGACCAAACCACAACATTTAATACTTGAAGCTAAACATAACCAATTAAAAAAATATAATATATATTTTTCTAAACAGTTCAACAAACCCTGAGAATTAAATACCTAACCCAAAACAATAACAACCTAATCTAACAGAGGTCAGTGATAGTTAAGTTAGGTTAAGTTAGGTTAGGTTAGGTTTTATGCGACACAGCAATTTCTACCCCCATACACCAGGTCACCGCCACCCATAACAGCCTCACAAAAGTTCCCAGGCAGATCAACCCATAAACACCCACTATGGCAAGAATTACTTAGACCTTGTACAAAGCAGTTTATGCAGGCGAGAAACTTTGTATATGAAGAAAATGGAACTTTCTACTTGGTGATACTTAAAGGTTCTACTTGGTGATACTTAGAGGTTCTACTTGGTGATACTTAAAGGTTCTACTTGGTGATACTTAGAGGTTCTACTTGGTGATACTTAGAGGTTCTACTTGGTGATACTTAGAGGTTCTACTTGGTGATACTTAGAGGTTCTACTTGGTGATACTTAGAGGTTCTACTTGGTGATACTTAGAGGTTCTACTTGGTGATACTTAGAGGTTCTACTTGGTGATACTTAGAGGTTCTACTTGGTGATACTTAGAGGTTCTACTTGGTGATACTTAGAGGTTCTACTTGGTGATACTTAGAGGTTCTACTTGGTGATACTTAGAGGTTCTACTTGGTGATACTTAGAGGTTCTACTTGGTGATACTTAGAGGTTCTACTTGGTGATACTTAGAGGTTCTACTTGGTGATACTTAGAGGTTCTACTTGGTGATACTTAGAGGTTCTACTTGTGTGATACTTAGAGGTTCTACTTGGTGATACTTAGAGGTTCTACTTGGTGATACTTAGAGGTTCTACTTGGTGATACTTAGAGGTTCTACTTGGTGATACTTAGAACTTGGTTCTACTTGGTGATACTTAAAGTTCTACTTGGTGAAACAACTAGATAGAATGTGAGGGAAAAGTACGGGGAGGTGTAGAGTGAGGGGGAGGTAGTGAGGGGGGAGGTGTAGAGGGAGGGGAGGTGTAGTGAGGGGGGAGGTGTAGTGAGGGGGAGGTGTGTAGTGAGGGGGAGGTGTAGAGTGAGGGGAGTGTAGAGGAGGGGGGGGGGTGGGTGTAGAATGAGGGGGTGGGGGGTGTAGAATGAGGGGGGTGGGGGTGTAGAATGAGGGGGTGGGGTGTAGAGGAGGGGGGGTGGGGGTGTAGAGTGAGGGGGTGGGGGTGAAGAGGGGTGGGGTGTAGAGTGAGGGGTGGGGTGTGGAATGAGTGAGTGGGGGGTGGGGTGTAGTGAGTGAGGAGGGGGGGTGGGGTGTAGAGTGAGGGGGGGTGGGGGTGTAGAGTGAGGGGGGTGGGGGGTGTATGGTTTTCGACTGTCTTTTGGGCCCGGTAGAACTGGGGCCCCGTAGAACTGGGTCCCGGTTGACCTATAACCAGACCCCCTCCCTCTCGGCTCACCTAACCAAGTACTCAGTATATCCACAACAATAGTCATCTTCAACAAGGTATCTTAACGCCACCAGACTTGTACACACTAACTCTACTCAGTGCTATATTAGGTCTTATCTGAACCATATACTTATATATGTACTGCAGGATATAACAAAGATATCATCATCATTAATATAACAATATATAATCATAAAAAAAATCAATTTGGTATTATATTCACTTAAAGATATAGAATGAAAGGCAAGGGAGAGGTTAAGTGAAGGTTGATATTCATGTAGTAGCCACCACCACCAGGCCTCCTATACCACCTTTTATGAGAGTAGTAGTAGTAGTAATTGCACTATTCCCCGCGCTGCATTACCACTAGTGTCGTTCATGAGCAACACGACGTGAACGACATATTATGATACTGTATTGGAGTCTCACACGTTGCTCCATCAAGTAGTATGGGACGACAACTCTCACGCACCCAAAGAGTTCAATGAGTTCCATAAATCGACGTATGAGTACCAAATATATATACAAGATGTTAAAAAAAAACCTAAATGATTAGGGAAAGATCGAGTAAAATATAAGCAACTTAAAACGGCGAGGAATGGTGGTGTATAATATTAATACTAGGCGCTGGTGAAATGCACACTCTTCCCCTCACCTGGTCCACACTGACTCCCTAACATCAACACAAACTCTACACCAGACAATCTAATCCTTCTTTTCCATCGATATATTCTCATCAAAACATGCACAAAAAATATCATCATGCCAATACAAAAGCTAGAGCAAGGAAAACTAGACAGACAATCTCACACGGCATAACCAGCGAGGCAGACAAACACATCCCTGTACGGAGCATACAAGGTGGATAGATACTGGTATGTGATCAGGCTTCAGGCAACACATAGAATAATGCTACGACACATGTTCACGGTGCATAACGAACGACAAGCTTGTGACAATCAGGTTACTACAGTAATTGTCAACCATTGAGCAAGTGTGTGGGATGCCTGGTGAGGAAGGACAGTACCTGGGCGTATGACTCTGGTGCTGGAGGAGGAGGTGCGAAACGTCTTGGTGCGGGTCCTGCCTTGAGGTCTTCGATGCTCCCCTACAGTTATCAGGTGTCGTTCGCCCTCATCTGCTCCGATGCCTTCCACATCCTGTTCCACCTCGCTCACACCTACGTAACCACACCAGGCACTACTACAACTTTAGCCACAACACAACACACTACACTACCACTGCTTCCTAACACTCCACCCATAAAACAGTATAACTTGTTGGTCGTCTAGCCTTGTCAGATGTTAATAAGTGAGGACCATAACACAAACACGATATGAGAGAATGTTGAGGTGTTGGCGCACACTCAAGTAATATCTTTATCTTAGCCAGCAGCGACACTCCACTCACCCACTCTAGATGTAGGTAATTATATCCATGTGTGTGGGGTTGCGATTACACGCATTTCCATAGAATTACAACCAATTATATATATTTCGTTTTTTCAATTATCAAATTCTTTTGTTCACTCCCGATAAAATGAAATCCTCAGATTGTTTACTTGCCACCAGTAAGGTCAGTAAGGTGCGGCGGACACCAAGTCAGGGAAAGACTCGTGTACTGTACACTGAAGTCGGAAAAACATAAGGATGATACTATAACGTATGCTACATATTGATTATGGGTGGGTCAGGTGGTAGACACACCTGGAAGGAGAGGAACAGGAGAGAGAATGGTAGAAGACCAACAGTGAGCGTGACAGAGAGGGTTTAAGATAACACGAAGGATTATATCCACACTCATATCCTCAATTTACAGACACAGTTTAAGTGAATCTTCGCCAGGCACTTTGTTTCACAACGCTTCACTCCAGGTCACAGTGAGTGCACACCGAGCCGTCAGGTTCGTTCACGTCAACCTTATCGTATAGCGTCAATATGTAATGCCTGAGACTAAATACTGCCACAGTGAGCAGCAACTAAATCCCCTGGTGACCCAAGGCCCGTGGTGCCTGCAGCAGTACGCAACTCCGCCTCCCACAGTAAGGAGTGGTCCTGGACAGCCGGCCAGCCACACAGAGTAACAGGTGCATGAGGTTGTCAATGAGACGGTGGTGGGGGCAGGAGCGCCTAGGGGCCCTGCTCATGCCCTGGGTCGTCCGTCACCCGCAGCAGGGCAAGATTAGCTGCCAAAACTGCTCCCTCACCACACACCTCCCCTCATCTCGGGCCTGGCTCGCACACCTTCCTACAACCTCTCCCAACTTTTCCTCTATCGATACACACAATCATTCTCACTTAAACAACAAACCCTCCAAACACTCTGAGGTGTAACCCACAACAAACGTAACAGGAACGACAGACACACACCATCTGGAGGCTGGCAACAAGGAAGCATCACAAGACAAGTGATCAACATAAGGGTGTTGCCAGCCTACACATATACTCCCCCACACACCTTTATTCTTACTAAATTACATGGTAATTTCTTTACCACCTCGGGCTGCTACCTGCTACACCTTCCATCCTTCTTCCATACTCCTTCCTTACACCTTCCATACTCCTTCCTTACACCTTCCATCCTCCTTCCTTACACCTTCCATCCTCCTTCCTTACACCTTCCATCCTCCTTCCATACTCCTTCCATACCCCTTCCTTACACCTTCCAGTCATTTTCATATAACTCCTTTACAAAAAAATATATATATATTTCGCCAGCAGGTCAGGTCAGGTCAGGTCAGGTTAATTCAATATTTTACTTTACGTCAATACAAGATCATTTGATACAAGTTTGTCCATCTCTTGTGTACTGCTGCCATCCTGAACACTGCAGCTGGGTGTGGGTACAGCTGGGTGTGGGGTACAGCTGGGTGTGGTACACTAGGTTGGTTGGGGTTAGGTGACTAGTAAGGTGATTCATTTACTGTAACCACTCGCTTCCGCCCTCTTGACAGTACACACACAGAGAGAGAGAGAGAGAGAGAGAGAGAGAGAGAGAGAGATGGTGCGTGAACAAGAAAAGACACTTTCTCCTATGCCTGGGCGGATACCAAGATGGACTGGGGGCAACACCCACCCCATTCCCACCATCCATACTCCCCCACACCCATCCACAATCTCCCACACACTCCCACCACACCCATTCAAAGTCTCCCACGCCCATCCACACACTCCCACACCCATCCACTCTCTCCCACATCCATCCACACACTCCCACATCCATCCACACTCTCCCACACCCATCCATTCATACCTCTCACTCTCTCGTACTAACCCACAGTCATCCACCAAGCCACATCCACATTCTCCCCTACCCACACAATTTCTTGCCCATCTCTCTAGTCCCTTACTCAGCCACCCACTCTCTACCCACCCACCAAACACTCAGCCACCCACTCTCTACCCACCCACCAAACACTCAGCCACCCACTCTCTACCCACCCACCAAACACTCAGCCACCCACTCTCTACCCACCTCGCACAATGCCACCTTACTCATCCATGGCATTCAACTCTCTCCAGACAGGGACGGACGGACGCTCACTCGCCTTATTAAGATAAACAAAGTATGTGTGGGTGATAGGGTCTCGAGAAAGCATACCAAGATTAAGGTAGGTGACCACGACGAAGGAAGGACGTTTGGAAGAGAATGAAAGGAGAGAAAGAAATGAAGGAAGAGGGAGGGAAGGTGAGAGTGGTAGGATTAGTAGGAAGAGGAAAGAGATGGAGAGTGAGGAAAGGAAGGTGAGGATAAATAGAGAGGGGAACTGAGGAGGTCGAGCATAACAATAGGATGGAAGGAGAGACGACGGGTAGAAGGACAGGGTTATGTAGCTAGAGGGAGGGCTTGGGAGGGGCTGGCGACTAGCAAAAGAATAGGATGGGAGGAGAGGGATAAGAGATGGACAGCGTCATGTAGCTGGGGAGGGAGGGAGAGACAAGGGGGGGTTGGTGGTGGCGGGAAGGGAGGGAAGAAGGGATGGAAGAAGGGAGGAACGGAATGAGGGAGGGAGGGAGGAGGGAGGGAGGGAGGGAGGGAGGGAGGAGGGAGGGGAGGGAGGAAGGGAGGGAGGGAGGGAGGGAGGAGGGAGGGAAGGAAGGGAGGAAGGGAGGGAGGGAGGAGGGAGGGAGGGAGGGAGGGGAGGGAGGGAAGGGAGGGAGGGAGGGAAGGAAGGAAGGGAAGGAGGGAGGGAGGGAAGGAAGAAGGGGAGGGAGGGAGGAGGGAGGGGGAGGGAAGAAGGAGGAGGAGGAAGGAAGAAGGAAGGAATGAGGGAGGGAGGGAGGGAGGGAGGAGGAGGGAAGGAAGAAGGGAAGGAATGAGGGGGGAGGGAAGAAGGGAAGGGAATGAGGGAGGGGGAGGAGGGAGGAGGGAGGGAGGAAGAAGGGAGGGAGGGAAGGAAGGAAGGAAGGAGTCATGTGGGGAAGAGTAGGCACTATCAGTCGCCGCCCCCGACACTCCGATAGTGACCACGCCCCCCACTTCCTGCCTGCCAGGGGTCACGACCACTCTCGTCTGCTCTCCTGTAACACTGACTCCCACTCATCACACCACTCTGCTCCTCGATATCCTGGTTTACTCTCGCCCAGCTGTGCCACTAAGAGGGTTCATGCTGTCTCTGCTCAGTCACGTTATTGCCCACTCTGTATCGGTATTTTTCAGGCTAAATAAACTGTATCAATAACTGCCTAACCTAACCACATCGGTACCTAAACTACACTACCTGACCTGATCTCACCCACGTAACCTACAGTCCTAGACAATTTCAATAACATTCCTTGTCAAACCAATGTTATTCAACAAACTCAATAGTTTTACAAACAGTACCTGACCTAACCTAACCCAGCGTAACCTATCCTGACAGATACAACATCAATATCCACCACACATGACGACAAACACACACAGTCGATTACAATACTGTAGATGTGGGGATAAAAAGCTAGGAGTGTCTCATTGTCGTCACCCACACGTCTGGTCCTGACTACTAATAGCTACTGTAAAAAAAAATATATATCTTAATGTCTATAAACAGAAGACAAACTATTTGTCGTCATCAACATCATTATATCATTGTTATTCCTCCCACCACGGGTGTAGGAATGTTCATGTTGGTGACATACCCAGCGACCTGATCCCCCACCACCCTCCCTTCCCCTACCACATACAAACACTCCTCCCTTGGGACGGAACCTTCCCCCTTCCCCGCCTCTTTCCATCTCTCCCTGCACCCTCCCCCTTCTCTCTGCACCCACACATGCTCCTCAGTCACTAAGGGTATTATCACTGTTCACTGCCATACACAGTGATAGCACCCTCATGAATGTGACCTATACTATTATCCCCTTTGTGTATGAACCTCTGTCCTGCGTGGCAGTGAACAGTAACAGCACCCCCCAGTGTCAAGACCTGACTGAATTATTCAGATAGGCAAATTGTACCTCAATTTTTGGTAATAAAGTTGTTAAACAAACTAAAACTCTAGCCAGCCCCCTTCATCCTTGACCGAATCTCATAAATCTGAGAGAGAGAGAGAGAGAGAGACCTTTGTGGCAGGAGCACCGTGACCCACCGACAACCAGTAATTAACTCTCCCCATGCCCCCCCACTGTTTCCTCCTCTCATTTCCTTCTCATTTTGTCGTTTTAAATCCTCTTAGTCCGTCTTTACCTCCTTTGCTCTTCTACTGGTTTAGTTATCTACCAATGTACTCTTACCCTCTTTATTTCCTCCCTCCATATATATGTGTAGTCCCCTCCCTCCCCAACCTACTTGTTGTCCACACCTGAGAACCCCCCCTCCCTCCTGCCCACACCTGAGAGCCCCCCTCCCTCCTGCCCACACCTCTTACCCCACACAGTTCACCATGTAGAGTAAGTCTATCATGATGATACTGTGTTTCACGTGAAGGATTAAAAGTCCATAACTTACTAGTAACATGAGACAAGTTCAGGCGAGTCACAGATGCTGCCTTCCTTAAGTACCAGGTGACAGGAGTAGTGTTTATCATTACGTGTTGTCACCTGGTCCTCTCTCTCTCTCGTCAGCTCATCATTCCATAAGACTTCATAGTGCTTCCCTGCTTACTGTTAAAATTATCCTCTCCATACAATATATTCACTTCATCTGTTTGTATTGTAAAGAATTAAGCATCGTGTGTTATTCTTTGTACACTGACGCGTACATTGTAACCTGATGCAGTGGTATACAGTATATATAGTACCTAAAACTCAGAAATAAAGTTAATAAATCCTAAACCACTATTATTATTTATTGCATCATTATCCTTCCTATACTAACATTAAGTTTATCGGTTTGTTTTACTAAATAATAAAATAACGCAAATAATATAAACCGTCCCGGGGGAGTTAACTAAGAGTGTAATAATTAAGTCAGAATAAAATTAGGATCTGATTTTCTAGTACAGTATTAATTATAGTCTCGTATGGCCTCACTATCCGGGAGTGTTTGTTCACGACCACCACACGTGAGACTACAGCGCCCTCTACACTCACCCAGGGGTTGGTTGAGTCATGACGTAATGTTTCTGAAGAAGATTACAAACAGCAGCAGCTAAACCTTTCCTCAAGTACCTACGTTACGTTTAGCTGGTTGTGTTTTCTAAAGTCACGTGCTTCAACCAATCATAGCTTGGCTGCCGTGCGCCCTGTAGCACGTCACAATCATTCATCGTCAATAATCACGGGACACCAAGTTACGCCATTCCTTCATCTACAGTACATGAAGTAGGTTGAGGATCCCCCTATAAACACAATGCTGGCTTTCGTGTATGACCCAGATCCACCGCCATACTCTCACACTCGTATACTCAAGAATGAAGTTGCTGTATTAATTTATTGCGAGTTTTATGCCTCCCCTACAAGACATGCGGAATATATTTATATAAACAAATATAGGAGCTCGTAGACGGGTGAACTAATACAAACAACAAACACTATATTCGCCATCCAGTCGGCAATTATAGTTATGTTCACACCTCAACATTCTCTCACGCATCTGGAAAGTCTTGTGGAGTAAAAACCAAGGGAGAGCTTCACGCTTGAGTTCTCTCCAGTCCGCCTCACACAGTACCCAGTCTCCCCCAACGGAGCCGCGCGGGAAAACGTGGTGCAAAATTTGAGTTAGTTTACAAAGCTGAAACAATGGCAAAGTCACTAAGCCACAAACTAAATTATACCAAATCACACAAAATTTAAACACCAGAAAACACCCAATTAGTATAATAAAACTAAGCATAAAAAAGGCTAGTACTATAGTAGTAAACTGTCACTAGTTACAGAAACGTCCCACACTCGGGCGCCACACTCACCTGGACAAACGACCGCAAATAGTATTAATAAACATATTCCGTACAAGTGAATGATCTTCATGGTGACTGGTGTGGACTAGACGGCGAACGATGCACACATGAGTGGCGGAGGTGGCGTGGTGATCGCGGGCACCAAGCGTAGTCAAACTGGTGGCTGCTGCACTGATGGTGGTGGTGACCCTTGCTGATGACCTCTGACGTCTAATTCACACACACACACTGGCTGGCTGGCTGGCTGACTCTCTGCAACACCAACAAACACCACCAGTCAATACTGCCTCCACAACATGACAATATATACAGTATAATCTTTAGAATCCCTCATGGAGTCACGGTATATGGATTATCATTTACGGTTGGATTAGTTAGCTCATAATAGGTACAGTTTCGTTCGTTAAGTTGTGTGGGTAAGGTTAGGTTATCTAGATTAGTGACGTAATGTTAAATAGTTTAGGTTAGGTTTGATTATTTAGGTTAAAAATATATGGGTGTAAAGGGATGCGATGGCTGGGTGGAGACAACACTCGCCTCCTATATTCAAAGTCATTGCTTCGAACCCCCGGTCCATCCAGCTCGGGGACACCAAGGCAAACCCAAGTTAGCATTCATCGACTACGACTAGGGTACAAGTGCTCCTGGCAGGCGATCGGACATGTCGTCAGGGAATGCACCTACTGTCAGGAGCCAGCGGTCAACACACTGGAACAGTATCTCCTCGACTGCGAAGTCACACAGTCTCCGAAACTTCCAAGAAGAACACACAACACCAGCTGCCACTCTAACCCGAAAGGCCCAAACAAACCACATTCACCACCTTCTCCGGGTCATCACACGATACCCACCACCCAGACAGCTTAGGAAGTATCCTCCCCCAGTAAGTGCGGACCCCAGTTCGGGGGGCGCACCACTCCGAAACTGACCACGTCCAAGAGTGGGGGTTGGTGGTAAGCCTTCACTGACCGAGAGTCCGCTCACACTTGCAAACCTGCAGTATCCTTTCATATCTGTAGGTAGGTCAACCTCCAATCCCAAATCCGATCTGGCTGCTCCAAGAACTCCAGTCGGAACCACCAAACGGGCCGCCTACAGGCAAAGGCCCGTGTCGAACTACGGTCCGACAATCTCAACAACAACACAACAACTTGGGGCAGTGCAGGTGGTCGCGTGCAGTGCTGACCACATGTCTCCTGTACCAAAGGCTTAGTTAGTATCAGTACGCGACGCTGTGTCCACGGTAACGCCTGTTACTGTATATCACGAAGCGTTATTCCTAGGCCAGGATTAAATTCCATACAAAACTTTTTCCCAATTCGGATGCCTCTTCCCCTGTAGGCTACTTCGAATTGGGGAGTTAACAAGTAAGTTTGACTATTGACACATGAAGGTGGACATCAGAAGTAAACAAGTAAGCGAGTCAGCTGTCGCCTGACTTATGACAACACGCAATAAAGTTGTGTCAACGTGACTGAACAATGGAGGGATCCCAAGCCCCGCCCAACTGGGTCAGCGGCCAATCAAATCTCTTGAAATTCACACACCTCCACGCTCCTCCCATTCACATTTAGCTTTATCGTGACACTCGTTGATATATCACTTGACTGGGTACTTCTTGAGACATTTAATACGATTTTCACTTACGACGGAGCCTGCAGTTTTTTACACAGTATATCACGCTCAACTGTGTCGATGCCTTTTTGTAAGTAACGTCACCATTACATGTGAAATTTCCCTGAACTATTTGGGATCTGATATACTGTACTTTATATACAGTACCTGTATGTACAGTATATAGTCAGTGAGGTGGATCAAACGTGTTATTTGTGAGTCCCCAAAGCCCGATTGGTAGCTGTACAAAGTATTATAATCACCTGAACATACACTGACTGCTCAAGAATTTTGGAAAAGGTGGACATGATACTTACTGGCAGTGTCCCAGCTGTTACTTCAACAATAATCGGAGAACAGCGAGGGTGACCGTGTGGTAGTGGGTGACCTCGCCTGGGTGCGATCACAAATATTGTGTACTTAAATTTTGTTCCTTAACTGGTCTGCAGAAACCTTACCTAACCAGGATTGTTCTTGTGCAATTTTGATGCCATTGTTAGTTTTTTGTGTGATTCCGTTTAGTAAGCAAGTTACCTTGGAACACTTAAGCAAGTAACTTTAGCAAACCGAAAAATAATGAATATAAGTCACTTTACGTAAAGAATTTATAAAAGACAATCTGGTTGAAATGTTCCCTTTGAACTGTGTGAAAGCTTTCTGCCTATACAGTAGTCACAAAGACAGAGGTTTTTATTCTACCTGCTAACCATATTTGGAACATCTGCACGTGAATTGAAATCCAGTCTAGCGTACAGTATTTACATTTTATCCCTTAACTAATGACCTGTGAACAAATCTAATCAAGACAGTGTTAGTGTTATTTTGGAGGTTATTCTTGTGTTTCACCTAATGTCAACAAGTTAAGCTACATTTCTCGTTTCCAGTTAAGTAAGATCTAACGAAGTAGCCAAAAGCAATCCTGATCCAGATTCTGTTTACCGAGCGACTTCACAGGACTGTTCCATATTTTCGGTTTTAAGGTCCTACAACTCTTGAATCTCTTTTGTGAGGGAATGAACGATCATAGTTAATTCTTACAAAACAGTATCTTAACACGAGGACGGAAAGAGCCGTTACCTAATTTGTACATAGGTGTGACCTTTTTATTCACACTTGGTAGTCGGAAACATGCACCTCTACTCCACCCTTGGCAGGATGATAGTCCCTCCCTCGTAGCGTTGTTCCACCATCAGGAAGTGCACCCTATAGTGACCTCATTCATTGCTGAGTGCACAAGGGTTAAGTGTTCGAGCAAACACTATCCCTCACTTGGATCAGGAATCGAACCAGTGACCGTTCATTTGGACAGGAAAGGCTATCAACCGAGCAATGAGAGCAGCTGTGCTTTTTTTGTTTTTAGGATGGCACTTTATAGTTCTCAATTTAAAGTCCCAAAGCATCGCCACGTATTTTCTTATGCGAAGGATCTGGTAAGCTGACGGATTTTTTTTTTTACTTTAAATTCTACCCAACGTGAGTCAACAGCAGTGACAACACTCATCTTTTACATAACCCGGAAATTCTACACCTGGATGAACACGAGAACACTTGATATTCTGTAGTGTGTAATGGTGGTGAACAAGGAAACAAAGATCATTTTCGCAATATTTTATTTCTATATATCCATCAATAATTTACCCGCCACCTTAATAATAGTGATAATGTCGTTAGCACACTAGCCATGGAAGTGCACTCACACAGCACCACCAGAGTTGACAAAAAGATGGTACTAATGTGCTGGAATGATGCAGATGAACTGAGCTCACTGATAATGTTATCGCCTAAGAACCAACAGCTAGACTAGAATATAATTATGTACTTTGACGATTATCAACTTGCTTTCATTATTATTTATAACTGGGCCCATTAGATGGTCATCACACATAATACTGTGCATTTACTCGTGTCCTAATTATGCAGAGGTACCATAGTATTAGTCTGGTTATCACGTTAATAGATACTGGGCTGGCTCAAGCTTCTCATTTTTGACGCCCGAGTAGTAATCAACGCCCACCACAGGATCAGCGGGTCATTTTTATTAATATCTTTTAAAAAGCAGACCGGCACTGCTAACCAAGTCTCTCAAGAGTTCGTAAGTATTTTTTTCCTGATAATTAGACAACTACGAACTTATCAAACGGCTAACCTAGAGGAAATATATAGAAACATCCAAAATTACATTAAAATTGCACTGAAACTCTACCGTATTTATTTAAGCACCAGAACCTGACACACAAGACGTCATCACTTCATGGTGTAATACAGGCTCCGTGATTAACATTTTCTTACGTCTGTGGCTGCGAGTCCTCAAGTCGCAAGTAGGATACACGTGAAATTGGTACTTTAACAGAATTATTAGAAATTGAACACGGGAGCGCTCTTCTTCTTTGTATCTGTTGTAAGTGTTACTCCAAGATGTCCTTAGCCTAACCTTGCTGTTCAGGCATTGGTGGTGGGGTACTGCCCTCCCCCCAACAAGTAGCTAGAGGCTGCCTGCCCGGCTCATGCCGCCGGTAATCGTAACTTGCTACAAGGACGCCCACTCGACTCTTTCCAATAACACACTACATAATCACTAAGTAAATACTTTAAATTCACAGTTACTAACCCGCCGCATTCAATACTCATTATTGTTAATCAAATGGATGAGGTACTAGAAATGACATTTACTTCATTATACGGTGGCTACAGGTACAACAAATACCACTTGACTGATGAGATGATGAGAAATAATGAAACAGCTCACGAATCATGTATAGAATTTCACAGGTGTATCTGACTCATTATCCGAAGATCGGTAAGTTATCTCAATAGTTAACTAGTGTACTGGATCTTAGATATTTAACACTGCAGTAAAAAGATAACAAGTAATTATTAATATCAACATAGAAAGATCACAAGGGGGGGTTAATTATCGTTACCTTACACATGTGAATCACCAATAATGTAGGAGCCATACTTTGCCCAACTTATACTCCCTTGCCTAGTGTTTTACAGAGTTTTCCGGCGTATTAGCGCTGTACCCCATATGCAGGTTAAGCGTGCAGCACTAAATATCTGCAAGTGTTGATGACTTGATGGTACAGTACTAGTAATGGTACATAAACACTTAGGAATAACTATAGCTAACAATGGTGCCTTCATTTTGGTTAGGGTCACTATAACATACACCTGGGGCGGGGGAGGGGGGTGTAGTTAAAGATAATGACTGGTAGTTGAAGCAATATGTGACATCTACTCTTGTGGATTAATAATACATATACGAACCTGTTCCTATTTTCTCGACACTTTTGACAATATACTACAAGACGTTAGACACCTACTTTGGAGTTATATGTCTATAATTTGTTTATGCATACAGACGTTGTTGTTGTTTTACTAATACAACATGAAACACTATAATACAGGGGAAATCTGAGTGAACGAACATTTAAAATCCTTGTCCCTTACTTACATGACCCTCCAGTGGATAGTAAGCACCGCTCAAGTGGCACCCAGCCTCATTCAAGTGGCATTCAGTTCAATTCAGGTGCTACCGTCCCACTCAGTTGGTACTGTCCCATAAGTGGCACTTCACCCCATCTAAGAGGAAGTCCACCCAGGTGGCACTCTGCCCTACCAAGTGGCATCTAGTCCCATCCACGTGACACTCGGTTTAATTCGTGTTACGTACCTAGATAAATTAAGTGGTAACCAGGTTCATTCGCGTGCTAGCCAGCCAAATTAAAGAGGCAGCCTACTTCATAAAAGTGGTGGTCAGCTACAGTACTTTCAAGTGGTATACACCTCACTCGAGTGGGACCCACCTCACTCGAGTGGTACCCACCTCACTCGAGTGGTACACACCTCACTCGAGTGGTACCCACATCAATCAAGTGGTACCCACATCAATCAAGTGGTACCCACATCACTCAAGTGGTAAATAAGTTGCTAATAACTCAATCACTATTGTTGATCTTTGACTCGACTCACCAATGATGTTCGTAAGATGTGTAAAAGACAAAGACAACGACAGTAGCCACACGAATACGAGTGTGACAAGACACTGATCCACATGGGGTGAAAACGTCACACAAGTTCACACCGACGTAGCAATAAAGGTATACTATACACACAATGGTATAACACTAAAGTGATTTAACCAATGACTCGAGAACGCTGTTAAAAGCTTGTTTACATTGGGATCCTGCGTGAGGCTATAGTTAAATCTTAGTGGTTCCTAATTAGGTTAGGTTAGGCTAGGTTACTTTATCTTGTATACGATTTATTGCTGTAGTTTCACACGTCGGTGATTGCAAACATTAGTCGAATGCTTGTAGTGACGCGACCTTAACGTTATTCTATGTAACACTACTGTAACTTGACTATGGATAAAGATACTGAACTCAAATTACTACACTAACAGCTAGCCTAGTTCATTCACATTCATGGTTAGGTTTAAGCTGAATTAATACAGGAGTAATCAAATCTAGCTCCAGAAGCTGCTTCATACCGGTCCTTTTAAACGATGATCACTATATAATGCAAATAATAAGTTACAAATTCACTTGGATTAACATTTGCTTCAGTGGTTAACTGAAATACATAAACCCTTTTTGAACACGAGTTTTAGTTACAGGTGTAACAAGGTGGGCGGCGAGCTGTGGTTCCCTGGGGGAGGTTTAACAACTGTAGGAACAGTCTTGTCTCTTACCTTTGGAGCAGCCTAAGTGTACCACAACCACTGAACTCTCTTGCCGAATTAAATCTCAAAGAGAAGAGTGAGCTTCTGTAATCCTTGTACAGGTAGTGATGCTGTGGGACAGGTCCAAAGTGCCACAGTAACATGCACCACAGCACTGAGGGAGGAGTGTCAGGCAGCACACCTCCAACGTCCACAGTCTCTAGCACACTAACTTGTGATCGCCCACTCACTGACAGGGTTGCCGAGCTGGCCGCTACAGTGTAGCACTTTGTCGCTAAATTTAATATACTAATACCTGTATAGGTTTTCAATTAAGAATCAGAATGATAAATTTTTATATTCAGAAACATATGCATAATTTTACATTAGGTATTAATTATATCTACAATATTTTTCATGTGACAAATTTATATTAATACATTAATTTTTGGTTTTCAATGTTATTGGAAATACATCTAAAAACTACTAAGTGAAATAATTTGCCAAACTCAATTTTACAGCCATATCCGGTAACAAATTTACTTAGTTATTTTCAGATTATTTAGAATTTTATGCTATTCGTGTACTGTACAGTATTACCTTCTAACCTTCGTTGTCTTAGCCACTGTTTATGCCGCGTAATTGTTTCCAGATGTTGTGGATATTATTCTTGGTATGAGTGAGGACATCATTAAATGATATATAATAACAACTTTGTTACTGATTTGCAACTTAAATTATGCCCACAGCATTGTGTGCGTGTTTATAAAGTATTGTACTGCACTGTATGAACAAATCTTAGGTGCATTTGTGGTCTTTTTACTCAATCTTATTTCTTCATCCAAAGGGTAATGCTAAATATTCTCTACTAAACACTGTACACTCTAAGTGTAAAATTTCTTTAAGTACTAATTTATATACCAATTCCTCCAAAGAGTGGGCGTGTGGGCTACACCATATATTGTCAAAATCATCTACAAGCATTAAACTTAAGTTATTTGATTTCCCGTTCATTTAAGAATTCTATTTTGTGTCAAAAACTTCATCTGATAACAATGAGCAGCATGTTTTTTGTCTATTGTATATATCTGCCGCTGAAAAATACTTCATAGCGGATACAGTTGGCGTTGGTAACGGTGGTGGTGGCTGGGCCCACCCAGTGAGGTATACCTACCCAATGCCTCTTTAAAATGCAAAGCCTCCTCAAAAAATGAGCTAGTTAATTTCTATAATAATAATAATTTTCATCTTTAGCGTCTTATTAACAATGTCAATAGTAATCACACTCTAAAGAGCAGTGAACAAAGAGCCAAGAGAGATTCAGCTGAATTGCACTGCGGCGGGCATAGTGGTTTGCTGCCGTACCCATCTCAACCCCGATTATATTTTCAAAATCATTTTCAAAGTATCTGGTGCACAATGAGACGTGTGATTTTTACACATAAAACTTTTTACAATCAGTATCTGTCCGCCATTACAGTTGGTTATATTGATGTTTTAGTAAGCTGTACAGATGTTAATGCATGGTGAGGGAGGAGCCCCGCCGGCGTGAGGTACGATAACTACACACTCTCTACCTCGCACACAGCTGCCATCTGCTTGGAGGTTTTTTTTTCGGATTCAGTATTTTATTCGGTAATACAAGTAAAAGTACATATTTACGTAAACAGTGCAAGCGCAGTAATTTCAATATGGCGGAAACATAAGAACTGGTGCTTTAACCTATATATAAATAAATATGTAGCTAAAAACTACTTCGTTATTGTAATCAGTTAGTACATGGATCTCTAATATTTCCCTTTGTCACTATTTATGGTGATTCATTGTGCAGTATCTTGTGCTAAAGACAAAAATTACCGTAATACCTAAACTCAATAATTCATAACTGAATACTGTACAGCGCATAATTTGGACATTTCAATGTAAAGTAAACGATGGATTCTTGTGTCAAATACCTTATAAACATGATTAATGCTTATTAACCTTAAACTTGTTTCTGAAAGCAGACGATCCGAGCCTACGTTAAGCTTATGAAAAAGTAAATAGTTACCAAGTCCTGTTCATGTTATTTTTTTTTAACATTGGCCATCTGCCGAGCCTTCCCACAAGACCTCCGCCCAAGACACACCCAATTCATTCATCCGCTCAGTCAAGAACTACTCTAATGACGCCACGCCCACACCAGCACCTTCGCCCACTCCAGCAAGAATTACTCTAATGCCGCCCACACCAACACCGCCCACTACAGCAAAATAAATGTCAATTGAATATAATAAGATAACGAGAGGAAGGAACATTAACATACACACACACGCGACTGTACTACAACATACTGTAGTTAAGACAAAGATAAAATATTGCTTCATAATTCACATTATTATTTATTGCCATTAACACTTAATTAGAATAAGAAAAATTACTTTATCTGATAAATTCATATTTTTACTTGGGTTTGAGCTGGGTGTTACTTACGTTACTGACAAGCTTTTACATGTCAATCAAACTGTTTACTTAGAGTTGTTTAGTAGTTACTGATTGCCTGTATCGTGTATTATTATTTTGGTAAGGTAGGCTAGTGTATATGGTAAGATCTCTACTTATGAGTGTGTTTGTACATTTTAAGAGGCTGCGCTGTGTTGCTTATTTAAGAGGTGAAGAGGTAGATCAACAGTACTGAGCAGTCTATTCGTTGAAGCTTCTTATTCGAATCATTCTTGTACTTGTAAACAGGATTTATTGTGATGATTCTTCTAAACTTATTTGTATAAAAAAATAAAAAAATAACAAAAATAAATAAATAAATAAATAAAAATAATAAATAATAAAATAAATAAATATTGAAGTGATAACCGTGGTAACATTATGAGATGTTCTTATTACCACCATGCTATTGTACTATTCCAGATGATACTAAATGTTACATAATACTTCCTTGAGATAAATGTATAGTATATATCAGGTGCCTAAAAGAGAGCTCAGGTTCTCAACTGGCTCAGCCATGTTAATATTGTTATTATTATCCACTCTGTAGCTGTGTTTTTATGACTAAATAAACTGTTACAATTCAATTCAATTCTTATTTCATAACTGCAATTGTGTTTCCTTACAGGCGTTAGCGTGTACAGTACGTTATTATCACTGTTAAGTTACGCAGCGTGGCACTGAAGGTGTCGCAATGAGTGGCGCAACAGTCTGATGATATATAGTCTTCGTGTATTTTTTTTGGCAGCCGGCTCCACGGGTGCCAGACTCGGGGTGCCAGGCTCAGGGTGCCAGGTCTGGGGTGCTAGGTCCAGGGTGCCAGGCTTAGAATGGCATTTGACGTGTACCTGCCGGGATTTATGACGGATTACTCACACACACACGCTGCCTGGGGAGTATTTCTAAATTCACTCACCAAGGAATATGATTGTCACAAGATTCTCACAGAGTCATACATGTTACTCTCAGCTGCGTGAAGTGAAGATTTATCTTGCTTATTGGTACAGCGGGATGGTGTGACATCGAGGTGGCATCTGCTGTTCAGATCTTCAAGAAATTATATCCGCGTTCCAGAGTGATGAAGATTCTGTTGCGTCACCTGTGTGTGTGTGTGTGTGTGGTTAAGGTAGAGTCTCAGGGGAACTTTGATGTTATTTAGGATCTTAATTTTATGCATTAGTTTGTCAGTCGGTAAGGTTAAGTAATGGGTGTTGGTGAGTGGGTGGCAGGTGTTAGTGGGTGGCAGGTGTTAGTGGGCGAATGAGTGAGTGGGTGGGTGGGTGGCAGGTGTTGATGGGTGGCAGGTGTTAGTGGGTAGGTGGATGTGTGGCAGCAGGGCGGGGCTCGTGTCATATTTGGCCACAACTACAAGTAAATATAGACGTTGGTTCTCTTCCTCCTCCTCCTCCTCCCGGCACCTAACTCGACAACGCCTCTATAACTGTGCTCGGGATCCTGCTGTTATTAGGTTAGGTTGGGTTGGGTTAGGTTGGGTTGGGTTAGGTTAAGTTGGGTTGGGTTGGATTAGGTTGGGTTAGGTTGGGTTGGGTTAGGTTGGGTTGGGTTAGGTTGGGTTGGGTTAGGTTAGGTTGGATTAGATTAGGTTGGGTTGGGTTAGGTTGGGTTGGGTTTGAGAGAAGAAACTGGGAGTGTCGGGTAAGTCCAGAATAAACAAAAGGCCCTAAGAGTCAGAGACTGATGGGTAAGAGAAGAGGTCGCTAGGACTGCGAGGCGTCAAATTACTGACTACCAGCTGTTAGGGGTCGACCCGGGCCAGTTAAATCCGGATTCACAAACTAATCTTTCTTAAAATGTTCCCCCAATAGATGTTAAAAGAGGAAATTTAGGTGTAATTCTGATGCCATGGACCTTATTTTATATTTAGCTGATGAGAATCAGATAGAAATATAATTAAGTCTCCAGTTATGAAGAAAATTATATGTTGGAACAGCCGCTCGCTGCTTAAACACACGATCTCTCTGAGTGTCTGAAAGAACAGCTAAATGATAATAATTACACTACTACAACAATGACTACAACTGCTGCTGCTTCTTCTAATAATAATAATTGTAATGCAAAACAATTAAATAAAGCTGTGAGCAACATTCAAGCTTGGCAGATTTTATGTTAACAACCAAACCTTGGGACACATCCTATAGTGAGAGAGAGAAACAACTTACAAAACCACAACACGGGCATTACAACCTTTCAGACAAGGCACAATAGGGCAGTTATCATAGTCACTCAACATCTTCAAAGGGATGGGAAACGTGCCATTTTTTATGATGTCACGACTCACGCACCACCAACACGAGAGGACACGACTACAAGCTAGCCAAGTTATTATGTAGAACGAACACGAGGAAACACTTCGTCAGGCTGATAGACCTATGAAACGGTCAATCGGATCAAACTGTGGAATCGAGAACAGTAATGAGCTTCAAAATATCCTTGACTAAATTATCAAGAACAATGGAGGCATCCTACACAGACCACTGGCCTTCTTCCCTCGACATAGCCACCTCTAGTGGGTGGCCATTAGGTAAATATGAAGGAATGTCGGCACCTGCACGTCACCCATCCACTTAGTCCATGAGTGACATGTTTTATGAAATTATTTTAGTTAATTTCAGAAGCTTATTAAAAAAAACAGTACAAACAGACATTACACACACACAGCTGCGTCAGGGATCATACCAGACCATTACCATATTCTGAGTAAACTATCAGTCCCTA